AATGCTACCTGGAAAGAAAAGATTTTACTGATGCCAATCGTCTTAACCCTCTCCAGGCAGGTGTTGCAGATTTGCAACAACTTAAACAGTCTTTTCAAGTAATTTGAGCCTGTGAGGGTTAAGTGATAAAAACTGGACTTAACCACAGCTCTAATTTGGCTGTCCAATTTAAAATCACTGTCCACCTTAAAACCAAGATCTGTAATAACAGGTTTAAAATACTCCTCCAAGGGTCCCAGGTCAACAGAGGAGGGCTCACAGGAGCCACTGGGTCCAAACACCTTCACCTCTGTTTTCTTTTCGCTAAAATTTAAAAAGTTCAAACCGACCAAGCTTTAATATCACCTCGACATGCCAGGAGATGTTTGATTGACTGGACATCTTTCTGCTTCTGGGGCAAGTAAATCTGGCAATCGTCAGCATAACAATGAAATGAAATCCCATATTTCCTGAGGATAGAACCTAGAGGCAGTAAATAAAGACAGAAAAGCAGTGGGCCCAGAATTGAGCCCTGTGGTACACCATATGGCATAGAAGCAGTAGATGATTCAGAGTCTCTAATATTTACTGAAAATGTTCTGTCCTTCAGGTAGGACCTGAACCAATTAAGAACAGTGTCACCAATACCTACAATATGCTGTAATCGCAATATTAAAATGTCGTGGTCGACTGTATCAAAGGCAGCAGTTTGGTGAAGTAAAATCAGAACAACATGATTACCAGAATCACATGCTAAAAGGATGTTATTAAAAACTCTTATTAAAGCAGATTCTGTGCTATGAAGAGTTTTAAAACTTGAATACCATCCTCATCTAAAAACTGTTTCAGCTGATGGTATACCATTTTTTCTAAAACCTTAGAAAGAAAAGGCAACTTCAAAATAGGCCGATAATTTGCCAGAACAGAAGGATCAATGTCAGGTTTTTTAAGCAGTGGCTGCACTGCTGCATGTTTGAAACTAGCAGGGACCACACCTGAGGACAGACTGCTATTTATAATTGCACAAACAGGCTGCACTATGCTAGATAAAATATCTTTAAAAAGTCGTGGAGGGACAGGATCACGGGGGGAACCTGCTGGCTTAATATGGCCAACCACATCCTCTAAAAGTGAGACAGTCACAGGCTCAACCTGAGTGAAAGCAGCAGAGCGAGGACCGAAACAGAGGGGTCAGAGTCAGGAGCTATGGTAAGAGCCCTGGCACTACCAACCTTCTGAATAAAGAAACACAGAAAATTCTCACACATGTCAGGAGAAGCTTCCAAACAGGCATTCTGTGGAGTATTAAGAATAGAGTCAATGGTGTTGAATAAGACACGTGGGTTATGGCTGTTTGAGGAGATAATATTAGCCAAATATTCCCTTTTTGCCTCTTTAACTGTGCTCTGCTAGAGTCGCCAACAGTCTTTTAAAATTTGAAAAGTAACCTGCAGTGTATCCTTCTTCCACCTGCGTTCAACACGGCAACATTCCTTTCTTACAGCACGAGTTCTGTCATTAAACCAAGGCTCAGGGTTAATCTTTGGTTGTCTAGTTTTTAATGGAGCAACCGAGTCCAGGATTGTTTGACAGGAGGAATAGAACCAGGACCAGAGCTCTTCAGTATCAAAGTGGAGGAAATCAGATGATCCATGAAGTTGAAGAAAAGCAGTAGAGAACTGAGTGGCCGTGGTGGGGTTAATAATCCGACAACGCCGAGCCGCAGCGCGGGTTTTAACTGCAGTAGGTGTCAAACTAACACTGAATAAAACAGGCAGGTGATCTGAGAACACAGAGTCACAGATTTCCAGGTGATCCTAAATATGTTCTTGGGGCATTGTGCGTGGGTGCAGGGCAGAACAAGGTATTGTTCAAAAAGGCAAACAGCCACATAATGTTCAGGTAAAAATAATGGTAATTGTGGAGGTTCCTCCATCTTTTCCTCAATGTTAGTATTTATTTTAATGTTTTTACATTGATCATTTCACTTTTTCTTTGGTGGTGGGTTTTGTATTGGGTTGTTTACTAATTTGGGTGTGCACATTTAGTAAACATCTTGTGTTCATCTGATATAATAGTTATATAAAACTGTTGTTTTGCTGAGTTTGAAGGACTTGCTGGGAGAAGACGATTGGTTTAAGTGTAACAGGTAATAGATACAGATGAAATTCTTGCTAAAATATGTTTTGTAATTACCATGTGATGAATGATTTTTGGTGCCCCCTACTGGTTGCCTATAAATAGGGAGATAAACTGTAAATTCCAAGCAGTCTGTTCAGCGCTCTACTATGGTAAGTCACCAAATCCAGTTCTTTTCTGAACAGTCATGGGTGTGCTCAAAGACTGACGTGGAGTTTTATTACAGTATGTGGAGAACTGGTGGACCAGTAGAGAAGCTCACTGTGCTAATTTGTGTTAACCATTTATTACAAGTAATTATGTTGTATTATTTATTAGTAATTTATGTTGTCAGTTATGTTTGTCAGTTTTTCTTCAGTTGAGTTTGTCGGTTTGTCTATTATATTGTCGGTTTGCTGTATTTACCAGCTTGTCAGTTTGTTTGTTCCCTGTTTCAGTTACAGGTTACTGTTAAATAGTTTATTAGTTAAATTTGACTGCTGTCTGTTTATTTATTTATTTATTTTTTTTATTTATTTATAAGAGATAGACCAGATTGTGTTAAATTAATTTGAAAGAAGTATCAGTAATCAAATATCTGTTAGAAAAATATGTTGTTAAGCCAGATTGTAATAATTGTTTGTGACGCAGTCTGTTCAGCGCTCTACTGTGTATGCGGAGAACTGGTGGACCAGTAGAGAAGCTCACTCTGCTAATTTGTGTTGACCATTTATTACAGAAAATTCAACCAACTGGCCTCCTCTGTGTGTATGACGGGACGGGCATAAGGGGAAGCTGTCACATAAGCAGGAAATGGAACAAACCATCAGGCTGCTGGAAGCAGGGGACTTGATAATTAAGATTCTTCCTCTCGCTCTACTAATAGCATAACTGCTAAAACATTGATAGCATTAGGTTGTTTTGTTTTTATGGTTGTGTTAATGTTTTGATTTGAATTCGTTATTTATGTTTATGTACCTGTAAATTTATGTCTTTGTCTTCTCCCCCAACCCTCCTCGTTTGTGTAGGCTAGCCTTTGTGCATAAATTCCCCTGTGTGTTCATTGTGTGAGGTCAGTTTCTGGTTTGTCATATTAAGTTGGTATGCTTTAGTTGATTTCTTATAGGCCTATTTTTCTTATATTTTTGAGATTTGTTGTAGAAAGTCTTTTGTAAGATCTTTTGGGAAAATTATTTAGAAATTATTTTTTTATATATGCCTTTGTCCTTGTTCTTTGCTGGTTGGACTGTTACAGTAATGCAATTTCTAAGTATGATTTTCAAATAAAGTTTGTGTTAAGAACTAGTAAGAACTAGTCATTAATTTTACCTTTTACCTTGATAATAAACTGGTTTTAGGTTTATTAATCCCATGGTTTGAATAAAATGTTCGTCAAATGAAATGCATAGTATTGAGTAGATTTTATTTTAATTTGTGGGGCAGGAGACCCTACCAGGAGTGTGTGACTCTAGAGCTGCATGTATCTCATTAATTGTAGCAGATGTTGGGAGATATGATATAGTCTGATTCTGTTTCATATATTTACAGCTCTGGAAAAAGCTATCATTCCTCTGATTTGACTCTATACATGTTTAAGTAAAATGAAGATTGTTGAACTACTGAGAACATGTTTCTGATATTCCAAGCAAAAACTTAGTACTTATTTACAGAAAATAAGACAAGGTCAAAATAATGAAAAAAAGATGCAATGCTTTCAGACCTTGAATAATGCAAAGAAAACAAGTTAATAAGACAAAAACTGTACTAATGTTTTAACTCAGAAGAGTTCAGAAATCAATATTTGGAGGAATAAGTAGGAGATTTTCAATGGGGTTCAATGCAGTGGTCTCTTAATTTTTTCCAGACCTGCATATAGATGTTAAATTTTAGTTGGACAAAACTATTTAATTTCTAATGTGAATGTATGTAAATAAGCAGTGACTTTTAGAAAAATGCACTGACAAATAACTTCTCTCAGGCCTTAGTCCTACTGCACTCCTAAAAGTCAGATCCTAGTGTGGCAGGGGCATCTTGTCCCAGAAGTATGGTGCTGCGCACACTTCCTCTTTCCCATATAAGAAAGACGGTGTGTTGGAGCGCAGCTGGTTTATTAGGGAGACAGGTAATCGGCATTTACAATTAAAAGATCAGTAGATCGCTGAAGGGATCAGAGCCCAGGCTGATTCAGCTGGAGGTATATTGAACATTAAGCGTGAGGCGGGTTAGAATTATTTCTGATGCCTCCACTTGATTATTTACTCTTAGAGAGATGTACAGAGTTCCATTGACTCTTTCAGTTTAGAGAAGGTAAAGGCAGTTTATTATTATTATCTGGCTACTTATGGTGCTTGTCTAACTCTGTCTCTTTTGTGTGCAGGTTGGCCTGCTACTGTTTTAGTTTTGTTTCAATTTCAGTGTTATATTAGTTTAGAATTTCTTTTCTGGATAGTTATTATTGATCAAAGCATTTTCTTTATTTTGGGGGGTTTTTGTCTAGGGAAGGGGAGTTTTTATCGTCCAGCGCTCTGGCTTGTTTGTAAAATAAAAGGACCTATGCTGTCCCTGGGTGCCAGGCTGTTCTCTTCCACTAGTCAGAAGACTAGTGGAAGACTTTTCTTTGCTTCATTCATCAGGGATTTTTGTGTGAGTGTGTTTTTGTTGGGGAACACTCAAGTGCATTTAGTTATATTTGTGTTTTCTTTATTATTATTCCTCCCCCTAGCAGTCAAACTTTATTTAATTGGATTTTAATTATGGGATGGACCAACATCATATTGAATCCTATGGATTAGGAATGGGATGTCACTTAAGCTCATATGTGAGTCAAGGCAGGTGTGCAAATACTTTTGGCATTATAGTGTATGTATGTAGAGAGAGAAAAGTGAATAAATAAACAGCAGCACTTTGCTTTATTCTGCTTTTATTAAGGTAACAGCTGAGGTCTGTCCTACTTTCACAACACAAACTTGCTCAATGTTGCAAATTTAAATGCACATATACTGAGCATCAGACATAGCAATCCCTCACACATCTTTTTGAAACAGTTTTAAATTAACAAAATGGTAGTCTTGTATCATAAGTTCATAGGGTGAATGCAGTCACAATAACAGAGGGAGGGAAAAGCCACCAGCACCCAAAGAGAACCACCACAGTACATATTGACTCAGCACTCAGCTGAATCTCCAAATCATATCTGATTGTCACAACATGAGTGAATCTCATAGCAACCCTTAAAACATGTTCACTCAGTTAAACATGGAACACTTTTTGAAAAAAGTAACTTAAAGGACCAGAATGTTTAACTGACAATTGACTCTCATTTGGACTACATCAATCAGAGTTCCAGCATTTTTTAAGTTCTCCTAAATAAAACTTCTGCAAACGAGAACTGCCAAAAGTAACTGCTCATTTTGATATCCTTATGAAAAACTCACTGAGAGGATCCAATGCAGAGAGGATTTGTCAGGTTTTACCTGAAACAAACAAAATTTACTTTAATTATGCCACACTAACAGTTTTCTCTTCTACGAATCATGTTTTTGGAAGAAAATGCATTCATTAGTTGGAGAACAACAAATAAATGTTTGTTTTATATCTATATCAGAATACAGGTATTCTGATATAAAGACATAAATAGATATAGATATTACATTATACTCCATACAGCGCTCTATAACCTAAGACCAGGGGAATGCATTGTAATCCTCAACGTTACCCATGAGGTACTGTTCTTCCCCCTATGTGGCAGGGGGGTGGAATGGTATCTGACAGCTAAAAATCATCCATCAGATACTGTCCATCAGATGATTTTTGATCATCAGAGACCGTTCCCCCTGTGAGAGCAACCCTAAAGTCTGCAGAGTGTCAGGCTTGCTCATGCTAACTGAACTTTTAAAGTTTCACCATAAAAGTAAAGAACAAAATGCTTCTTTGCTTTCTATTCTGATTTTCCCTTAATGACTTTCCAAAGAGCTGACTTTTTCATCTTGAAAATGAAATAAAATAAAATGAGTGAGAAGTCATGCACTGAAGGAATGGATGGGAGAGTCGATCACTCATAAAATGTCTCTGGTATTTATTACAGAGAATTAAACTCTTAAGAAAAGTATGAGGAGAAACTCCCTGACATCTCTCCAGGTATTCCAGCTTCATCCCACAGTTCAAAAACATGACTGTGAGGTTAATAGGGTTCTCTAAATTCTCCTTTGGTGTGAGTGCTTGGATGCATTGTGGTTTGTCAGTGGACTGTGACCTGTCCAGGATGTACCCCACCTCTCATCTGAAATGTCTCGCTGGAAATAGGCACCAGCACCCCTCCCAACCCCACTAGGGATAAGAGTGTAAGAAAATGCATGGATGGATGGATGAAAACCATGGTACGATAGAACCCCGCCTATTCAGTATTTGAGGATTCACCTATTTGCAGATTTTCCAATACCAAAAATCTAAAATATGCAAAAGAAACTATAGTTTGAGAAATTAAAAAAACGGTACCTAAAAGCAATGTCACTTAAACTAATGATATAGTCCATGAAATATACGTTTTAGTGGGGGTCTCAAGTCTTTGCTGATTTCAATAATTTACAGGCGACCCCCATGTATACCCACTCCATGAGGCCTGTAACACATGGTGTACAGTGGTTCATCCCTGTCAATTGTTAGGAAAGAGATAAGTGTGATGATTAGATTTATTACATAAAACATTTAACATCTTTATAACCTTCTCCAAAAATTGTGCACTGACCACACTCTGAAGGTCAGGTTACATCATGCGATAAATCTTTAACAGTAGAAATCCAGTTCTACTGCTGAGCTAAAATTCAGCAGTAGAACTTTGTGTTCTACTGCTATAGTTATTTGTGTCTTCATAGCCATGAATTCAAAATCTGGATACTACACAATTTCATTCTGACTTTCACTTCTTTCTGTAAGAAAGCAGAAACCGGGGGAATATATGATTTAAAAGACAAAAAACACTGGTTCCTTGAAGAACCTTCCACTTTTTGAAAAAAATTTTAAAGAAAAAAATTCCAAACTCTCATCTCAGTTTAATTGAAATGATGCCTTGATTATTATTACTTTAATGCAAGCAGGAAAAAATGCAACTTGTTGGTTCTATGCATTCAGCTGAGCTGCAGCTAAAACCTGGGGCCTGGATAAAAACCAGTTCCTTCTACTATACTTTGCTTTGTACAGCATAGTACTGTTGAAATGTTGAAATGAGTTTTTCATTTCTCAACAGCTTGGTTGAGAAATGATTACTTGTTGGAGGCGTGGACGGTGCTAAGGTTTTAAATTTCATCTAAACGCTAACGTTTGTGTATGTAATCCTCTCAGTTTGACACTAAGAAGCTAACCGGAAATTGCCAACAACTGTGAAGAGAGATTTGCCGATCCGAATGATTTGGCTGTTAATATTGATTCAATATTTGGAATTGTGGCCAATATAGACTGAATGACTATATTCAAAAATCAAAAATATGCAAAAGAAACTGTAGTTTGAGAAATTAAAAAACCGGTACCTAAAAGCAATGTCACTTAAACTAACGATATAGTCCATGAAATATATGTTTTTGAGACCCCCACTATCGTCAGTCACCGAAAATTGACGTCAATAAAATTGACATTATTGATTTTGTGGTGAACTTCTTCTGTTCTACCCTAGTCAAAAATTGAGCAGGTTCAACTCAAGGGGAGCAAGACTAGAAAGAGTGAGTGCTGGAAGTGAAAACTTTTTTGAGCGGAAATGCAGAGGAAGGCTAGCTGAAACCATGACATGGCCATCTAAAAATAACCTACTCTGGTTTATAATGGTGGCGCCTGACACCAGGGCAAAGGGAAGAAAACACTAATGTCTGATTCAAAATGAGAGGAAACCCCTCCAGAGATTTCTGAATTATTGGGACGTATTTCCTGCTTTGCTTCATCTGGCCTTCTATCAATTAATCTGTGGTGGTTTCTTCAGCTCCTCTTTTTTCACAGCTCTTCCTAAGCTCTGTCCTGAAGGAAAGATACACTCACTCACAATATCATTTTACAGCCACAAAATATGTCAGTGGTCTTAGAAATGTGATAAGACATTAATTCTCTCCTCTTCTTTCCGAGTTCATGATGAACTGCACAGTTGGCCCACACAGTCTGTCACCACAAAAGAGCAATCCTCAATAATCATCACTTCTACTCACACATAATCATAAAATATGTCAAGGTTGCTCAGACTAAAATCTTCTTTTAAAGTTTCAGGTTCTCAAGTCTCACAAAATCCAAAGGGCCCCATTTAAGTAATTCAATTGTGTGTTTAACTTTCCTACCCCATGAATATTTTCCTACCCCATGAACTGGAGTAGTTCTTCTTCAGAGGAGTTTGAGCCTGGAGTGCTGACTAGCTGTTATTTTCAACTGTCATGTACTTCAGAGCAGCAAAGCCAAAGCGACGAGACATGTTCTGCTGGAACTCCTCCTTCAAGGTTTTAAGGCAGACCCGGTACTGCTTATTGGAGCGAAACTTTGTGATGTCAAAGCTGGGAGCATGGGGCATATGAATCATATAGGCATTTGGCAGGACCACAAACTCATACTCCTGGAGACAGAGAGAGAGAGAAAGAACATTGCAGTTACTGTAAATATCGCTGGCAAAACCTGGTTGAGTCAAAACATTTGAAAATTAAATGGTACATGAACTGAACAAAACAATAAAATTCTTGAAAGATTTATTGGATATAAAGACCTCACTCTCAAACACTGTATCAAACACTGCTCACAAAATTAAAGGGATCATTAAAATAACATCTTAGATCTCAATAAATTAAATATTTTCATTAAAAACTTTAAGACAGTGTAAATGATCAAGAGAAAAGCAACACAAAAATAATCAACATAAATCAAAATTATTACACTAGGACTTCATACTCAGTATGAAAATGGAAACTAATAGTGAATGTTCTTCAAGACTAGAGGAGGCTAAGTAGAGTATATGGCCTCCAAATTGCGTTGTCAAGCATGCTCCTACAACATCTGGGCATGCTCCTGATGAGACAGCAGATGTTCTCCTTACGGATCTCTTCCCAGATCTGATCAGAGAATATCAGGTAGTTTCTGGGTAGTCTATGATGTGATGAAGATGGGGATTGACCGAAACATAATGTTCTAGATGTGCTGAATTAGATTCAGGTCTGGGGAACAGGCAAGCCAATTCATCATACAAGAACTGCTGACATGCACATGAGGTTTAGCATTGTGATGCATAAAAAGGAACACTGCACCTACATATGGTCTTGCAATGTGTTTGAGAATCTCATCCTGATACCTTATGGCATCCAGGGAACCTCTGACTTGCTAGGAGGGCTGTGCAGCTACCAAAAGAAATGCAAACCCATATCACGACTGACCCATCACAAAACTAGCCATGCTGGAGTATGTTGCATTTTGGTGTTCCCTAGTACATGGCAATCATCCTGCACGGTACTGGGCTGTAAGCACAGGCCCTACATATGCATGAGCTTACAGGCGAAGGCACATATAGGGTGGTGTGAGGGATTTCTCCATGGGCTCCAACAACACCTCATAGAGACTGTTTCTGACAATTTGGGTTGGAACTTTAGTGGCCTGCTGGAGGTCATTTTGAGGTCATTGTGCAAGGAGACCTCCCATTCCTCCTTGCTCAATTTGGTACCTTAAGGCAGTCAGGACACCTCTGGCTAGCACTTTGAGGGCGAGGAGGACCAAAGAAATGCCTTCCAACACCATAGGGACAAGGTAGCTACTGTAGCCCTCTATTTGCTCACACTCCAAAGCATCTGAGGAGAGTATTTGTCATCAGCAATGGCTGAAATAAATGGAACTTTGACCAACATAATTGATCTTTGGAGTATGATAAAGTTAGGTAAGCAATCCTATATTGAGATTTCAATCACTAGAAGTAAAACTGACAAGAATTTAAAAGAACTATATGCAAGATTAGAGGAGTTGTATAGAAAGTGGGTAATGCCAAAGGAAAAAAAATATGCATGAGGTTGGTGAAATAATCATTTCAGAACAATACTTGAGAATGCTGTCTCCTGCATGATGTGATATGTTTGTGGCTGCACAGAAAAAGGAACAACCATGGAGTCATACACAGCATGGAAAATGAGGGGTGTTTCAAAACCTGTTCCCCACTACCAAAAGGTAGGGGGGAGTAAACCTCCAAAGAGTGTCTAAATGTGCCATCAAGATCCCCAGCGAAGACTGTGATTTGTGTGGGATGGAGGGTCACACAAAATCAATGTGCCCGAAGAATTTTATAAAAATAACCCAGACAAAGTGTGGAATCTGAAATGGAGTTTGAGACAACCTCAACTGAAGTTGAGGGCCTTTTGTTATCAACCTTATTGCAGTCGGGGCACCACTAGCTTGCATAAGCTCCTCAATACACAATAAAAGGCCCTCATTAATTCAGAAAGTACTAATTCAGGAAGTACTTAATTCAGAAAGTTCTCTGCACTGTTGTGCAGAGAAATTTTGTTCCAGCAAACAAGGTTAATATAAAAACAATCTCTGTCTGTGCCATTCAAGGATATGAGCTACCATGTCCAACAGCAGACATGGACATTAAAAGTACATGGACATCTTGTCATCTTTGTGTTGCTCAGAATCTACCATTTCCAGCAGTGCTGGGTTAAGATCTGCTTGTGTTTTGTGACTTGTTGAACTGCAGCATTGCATTAACCAGATCTCGGACGAGAAAGAGAGGGATTTTTGCAACCACTTTGCCTTGACCTTTTATGATCCGGACCAGGAGACTGAGCTGTAAACTGCTGTCTCTTATGTTGTTCAGATGCAGGAATGACCGGAAAGAATGACAGCATTGGGCCAAGCTTATAAGGAAGTTTGTAAGCTTCATTAAAAAGCCTGGTACGATCAGTTACCTTGCCAGAGATCTTTCATTCCTTGCCAGACAGCATTGGATAGGACTGCTCACTGTCCAAGTGCTGACAGTATGCTGTTAACAAAATGGCAAGGGTCATATGAAATCCAGAACAAATTGGGATAAACAATCTGAAAGATTGCCATTCCAGATCAACCTCAGACCAGAAAGCAAATGATTTTCTTATTCAGGAAGTTACAGAGGAGGAGGAACAGGATAATCAACACCTGCCAAAACCCCCACCTCTGTTTCTGGATTTGAACCAAGTTTATGAAGAAAAACCAGCTCTGGTGAGAAATGTGTGCAAATCAAATATGTTCCAGAAAAACTCTGGTGAAACAGACATTGTAGAACATGACATTGTGTTAAAAGATTGAACCTTTGAGAGAAGAATGAGTTACATAATACCTGAGTGCTTGCTGGTTGTGGTAAAGTCAAGTCAAAGAGTTATGTCAAAGAAGGCATGTCTTTGTGACACAATTTTAAAGGCTTGCAACTGCCTTGGTTTCTTTGGCCCAATACTGATACTAGCACCGTATTCACTGCTGGTGAATTTTGCATGCAACAGTCCACATACAGCATGCAAATAGGTTGCTTACACTTTTTAAAATTAGTTTTAGCTTATTGAAATGTCTCTCTCCACCAGCAAGTTACAGGCAATGTGCAAAATATACATGAAGCAATTCAGACTTCTCAAAAAATGCTATTGTTGCATTTTGTTCAAGCTGCAGAATATAACTTTAATTAAAAATATGTTTTTTCCACATTTGTTAAAGTTGTCACCATGTTGTGACAGTTTGCTATGAAACAGATGAAAAGATCAATCTCCTCCACCTCCTCTCTGATTTGCTACTGCTTTCTAAAGAAATGCATCGTTCTGACCAAAAAAACCAAAAACAATCAGAACCAGGAGGAGGGTCTTAGCGTTGTCAATCAACTCATTCACTCACTGCTAAGTGTGCTAATGGAAAATTTTTAAAAAATTGTTTGAATTTTTGAGTAATAAATACATTGTTTTTTTGTGTGTGTAACTGTAAAAAGAATGGAGAAACAGAAAAAAATCCACAGACTCCTGTAATGATACTAACTATATTGTCACTGGACATAGAGTTCCTCACCTTTTTTACTGGGACAGAGGGGAGGGGTTATGCTGGTATGCTGTTGTTAAGTGTGGTAAGAGGTACAGGGACAAGTGAAATATGTTGTTAAATTCTTCCCTGAATTAATTTAATGTTAGTGAAATGGAGGCAAACTGTAGTCTGAAACCAAGCTAATTATGCGAAATGATTGCTAATCTCACACAGTCTACCCACCTCTTTCGGAGAAAAACTGGGCTATAAATTGACACTCTTGTCTTTTTCCCTTTCTCTTTTTGAAAACCTGACTATTATTTTTCTAGGCAACATAGTAACTGCCATAGCCATTCTGACTTATTCTGACTGCTGGTGGTCACTGTCAAGCACGCTAGGCAGGAATTAACTATTTCATGTGGCTCCAGGAGGGTTTTCAGGGCAAATATAAATGTGTGCTTTTTGGTCGGGGAGGGATAAAATTATTCTTTTTTCTGCTAAAACAATAAAAAAACCCACTATGATTAATTTTGTAATTGATGGGGCCCCTGATATTTTTCTATTTCTGTAAGATATAGAAACAATTTTTTGTGAGAGCAACCCCTGTGGGTCAGGGGCCCTTGGAATTGTCCTAACTCCCCCCTATCCTATTTACAGCGATCCTGTTTACACATAAAGGTCACCTTTCTGGAACAAACCAGGTTGTAAGCTTGGGTTAGACTTGAGTAGAAGGTGGTTCAGTGTTAAAGCTTCCAGATCATTTGGATTGGTGGATTTGAGTGTAATAGGTCTACTGTTAAAGATTGACTCCACTTCACAGAAAGCAGTTTGAAGTCCCTCCTTGTCCAAATGAGGGAGGAATCAAGGGCTTTTCTGATGGACAAGTCCATGTTTCACTTAAATAGAACAAATTGAGCCACAACCAGGGATAGCTATAGATTACAACACATTGTGTGCACTGCTGAGAAAGTCATCGTCTGAAACCTCTGACTTGTAAAAAGGACCTGTTCTCCTCAAGGACTCTAGGTCGTGCAGGTTGGATTGTGGATGACCTTTCTCACACCAGACACAGCCCATTTAAACTCGCCCCCTTAGGCAAGAGACTATGGTTCATCCTGACCAGAACTTCCCACCACAAAAACTGTTTCTTTTCCTCATCCATCACACTGACGAACAATTGTTAAATTACTCTAATATAGCAGTCACTTTATCCACCTGCTACTCAGAATATGTATACATCAGAATGTGTATACATATTGTGTATTTTTCCTTTTTCATATTTTAGTTTATTGTTTTTAATAATAATATTTTTTATTCATTTTTGGATAAAATACTTAGCCAGTGAACTTGTTTACTGGCAATAGGAAAAAAGTGATTCCGATTAACATTATTCCAAGAGAAATTAGTAGTAGCTTCAAAGTATTCAAGCTGTGCAGAAGAAAAAATAACTGAGAAAAACTTCCTCAAACGGAACTATTTATAACAAAAGAATTACATTTTTTTAGCTTAATCATTTCATTTTATGTAAAAAAAAGAAAGTGATGAATAACCTGTGCATCAAGCTCCATGATATGAGCCACCTTGTTCCAGCCAAAGCCCACAAAACGGCGGTCATACTTAGGACTGTCTCTCTTCACCATCACATAGGGCTCAAAATCGGCCTCCCACAGCACTTTGTAAGGTGTGGTGGCTGTCCGCCATTTGGCAAAGTTAGTTGGCGCATGGCCTTTGGTCCACACATGGTATCTACAAGGATCAGAGAATGAAAAGAGGAGAAATTAGACAATGCAATGAGCTGCAAAAAACAATTTTTTTATAAACCAAATTATATTTGATAACTGCTTTATGACAATGCTTTTACTATATCACTATGAACAAGAAAATAACAGGTAAGGACCCCTACATTGCAAAATTTATTTAGTTTCATATTTAACATAACTGCTGTTTTGATTACAAAGTTGGCACATCCATAAGCCAAATAACATAAGCCAGTTTTCATTATTTTTAACCACAATCGTTTTATAAGCAAACTGTTGTGTCACTTTGAGCTCATGTTATGGTAAATAACAATAAATAGTTGTTTACATGCAGTACCTTGCGGATCACTAAGGTGTGCCAGCGAACCGCCAGTGTTCCAGGGACCAAAGTTTGAGAGACTGCTGTAAATGGACTATCAGTCTGGGTCAGTAGGACACAATCATGGGGAAGACTGCTGACTGGACAGATGTGCCGAAGACAATAACACCACCCATAATCAGTGGTAGCCACTGGTTATTCAGAGTGCTGAATCCAATCATATTCATATAAAATTAAGTGGAAAGAAAAAAATCACTTTGCTTTGGGTGCTATCCTTAGAAGAAGTGGTCTTCTAAGGATAATTTGCTCTTCTAAGGATAATTTTTTGATGCGAATGGAGTGTACCCTGGTGAAAATATAGTATACATTAGTATATGAAATTATTTTTTAAATATACTGTATTTTTTGAAGAACACTTTAAATATGTTATCAAGTGGGTATACTTATGCAGATTATATTAAAAGTGTGAACTAATACACTTTTAGAAACATGCTTCTAGTACTTTTTAAAAAATATATATATTTTTGATACACTTTAAAAAAGTATATTTAAAGTGACAGAGGTGTAATTTGGAGTTAAGTGTAGATTACTTTAAACAAGGAACTGTGATGGATGAATGTGAAGAATTAGATGACTCAGAGTAATATCTGGAGTATCAAATGATGTGGAAGAGATTAAAGGAAATGTGAAAGGGGCTCGGGTGATTAAGGTGAAACGCTTGTTTGTTACAAGAGAAGGAGCTAAAAGTCCTAGTAAGTCAGTTACATTAGTCCTAGAAGAGGACAGATTATCCGAAAAGGTGATGATTAGGTATGTCGGTTGTACAATAAGGCATTACATTCCTCCATCAACCAGATGCTATAAATGTCAAAGGTTTGGACATACTGCTGCTGTTTGCAGAGCTAAAGCCAGGTGTGCAAAGTGTGGAGGGGAGCATGAGTGTGGGAAATGTTCTGAAGGAACTAAGTTAAAGTGTTGTAATTGTGGCGGGGAACATAGTGCTGCATTTAAATGATGTGAAGCTCACAAAAGAGCAGTGCAGGTACAAAATATACACACAAAGGAAAAGTTACATATGCATGTAAGTAATTTAAATGTTAATTCTAAAAGTATTTCTGTGCACCAAACTCCATCTCAAAAAACAGAGCAACTGAAGAGTCAAAATACAATGATTGTGGAGAAGAAGACATTTGTTGCATTTATTGTGGAAGTAATAAATTGTTCAGCACAGACAGATAGCCGAACAGAGCAAATTAAAATAATAAAGCAGCAGAAAAATACCTTGAGATGGAAGACTTGTCTTTTCAGTCAATCAGTGAAGTTTTAACAACTGGGATAAATGAAAGTCAGCAATCCAGTAATGGTGAAATTTGATGGTTTTATCCATATCACAGTGGAATGAATGCAAGAAGCTTACTTGCTAATGGCCAAGATTTTAAATATTTTATTGAAAGACAGAATGTTAAACCAAATATAGTCTGCATTCCAGAAACCTGGTTAAAACCATCACTTGATTTTATTCTTAATGGATACACAGCACAACGTAAAGACGGAGATCCAAATGCAGGAGGAGGTGTTGCTATATTTGTTCAGCAGGGTATCAGTTATAGAATTTTGAATATAAATGAAGAAATAGAAGTTATAGGGGTTGAGGTATGGATTAGTAAATCAAAATTCACAGAATATTTTTATACCACTTGTAAAAAAAATGTAGTGAAAATCTTGATAGTATTTATGTGAAGGAAAATGGAAGAAATATTTTAAATATTTTAATGCTCATAATACCTTTTGGGGAAGTAAAGAACTGATAAAAATGGGAACATAATTGAGGAGCTTTTGGATGGTTATAGTTAATTTGTCTAAATGACAGAAGAGGTACTTGATGTAATGGAGCAGAATCTGCAATCGATCTTCCTATAGTGTCAGATCAGATAGCAAGAATTAGTCAATGGGAAGTAATTAATGATAACTCCCTTGAAAGGGAGCATTATCCTATTCTGCTTAAGTTGCATCATTTTAAGGTAGTAGTTTACCCTCTGGTGCATAGTGGCCACTACAGTGGACAGCTGTTTAGAAGGCATTGTTTTCTAAATGCAGTTGTTTCTATGGTGAAATTGCATATCAGTCCTTAGAATACTCTTTACTGTCCCCCTCTACTGAGGTCAATTCAGTGGCAATGTGTTGTAACTACAAGTTAATGTCATCGGAGTCCAAGTTGGCCGGCAGACAGACACACTAGATGACCACTCCAGGAATATCCTCTCAAATATCCTCTCAACCGTCTATTCTCGGAGTAAAAAATATATGCTGACATGCATAGGGAGTATCTAGGTAACAATATTATAAACTTAGTTTGGAAAATTTTGTTTCATGTAAGTAGAAAATTGTGATTAATTATGAGTCCATCACAGTGGACATTATGCATTGCTGACTATATTTTTTCACATAAGTCATGTAGTTGATTTATCTTTCATTATCACTGGTTTGCTTGCAATTAAATTCATTTTGAGTATATCTGTTAGTTTTAAAAATATAATTTTTTATGCAGATCAATTGTAGTTTGTGTTAGTAAATGATAATTTTCTCAAACTTTTAGAGCACCAAGTGCAGCAAAGAAAAAGGATCATTATAGAATAGTCGAGAAAATTTCCTCTGATGACAAGTGTAATGACAGCAGTGATGAGGAGTGGCTGCCAGGGAACACTACAGATATTAGAGATATGGATGATGAAGGAGATGCAGATAGTCAGGAGGCTGAAAGTAGAGATGACAAGGGCCAGGTTGATGAAGGACAGGATGCAGAGGGACGTCAGCAAGATGAGGGAGCTGAGAAAAATGTCCACATGGTACATGCTCAGAGAAAAGTTCACAAGGGCAATGCCTGCACTCAACCCCGCAAATATGTCTGGAAAGTCTAAGACAATAACTTTGATGGAGACTTGATACCTTTTCTAGGAGAAAGAAGAGTAAATGTTGATGGAAGAGAATCAATTTATTTTTTTAGGTATTTGTTTTTCTTAGATCTCATTGATCAGATCGTGAAGATCAAAGACATCTGCATGCAGTGCCATGTGCCCCGGATGCTTTGCCAATTTACATGTAGCCTAGGAGTTAGGAAAATGAGTTAGGAGAGAAGTTAGAAGAGGAGTTCTGGAGATGCAGCTGTTTGATGAAGATTGTTCTCTTGGTTTGGATTAACTGAAGGGCTATAGAATATTAGAGTGTATGTAAGCATGTTCAAGTGCTTTTCAAAGCCCACAATGAAATATGTGGTCATGGATTCATGATAAAACTCAGATGAAATTATTCTTCAGTTAAGTTCATACTTTTCAGTGTTGAGTGCTGAAGCGCATGTAGTCCACTCTAGTGGACATTTCTGTAACTTCCTGGAAAAATACAATTTTTGAAAAAGAAGTTCATATTTGTTTTTTTCATGCCCTAAGAAGAGTAAAAACACATTTTTAAAAAAAATCTTGACCCAAGGATTCATAATTCATGCATCAGAGGGTTTGGTATCCTAAATGGAGAATGAGGGGGGCTAATTTGGTCATGTATAATAAGATAGCGAGTGACAAACTTATGGAGATTGTCAAATTTAAGCAATGATATTGAAGAATTAAATTCAATTATTATATATATAATATGTGAATCTGCAGAAAAGGCCAATGGCAAATCTACTGGATTAAAAAAAGAAAAAGAAAATGGTTTCTTGGTGGAACAATGAATGTAAAGAAGCTATTAATATTAGGATTAAAACATTTAGAAGGTTGAAATTAAATAATTCATTTGATAATTCAACATTATACAAAAAGCACAGTCTAAAATTAAGAGAATAGTTAAATTATATAAAAAGAATTATTGGAGGGGTTTTTGTAGTACAATTGTAACAGATGTTAAATGAGATCTGGGGAACGATTAGAAAGATGGGAGGAATCAGAAGGGATTTTTCTTTACCTATAATAAAAGATAATCAGTGTGAAGTTATAAAAAACAAGGAAAAGCAGAGATTTTTGCTAGGTCCTTTGTGAAACTGCATAGTTGTCAAAATTTATCAAATGAAGAATTATCATGGAGATTGAAAATCATTGAAGATAATAGAGAGATTTTAAATAGGAAAGAGAGAGATGGAGGTGTTTTAAATTAAGATTTTACATTATTTGAAATGAATAGAGCTTTGATTGGAGTTAAGAATACATCTTCAGGTAAAGATGGCGTATGCTACAGGATGATTGAGCAGTTATCAGATGCTGTTAAAGAAGTTGTTCTAAAGTTATACCATAAAATATGAGAACATGTTGAATTGCCCTCCAGTTGGAAACATTCAGTTATTGTACCAATAGTAAAGCCAAGTAAGAATAAAGTAGAGATGAAAAGTTATAGGCCTACAGCTCTTACATCTAATTGATGTAAATTGATGGAGAGAATGAGAACTAAGAGATTAATCTATGAAAAGGAAAAAAATAGGTTTTTTATCTCCTTAGAGTGGTTTTAGGAGTGAACGGACAGCTGTGGATCCAATTGTTTGTTTAGAAAACGAAATAAAGGCTCAGGTAAATAAAGAAATTCTCTTAGTTACATTTGTTGATATTGAAAACTTATATGCTTTGGAATAAATTTATTAATTAAGATGGATAAAATGGGTATAAAAGGGAAAATGTTTCATTGAATTCAGGATTTTTAAAAAAAGAATAGAACAACAGAAGAAAGAATTGTAAATTATTCAAATATTTATGCTATACAAAATGAAACTCCACAACGTAGTGTATGTAGCCTGTTGCTTTTAATATAACGATTAATTATATTTTTGATAAAATATATTTAAGAATTAGTAAAGCATTATATGCAGTTGATGGGGTATTATGGGTAAGAGGAGGCAATATTAGTAATTTCCAATGTCTCTGTGACTCAACTTCATGTTCATTTTAAATTCTACAAAGACTGCATAGTTGTCACTCAACACTAAAACATGCAAAGGAAACATTATTTGCAGATTCTTAAGCAAAAACATTAACAATGCTTAAACTTTATTAGCAACAGCTGACAATGAAGTTACCACCTCAATTTTCCTCTCCTGGTATTTACTATTTCAAGCCAATCTTCTTCCAGGTGGTGTAGGAGAGTTACTCAGCCAGGCTCTCCTTTGGCTTTATCAAGTGAACAGGCAAACCACCCTCGATCATGTCCTTCGTCACCTCTGCTGCTGTCTTGTGGAGAACAAATGTAGGTTCCCTGCTAAGCTACAGTTGTAGTTTAGCAGGGAAGGTCTGGAAGCAAATCTCTGCTTCAGGACCCATTTAATTTCAGAGTATTCCTTGCACTATGGGAAGGGTAGTCATGATCAAAATATATCAGTTTCCCATGTAAAAGTACTTCTTTCTCCCCCCATGCTTTTCATACAACAGCTTCCTTGGTTCTGCTGCGGAGGAATTTAACAACAATACAGTCATGGCCAAAAGTATTGAGAATGACACAAATATTATATTTTCACATGATCTGCTGCCCTCTGGTTTTCATGTGTGTATGTCAGATGTTGTCATCACATACAGAAATACAATTGCAATCATATTATGAGAAACAAAAGCTTTTATTGACAGTTAGAATGAGTTAATGCAGCAAGTCAATATTTGCAGTGTTGAACCCTCTTCTTCAGGACCTCTGCAATTCTCCCTGGTATGCTCTCAATCAACTTCTGGACCAAATCCTGACTGATAGCAGTCCATTCTTGCACAATCAATGCTTTGCATTTTGTCAGAAATCCTAGGTTTTTGTTTGTCCACCCCTCTCTTGATGATTGACCACAAGTTTTCAATGGGATAAGATCTGGGGAGTTTCCAGGCCATGGACCCAAAATCTCTATGTTTTGTTCCCTGAGCCAGTTAGATATCACCTTTGCTTTATGGCAAGGTGCTCCATCATGCTGGAAAAGGCATTGTTCATCACCAAACTGCTCTTGGACGGTTGGGAGAAGTTGCTCTCGGAGGACATTCTGGTACCATTCTTTATTCATGGCTGTGTTTTTAGGTAAGACTGTAAGAGAGCCGACTCCCTTGGCTGAGAAGCAACCCCACACATGAATGGTTTCAGGATGCTTTACAGTTGGCATGAGACAAGACTGGTGGTAGCGCTCACCTCGTCTTCTCCGAACAAGCTGTTTTCCAGATGTCCCAAACAATCGGAAAGGGGATTCATCAGAGAAAATGACTTTACCCCCAGTCCTCAGCAGTCCACTCCCTGTACCTTTTGCAGAATATCAGTCTGTCCCTGATGTTTTTCCTGGAGAGAAGTGGCTTCTTCTTTGCTGCCCTCCTTAAAACCAGGCCTTGCTCCGAGAGTCTCCGCCTCACAGTGCGTGCAGATGCACTCACACCTGCCTGCTGCCATTCCTGAGTAAGCTATGCACTGCTGGTAGCCCGATCCCGCAGCTGAAACACTTTTAAGAGACGGTCCTGGCGCTTGCTGGTCTTTCTTGGGCACCCTGGAGCCTTTTTGGCAACAATGGAACCTCTCTCCTTGAAGTTCTTGATGATACAATAGATTGTTGACTGAGGTGCAATCTTTCTAGCTGTGATTCTCTTTCCTATTGGGCCAATTTTGTGCATTGCAATGATGACTGCACGTGTTTCTTTACTCTAAAGAAACACATGCATGGTTCACAGAAGAGAAACAATGATGCCAAGCACCAGCCTCTTTTCAAAGTGTCCTTCTTACTTAATCATGACAGATTGATCTCCAGTCCTGTCCTCATCACCACCTACACCTGTGTTAATGGAGCAATCACTGAAACGATGTTAGCTGGTCCTTTTAAGGCAGGGCTGCAATGAAGTTGAAATGTGTTTTGGGGGATAAAGTTCATTTTCTAGGCAAATATTGACTTTGCAATTAATTGCTGTTACGCTGATCACTCTTTATAACATTGTGGAGTATATGCAAATTGCCATTATAAAAACTGAAGCAGTAGACTTTGTAAATATTAACATTTGAATCATTCTCAAAACTTTTGGCCATGACTGTAAATTTTCATAATCTCTAAACTATTATCAAAATAAGAAATATCTATGAATCTGAGTTTCACTAAGACAAAAATGTTTAATCTCTATTATATCTCTATTATAGAATGTTTAAAAAGCTATATTCTTAACTCAGAGAAGTTACTTTAGACTATTATAAGAATACTATATTTTTAATAAAAGTAAAGCCAGTTGAAGTAACACTTAAACATGACAAGAAATAGTATAAGTGTTTCTATTTCGCACCTAAAGGTGAAGAGTGTGCCCATATCCAGCTGGGAGAGTAATTCTGCCTTAGACTTTGGGAAGGAAAGTCGATATCGCAGAGTCTCAAAGGCTGGAACTACTAGGGCTTTTTTAGTGTTGGCCATGTCAAGCTGTACCACTGATTTCCTGCAAGCAAAGACAATGAATGCAATGAAAGTAATAAAATTGAAAAAATTAATTCAAAAACTTGTCTTTCTTACCTGAGATACTCATAAAGGCCATACATTGGGAGGAAATCAATGTCTGATAGGAACATATAGTTTGTGTTGACTTGCTGCATGGCCACGTTTCGCAGGAGATTGACCGGATAGAATTGCCCCTCTTTGTAGACTACATGGTAACCTACATTTCCGCGGCCCATCAGTACCTCAGATCCCTGTGCGTATCGCAGGAATTGCTGTGCCTCAGCATCTGAAAGGTATAGGGCCAAACTGATGGGGCCTTCCCAGTGCTTACAGATAGCCTCTAACATCTGGAGCCTACAGAGGGGGAAGGACAAGTATGGTGACCTCATAAAATATGAATCACTATAATCAATTATACTTTCCTAACACTGGCGTTTTATTGGCTTAAAGTGGAATATATACCCTAACAGCTAAAACCTCAAAATCCTTGAGACGTCCACCAAAAACACTAATAGCTGCCTACTATAATAGGGTAAAAACCAAATATACATAAAAAGGCACAGTGGAAATTGTCTTGGCACTAACACAGAAGGTAAACTCCACAGTCTTCCTTTTTGCCACTCTTGGTGAGTCAACCAACCAGTGCCAAGGAAAATACATGACGCTCCTGTATTAGCGACTGTCCAAACAGAAGACAATAGTGTATCAAGTAGAAATGTGTCGAAGTATTTTAGCTTCCCAAGCTGCATTTTTTTCTTTAAGTATTTTAGATCTTGTCACCTTCCTAGAATAATGGCATAAGTCATTTTTGACAAAAGTGATTTTGCAGGGAATGACTTTCCAAATGAAAAAAAAACAATGAAGGCCATTATTTTATGTTTAAAAAAATCTGCAAATAGGTTCATTTTTCACAAATAATTTGGTATTAGGTTCTGCAGAAAAATACTGAACTACCAATGGACGGGGTCCACTGCAAGACAAGTTTTAAGCAAGCAAAAGTGGTGGTTTCATAACAATGAACTTTTCCTTAGACTAGAGCATACTGCAAATGACATAGCACAAAGAAAGTGCATTTAGTACTAGAAAGAATTTTCTGGCACAACATAATGTCTTAGCAGGTCCTTCAAGTCTCCAATCGCTGTTATTTTAGAACTATTTAAAAAACTGTGTTGCCTTTATACATACTAATTCTGGACTGGAATTGTGCCATTCCAATTGTGTAGGACAGAATTATCACAAGAGACCATATTGATAAAATTCTCAAAATATGGAGTTGAACAGTCAGAACAACAGAACAAATGAACACAATTTGGAGTCATAGAAAATCTTCCTCATGTAATCGGTGCTATATATAAAGACGACTGTGGCTGTGTGGCAGAGTTATCGTCTTGCAATTGGAAGGTGGTAGGTTCGATTCCAGCTTCATCCTGCCACATGGCAATGCGCCTCTGGACAAGGCACCTAGCCCCAAATTGCCTACCGGTCTGCATATCGGTGTATGAATATTGGTGTGTGTGTTTGTGAGTGCGAATGGGTGAATGTGACTCTGGTGTAAAGCGCTTTGAGTTGTCAAAATGACCGGAAAAGTTCGATATAAGTTCAGTCCATTTACCATTACCATTTACATATATATCCACTTTAACAGATGTACCAAAAATGTTTAGTGTACATCTCTGAAATGCAAAGATTACATGTCTCAGGTGTACTGCGGTACCTGTCCATAGATAGCTGGGCAACAAGAGTGACATCACTTTGGTCAGAACTGGGCTCATATTCATAGTGGAGAAAGTAAAGATGCGTTCGATGAACTGTAAATCTCTCTCGCCGAAACTCATAACAGGGGTCATCTTCATCAAGCTCTGACAGAGTCTTTTGCAGCTGCAAGCAAAAGAAAAACACAGAAACAATGTAGAGAAATCACCCCGGCACTACATGTTTACATTCTCCATCTTGTTATAAAATGACTGATAGCTAACCATAAATCCTCAATGATCACATTTTGAGAATAACTTTTGCAATTCAGTATATCAGCTTACTAATTTTTTTAAGTTGCTGACTTTGACTGTCAAATAATGGGAAATACATTAAGGAATCTAAATGTATGAAAAAATGTATGCACTATAAGATGGTATATAAATTTCATTTCATTCAATTCCAGCTTCATCAATGGGTTAGGGTTACCAATAACCAAGAGCTTTGTGAAGCAAACATATGCTGTTAGGATTTCATGAGAACACTGAAAAGAAATGTCAAAATTAACACATAGCACATAAGTGCTATGAAGAGTTGGTTTATTCATTTCTTAACGGTCCATAGCTCTAAAGTGTTGCAAAAAGTTTCACCTACATTTTCACTGTTGGGGTCAGTCTCACTTGGGCAGCCAAACAGCTCTCGTCGCAGCAGGTTACCATCGTATTCCAGAAAAGTAAGATAAAGATTTCGAAAGAACTCGACATGCTTATTTTTGACTCGTAGCTTCTTGGGGGAGTTCCAGTGGATCACCTGTTTAGGAGAATCATACAGAAAAGATAAAGCAACTTCCTCCAGCTCAGAAAACACTTAGCCACTGGCTGGTAGTCAGCCTCTTCAACATTTGTTTTATTTCCTACTGTACCACACCTCATCTGATGGATAAGCAAAACGTTAAGTCACATATGTTCCAAGTCATATTATTTTCGTGGTCATTGTTTGGTTACTTGTTTCAAGTAAGAGAAACTATACTGTTCCATAAACAAGCTAATGAACTTCATTATGTTCATTAGCTTGGCTTTTAACCGACATGTTTCTGTTCCACAATGCTCTTGTGCATCAGTTGGTAAAAAATATTTACAATAATTCACACAAAGTCTAATGTACAGTGAAGTTTACTTTCTCTTTGAGCAAATATCAAAACAATTATTCAGTGTTGCACAGTATTCCACAAATAATGGTAAAAAAAACTGCATGGAACCAAGCTAACTATATTACATCAATTTTCCTTTCTGATCTGCTGTCACACAGCACATTTGTATTATTTTTCAAGTCACAAAAATGTGTATGTTTTTGTGTAGTATGTTTTACACAAAAACATACTAATTGAACATACTGCTAAGGAAATATCAAAATGTACAACATTTATACAATAAACATACACAATCATAAGCAATGTAACAAAATTACATTTTTGTTTTTTACAGTCACCTTAAATATTGGCAAAGACTGATTGCAGAAACACCTGATCTCACCTTCAGGTCTGATACATCTTTGTAGCATTTTTCAGAGCGAGTGTGGTCCGATAGTTGAACGTTCCAATAGCAGGGGAGCTGGTGAACAAGGAATGGGTTCTGCTTGATCACTGCATTAAAGATGTCCTAAGGACCAAATGGCATACATGACAGTGACAGATTTGACAAATTTGAATAAAAAACAAACATTTAGTTGTCTACTATCTTCTATTCTTTAAATCAAATAAATTTAGCAAGTTTTAGCTTTTGAACCTTAATGTGAATTTGAAATATAAACTTACAGTAATAATACAGTAATTTGAAGATGATGTCCTGATCACACTAAATGTTTTTAAACATAATTTATTGTGATGTTTAATAAAATTCATTATCAAATTCGAAATTTTGTTTCTGTAATTTGAAACAAGAATTTTAATCATTTTAAAGTAAAAATAAATTGTTATTATTAACTTGATATAATGAGTGAAAATAATAGAGATTGTGTGCTCTTCAACTAGGTGAGGGCAGTTTTTTCTTACATATTTTGAAATAATTGATTCAAAATTCAGCATTAAGTTAAAACTCACAATTCAAAATCAATGAACTTGTTTTTAAACCAACCTTATGAACTTTAATTTCTGAGTTAAAACCAACACAATTTTCTTGTTGGGCAGCAGGTGGACTTTCATTTTTAGGTTAAAATGTTTTACAGTGTCTCTTTAGGATCAATAGAGCATAATTCAATTTACAATGAAATTATAAACACTTCCAACATTTGTTAGATTAGCTATGCATTTTATAAAACATTTGAAAAGTAATAATCAAGTTTGTGCATGTTCAGAAAAGAATATCTATTAATGTAACAACCTGGTCTGCCAATGAGGTGGACAGCATGCTCATTAGTTCTCTTTCTGCTGTCAGTCTCCACATCTGCTCCCATCTGACCTTCCGTAACCGATCCAGGAGAAGTAAAATAACCCCTGAAAAAAATGCAAAAACATACAGGATTATGTTAGTTTCAAATAATGTGCTCCCTGAAGTTCACGCAAAAAGTGGACTTATGAACGAAATGAAAAAATTGGGCAAAACGGTGAGAATAAAAATGTATACACATCAATTGATTTATTTAGATAGATTAGAGCACTATCAACAGTCTTTCATTGACTGCAATATTTTATAACCATTAGGAAAATTAAAAACTCCATAGAACTGAGATTGACAACTATTTTTCCAGAACTTTTTTTGGTAACACTTCATTTGACAGGTGTGAGGACTATCATGACTCTGTGATAAACATGACATAACACCTGTCATAAACATGAGTAAGTCTTCATAAATATTTATGACTGTTGTCATAAAGTGTCATTCGGTAAATCTTGACACTTTTAATACAAAGTTGACATTATTCAAAATGTGTTCGTTATGACACTTGACATTAACCAAGAAAACATGATCTCACATAAATTTGTTAGAAAAGTATCACAGGGGAACTTCCGGTTGGGATGCGTGAGGAGTTCCTTGGACTGCTGCTGCATTTGTGCCTTACATACTTCCTTGTAACCCCTTCTCCTTTGCAAAAGACTGCAGTATTTTATTTTATTTTTGTTGTTATTATTTACCGTAAATTTACTTTATCACGTCTAAGGCCAAAGAAAAATCGTCTGAACGAGAAAAAGACGCGCCTCTGACTGCTGCTAGCATAACAATGGCGGACATTAGCTTGCTCTTTAGTAGTCATAAAGAGGCTCTGTCCGCGGAGTTCAAGTTGTCTTTTGAGTCTCTGAACTGCAAACTGGACAACATCAACTCTACTATGACAGATCACGGTCATAGTAGAGTTTGCCATTTGGAGGATTGTGCAACCGCTTCTGATGCGCGCTTGGGGCAGGTGGAGAAGGTGTGTGTTCATTTTCAAAAGGAAAATGAAATGCTGAGAGCTAAAGTAGTGGATCTGGAGGGGCGCAGCAGGCGCCAGAATATTCGCATTGTCGGTTTACCAGAGGATATAGAAGGTCCCCGGCCATCCTCGTTTTTTTGTCAGCTTTTGCCTGAAGTCTTCGGTAAAGACATGCTCCCTTCCCTTCCTGAGATAGATCGAGCGCACCGCACCCTCGCCCCCAAGCCCACCCCGGGATCCCGTCCTCGCCCTGTCATCCTGCGCTATCACAGATTCCAAGAGAAAGATGTGATTATCCGCGAAGCCCGCAAGAGAGGTGCACTGTTTTATCAGGGGCATAAGATCCGCTTCTATGATGACTACAGTCCAGAGGGAAGCTGACAAAAAGATGACTAATAACAACATCATTAATTCACCAGTCAGGGTCAGTGTCACTGCACCAATGACAAAGAGATCGACAGAGAAACACATGCGGTCATCTCTAAATCATGTATTTATCATCGGATTTCCACGTAACTTTTTATGATTGACCCGTAAATCTCTAAGGAGTCCAATAGCATTGAATTGTAATCTGACTCCACTTTGCCCCCAGGTTAATCGATCAGCTACATCTCCTCACTACATTGACTGATCTGCACCAGATTTTTTGTGTGTCGCCGGGGAGCGCTGCTGAACACATTGATGCATATCACCTGGCCAATGGGCACGGGAACGTGCACGAGTGTGTCTGCGGTGGCAAGCAAGTGGCAGTGCCGGAACTCTGGGGTTGCCAATAGGCCGGAGCGGCACTGAGCTGTGAGGGCTGGTGCAGCCTTTAATTAACTTTACATTTTCTTTGAGAAAATAACATTGACTATGTTCTCATTCTTTGTAATGTTAGCTATGAGCAATTCAACCAATCCTACCTTCCTTTAAGTTAATATTAGCTGAAGTTCTTAAACTCTGAAAGGTTAGCCCATAATCTTAAACAAATTTATAAGGCAGTGTTGGTTATTACGCAATAGCCAGCCCCGCCCTAACCCTCACAACTCCTCTGGGCTGACTACTGACCAGCTCTCTGCCTAACGGTCCGGAAAGTCCCTAAAACCTGGGTATTACCCTACAGAAGGACTGAGAGGGACTATCTGTCTAAGCTGGTGTCGAGAGAGACTCATCTAGCTCTGACTACCTACAATTCAAAAGTTGTGACCCTTTTCATTTCAGAAGCAATGAATTGAGTAGCCCACAACTGCATAATCCCAATAACCACTTCTGTTAATGGTAGCCCTCTCTCTAAGAATAACAAGCACTTGTTAACAGCTAGATTAGTTTTGGTGACTTTGTGAGTCACCGGGTCATTATTTTAATATGTTAACTAAAGGAAAGTCCGAAGCCATCACTTTTCTAGAACCACGAACATGGGTTTTACATTAAATAGGAGAACCATAACTAATAAAATGACTTAATTAATTTCAGTGCCCACAAACTTCATTGGAATTTTAATACATATATTTATTTAAGCAAGCTTTAAGTAGGTGTAATGGCAAACAGATTAATTATCAATGATTACAAGTTTTTAAGAATAAAATTTAAATCCAAGTTAAATCAACAATACCTCTCCTAGCTCCTTTCCCTAAACTGCGCCATCAATTTAATAAGTAAGGCTTTTCGGGGTGCAGGCAACTCAAACCCAGGTGATAGAGGATCTCGGCAACAGAAGGCATGAATCTCCTTGGGCAGAGCCTTGTCTTGGCACGACAAATCCTCCTTTGAACAGGAACAAAGCAGACTGGTACTTATCCTTGAAATGTCCCGAATCTTCATCACTCTCGTGATCTTTGTCCAGTCCCCAAGTCCGTTGTAGCAATTCTTAAGATCTTTGGGTTGAGTGTGGAGCCTCGGTCGAATTAGGAGCGAGAGCTGCTGGGCATCGGGTCCCATTGCTCTTCCAGCGGAGTGTAGGCTTGTCTTCCCTCTGGGTCCGGGGCGAGGCTCCTTGTTGATTTCTTGGCCCGCTGTTGCCTGGTCACTTGCTGAAGACGGAGAACCCAAGCTCTCTGTTTCTCCGCTTATTTATACTCTTTTTCCCCTTGCTGTTGTGTATGGGGAGCAGATTACATAATTTCTCAAGTATTTGATTACTTCATACCAGGCCTCATGCGCTTCCATATTTGGTCACCAGTTGTCCCCTTCTGCTTTTGCTTGATTACATTAGCCTCCCTGGTCTGTTTCCCAGGTTTCTGTTTTTAGCATTCAGGCCAGGCATGTCCACACCCATTACCAGAACATGTCCAGGCTTGCCTTTGCACCCAAAAACTGTCACTATGATTTTTATTATTTGATTTCAGTTACTTATATGTTATACAACTTATAATTCATTAACACAATCACTTCTTAATACATTTCTTCAATCATAACTTAATACTTATTTTTAATCAACTTATGATTTGTCGTTTAACTGATTTATACAATCATCAATAATCAACTTCAGAATTTACTTAAGCATAATCATTAATACCAGTGTTGTATAGTAACAAAGTAAAAATACTTCACTACTTTACTTAAGTATATTTTGGAGTACTTCATACTTTCCTGGAGTAAGAAAATTTTTGATAACTTTCACTTTTACTTCACTACATTTCCGAACTTAATTGCATACTTTTACTCCGATACATTTTCAATGTGGTTTAGTTACTCGTTACAAAAAAGCGAGAGAAAAACGCAAATATTTTGATCCCACCTACTGATCGACTGCAACAAAGCCTGCTTGCCTGGGCTTGTTCATCACCACCAATAGGATGTACAAGTTTCGCACCTCTCCACCTACGTCACAAAGTCCAGGAAACACTCTGATTGGTTAGTGCTCCGTTAGTGCAGGTTTGTGCCATTAAAATGTTCATTTGTGCAGCTTTGGTTTCCGAGATATTAAAATGATTTTTTAGGTCATCCAGAGTTACCATCTCCGCATTTTGCTCCAAAACAAACCAGTGGGCTGGTTCGTTAATGCTCCGCTTGTGCAGGTTTGTGCCGTTAAAAAAAAAATGCAGCAAAGTTGTTTTCAATGTGGATTTTGGCTATTCCAATATCCGTTGTGAGCGGTGCCTAACTCGAGGTTGATCCGATTCATGAACGCTAATTTCGGCCAGTCGTTCTCTAGGTCTCCCCCTTCCTCAAGGTGTCGGAGTTTCACTCAGGGAGAGTCAACAAATTTTACATCCAAACTCTCCTGAAAAACTAATGGAAATAGATTTCTTGCCTTGTGACCAACTGACACAAAATATTGAGTATGAAGTAGTAGTAGTAGTAGTAATTGTAATCTTAAAAAGTATATATTTTGGATGGCCTAAAAAAATATTTTTAATACCTCGGAAACCAAAGCTGCACAAACAAAAATTCTAACGATACAAACGGAGCACTAACCAATTAGAGTATTTGCTGGATCATTTGAGTAGGTGGGGTGTCAGCTTCACGGAGGTCTGTTTCACTTTTCCCATTAAACACCAAGTTAACTAAAAGCTCTCCCTCTTCAGATGTCAATAAGCTGCATTTCCCTCCCAATTCTTTTTCCTTTTGCATAATGACCAGTTGTTGCACCTATAGTTTGTGAAGTAGAGGAATCGTAACGGCTTTTTCTCTTCATGTTGGCCGCATTTTCTGTACTGACTATTTTTCTCATTGTCAGCACTGACCTTACTGAAAGGGAAAACTTGAGGCTTATAGAAACTTTGTATTTTCTGTCCTGGAGGGTTTACTAAGAAGCTGGTTCAGTTGTAAAGCAGGTTAAGTTAACCTGGTAGGTAAAGCATCTAATTTTCTTAACTAAATGATGCCTGCAGGTATACCTATTAGCAGGTTTTATTTTGCCTGCACTTGGTTGTGTACATTATTTTACGTGTATTTAACAAGTTTACCAAAATATAAAAATGTCATTCAAACTGCATTTGCCTTGTTTTACTTTTTACTTGTACTTTTCATTACCTTACTGAGTACATTCATTGTTACAGTAATTTTCAACTTAAGTACAAGACATTTCAGATACTTTAATACTTTAACTCAAGTAACATTTCAATCAGTGACTTTTACTTTTACCAAAGTCATATTTTGGAGCAGTACCTATACTTTTACTTGACTCCGAGATTTCAGTACTTTATACAACACTGATTAATACTTCAACATAATATATATTTCATAATCAACATTTAAATCAGCATGCAAGAATACTTCAGTCTCTCAGGCTCATTATGATCTGTTTTCTGCGTGAACCTGGACAGATCTCACCTCCTCATACCAGTTTTCACGACAGCAGGCAAAGATTTTTTTCCCTCCAATTTTAATCTAGCAAATTAAAAGCTAAAATGTTAGTCAAAGACATCCTTTATGTGCATTATTTAGCAACTTGGCTGATGTGACATGATGCTTGTGTTCTTTGCTTTGCTGACTTTAGCCACATGAAGAACAATTTTAGCCTAAGGAGTGGTGAGGGCAAATGTGATTAATGAAGACATGCTATGGGTGTGGAGGACCAGGCACCACAGAAAGAAGTCCCTATTTGACCACAGAGAAAGCAGATTAAATATTCCCCAAGAAATTTAGGTAAGTCATTTTGTGTTACTATTTTCTCCAGGTAAAGAAGGGTGTGAAGGGACAGGTAAGAGGGGGAAAGGGAGCAGGAATCAACATCCACCAGCTGAGTTAATAAGTTACGTTTTAGACAACTAATTGTTGTCAATTGTATTTATTTATTAATAAACTCCTTGCAAACATCCATAAGCCAGAATATTCAGTTGGAAATAATTATCAACAGTAGTAGTCTGTATGAACTTCTGCCAAACAAATATTTGATTAGAATAACTTTGTTCAGCTCTAGCTACTTGTATTAAGAAATAATTTTATTGCAACCAGTCATGTTAACTCGACATTTGTCTGCCAGTTTACCATTCTAACAGTGTGCAGCAAGGGACATTTCTGGAATCATTTCAAATAAATGCTGAATTAAGATCACATTGTTTCTTGTTTATTTATTTTTGCTCTTTTTAGGCGACCACAATGAATTGAGTCATCACCCACTGTGAGAATGTCCTGAAGAGATTCACCAAGTTTGAATTCATGAAAAGATTTTCACCATGATTAACATTGACCACAAGTATTGCAAGAACAGCAATAATTTCTGAACATTGCGGTTAAAGTTGATATTAATGACACTTAATGACTGTCAAGTGTCTTATAATTTTTTCATGGCTTCCTACACTTGAAAAGGAGGACTTGAAGACATCAGGAATTCACTCAATCTTTTTTATTTTCACCAATGAGTGAGAACCAATGAACAGACCAGGTGAAAAACCTACAAAACACATACAAAATATTTTAACATACATTTTAGACATTTGGTTCAAAGTTAATAATTTATCTTAATGATTAAATTCATTTTTAACCTTAAATTCACAATGTTAAATTATTAAATTTCATGTCTGGTTGAATTTAAATCAAACAAATCACACTTCAGAATTACAGTTTTTTTTCTTAGGACATAAGGTTTTTTACATTAGATATCTTAACATACATTTAGTGGAACCAAACTATAAACTAGCAGTGCAAACTGTTACTTCAATAAATTCTTCATTTAATTTCTCAAATGTAAAACTACAGTCAAATTACATTCAATTGAGCCCAGTTAGTGGCTTACAGGTAGTCCTTATAAGTCCTTTTTCATGAAATGCTGCTTTGGAGGCTGTGTTTGCCTTCCTCAGCTCTGTTGCAAAACCAGTAAAGTGGTTAGTGGATTGCTTATATACCTGAGTTCATGGTGCTGCTTATTGGGCCAGATTTCCTTCACCTGCTGAGAAGTGCTGCAGAGTGGCATACCAATGTGTGTATGTGTGTGTGCACACACAAATGTCTATTCATGCACCCACATCTGAACTAATGAGCAGATCTGCGCAACACCTCCCACTCGATCTTGCAAGGTTTTACCTGGGAAGATCGCATTTTTTTTCTTTAAGCGAGCTGGTTCCCTCTACTTGGTCTTCTGCTGGGATGAGAACTACAAGGCGCCGGACGTCCCGATGGAGTATGATGCCCTGAACCTCCTTAACCAATCCAGAACATTTCTCAGGAGGTTTTGGTGTATTTCCCGAACTATACCCACTTGGAGACACTTTCACATAAACATCCCGGACTATGCCCTTGCAATCAGGATTCACAGCAACAACTCTACCCATCTTGAATTGCCCCCTTAGCGCGTTTTGGTCGGTAAGGTAAGGTAACGCTCTTTTAATGATCTTGACAGCAGCTTCAGCTGCGCCGTTGCGATGTGGTGAATCGGCTGGAAGAATTTTCCATGTCCAGTGAGTCCCATTTTTTGCAGCATACTCTTCAAGTGAGAATTTGTCTTGCTGACTCAGGTAAGCATACATTTCTTGCAGAATGGGTTTTGCCCCAATAAAGTTCGTACCTGGGTCAGACCACACCTTCTGGGGATGACCTCTGATGGACGTAAACCGCTGGTAGGCAAGTATGAAGCTCTCTGTAGATAGTGTGTTTGCCAGTTCAATATGAATGGCTACTTGACATACAGCAGAACAACACACCCCAAACTTTCATGCTTACTCTTTTCTTGACGTCATCTTTCACTTGGTAAGGGCCAAACAAATCAACAGATATGAACTGAAATGGTGCACTTGGACTAGACCTTTCTTCAGGCAGATCCCCATTATTTGCTGACAAGTTTTCCCTCTCACCTTTTTGCACAATACACACTCATCGACAACTTTTCTGGCAATGATTCGTCCTCTGATGACCCATACTTTCTTCCGCATACACAACAAAGTTCCTGCCACTCCATGTCCTTCACTGTGTGCTGCTCGAGCTAGAAGGGTGGAGATCCAAGATTGGAAAGGCAACAGAGGAACAGCTCTGTGGTCCTCCTTAAAAGTCTGAACTCTGCCACCACACATCAAGAGCCCGCTTTTTCCATCTTTGTAGACAACCAGTCTATCAGTCGTTGTGGTTGGAAATTGTACACCTTGTGCTGCTAGGCATACATCTCTGAACACATCTTCTCTTTCGCCAACTGTAATGACACCAGATAAAGGGACCACCTACCACTTTCTTTATCTGTGGCCTTGACATGCAGGAACTTTTTTGCTGCTCTCCAAATCCATGCAACTACTCCTATCAGCTTCCTCAAACTGCTCAAGTCCCTCACGTCCACTAGTTGCTGGACGACTGCAGCTGCAGGTGGCCTCCTCGAGATGATCAATTTATGCTGCACTCTGATTGGATTTTGTTCTTTCTGCTGACTTCGGGTAAGTACAGCAACAAATGTTTTTCTGTATTTTTAAACATTGTCTCTTGCTTGCACAGCGACATCATTTGCAGATTTCTTTGGCCACTCACTTTCAGGAAGTTGAAGGAAACTTGCACCCAACTGCCACTCTGAGTCTTCGGTTAAGTAAACAGGACTTGCTCCTGCTTACTTGACCGAAGAATCTTCTATTTTAGCATCCTCACTATCACGCCACAAAAACCTGTGCAGATGAACCTCTTTCTCTTCTAACCACACAGAGTTGTACATTTTTTGGATGTCACCAAGGGCAGCGAAGACACCAGCTCGGAACCTCAGGAGGACGGCTCTCATCGGATTTAAGACATCAGGACCTTTAATCAACATGTCATTCAAACTCAGACCTTTGTACTTCTGGCTGCTGTTCCACAGTAGCCTCACTGGAGTGGATATGGAATGTGGATTTAGTGCAATCAGATGACTTATATACCACACTGGCCCGGTCCAGCTTTGTAGAACTTCTTTAGACAGTTTCACTGCAGCTTTGCGATCGACCATTTCATGGACTTGTGAAGCATAGGCCAATTTCCACTCTGGATCCTTTGCCAACTGTTTTTTCAGTCCTGAGGAATGTAGTTTCTACTGCTTTCCTATTGTCGGGGAGAGAAGTCAAATCTTCAGTCCATGGATATTTGGCGTGCCAGTGTGATTCAGGAGTGTGGTGGTCACCATTCACATATGTCAAGCCACTTCTCACCGTCTCCATCTCTTTCTCCTCAGCCAAAGACATTTCCTTCCCTCCGGGTTGGCAATTCCCGCAGCGACATCCTCCACATTTTGGTACGCAGGCTGCTCCGATGCTTTCCCATTCCCACCACTTCAGATAATCTTTGCTGGTAGTGGCTGCATTGGATCGGATGAAAGGATGCCTAGGAGACTGACAGGAAACTGAAGATTTGCAGGTGAGTTCACTGTACTTGACAGCTGCAGTCCTCATTGATCTTGCAAAATGTGTCTCTGATGTATGGGCCATTAAGGTAACTTCTTCAAAGAGGTCTGGATGTGTGCCTCCAACCGTCTTGCCGAGTGGTCCATCCCATAGCACCAGGTCCCCGACAGAGCGAACTTTTTGAGGTACAAGTTGACCTTCTTTGTGGCTAATCAGGAGCTGTATCTTTTCAGGTCTTGTAAGGTCTTTTAAGGAGACATCTGGAAAAATCCTCTGTAGCTTTGTGGCAGGGACATGTCTATGAACTTCTGCAATCTTGTCAAGCCCATAGCAGATCAGCTGATGCGATTTGAGAGTCCCTCTTGGAGTATTGACACGTATCTTAAGGAGATAGCGCTTTGTTTCAACAGACACCTGCATTCCTCACATGATGACAACAGTCAAATATATATGAAGACTTACTCATTTTATGACAGGTGTCATGTCATGTTTATGTCAGTGTCATGACAGTCTTGACATGCATATTTATGCAACCAGGTTATTTTAAGTTTTTTATTTTATATTTTTCCACTTTACAGATTTCAATTTGTTTTTCAATTCAATTGTACAAGTCACAATAAAGGTTAAAAAAGGTTAGAAATTATTTGTCTTGTTAATATTTTTTACATCAAGGATATCTGGAACTTGAACATGGTTGTTCGAGTGTCTCTGGATATAAACGTTTTACATCCACTTTAAATTTCAGACATGAAATTGGTTAATGACTCGACCTGCGTAAAGTTGGTCTTTACACAACTTTACATAAAGACCAACTTTACGTAAAGTTGGTCTTTACGTTGGTCTTTACTTTACCAGTTCATTCTAAATAAGAGAATGAACTGGTGCAACACCTTCCAAAACACACTTGGTGACCTGTGTTTGTCCATTTGTCTTTGATGTCCTTCTATCAGATTAGCTGCGGCTGCAGGCATTTTGCTTCTCACAACGACCTGCCACCTGCTGCTCAAATATTTTACACAAAGCACACACATTCCAAGAAGAAAATAAACAGTCAACCAGATCATAAGGATAATGATTATTGTTTATATAGAGTATTAATTTAAACCTATCACCACTCTAGTAAATTTGGTCTAGAACCAGCTGACAAAGAAAACAGGAAAGGCCATTTATATATTTCTTAACCAGCTATATGGGGCAGACTTGTATCATCAGCACCTTTATTCACATGAAAATTTGCAATGCAAAATGTTATGTTTAGTGATCTTTTGCAATGGAAAATTTTAAGTGCAATGCTCTACTTAATTTAGAATTATTTTTATATTTATGAATAAAAATTGTGCACAGCATTGGCTTTATTTATTTGAAGATTGTTTTGTAGTCCAGTACAAAATAGTGCATATGTGCAAAATATTTCGATAAATAATGAGTTAGCGTGATTCCAGTCCTTATGCCTTGTTACTTTTGTTGCTCCTTTTTGAAGTTTGTTTAGTGACTGTTGTGTTTTGTAATTAATTTCACAAACCTCTCTGGAGTCACTTAAATAATATCAAACTATAGAACAGTACCTGCTAGGCTTTTCTGTGTGTGTGAACATACACTATAATAGACTCACTTCATGAACTGTGAACTGAAAAAGTGAAACCCTGACTCGTAATGTCTACTTTCCCATCGATGGACATTCATTCTCATTTAAAGAAAAAGGCCAATAGCCACATAACATTCAGATAAAAATAATGCAATTTCTTTCTTTCTTTTTCTCTCCTCCGAGGATTTGGTTGGCTTGAATGGCCAGTATTTTTTGAAAGTACGCTGATAGGAAAGAGGGGATGGGGAGAGAGGGGAAGACATGTGGCAAATGTCGCCAGGGCCAGGAGTCAAACCCACAACAGCCGTGTCGAGGACTAAGGCCTCCATACGTGGGTTGTGCTAACCCCCTACGTTCTTCAAATGACTGGAGTGCAGTTTTGTGTCATGATTTCAGCCTTTCAGCCCCACCTTGACTGTGCTGATTACTAATTAACTCACCCTAACCTGCATTGTGCTGCTCCCTATTTAAACAGCTGCTCATCACCAGCTCAGTGTGAGATTGTCTGTTGCCCCACTCACAGCTTTCAAGCCTTGTTTCATGTTTCACAGAGTTTTCTGATCTTGCCTGTTTTTTGACCACATATTTTGCCTTGTCCTTCTGCTGCTGGAAGAATTCTGACCTCCTGTTGAAGAACCCTGCCTGTTGCTGACCTTGTCTCCAGCTTGCTAATTACTGGATTGTCTTTACCTGTGGCCCTCCCATGCGGATCGTTTCACGACTCAGTCTCTGGTTGGTGGATTTTGTCCCTGTCTTCTGTTTGTCCCCTAAGCCCCCAAGACCTCCCGTTGTCCATTCATCCTACTACATCTTAAATGTGTGTTTTAGATAGCATATGTAGATATAGTTTTGACTCGTGAAAATGTAATATTTTAAAAGCAAATAATGACTAGGCAAAACTAAAGCTATCTTGAATTATTTATTTAGCTTCCACCACCAACTTTTCATCATGTTATTTCATGGAGGGGTAGAAATTCGCACCCACCACTGGCCAAATGCAGAAAACAATATAAGATTATGAGTAAAAAGAAATAACAAAAAAAAACAGTGGCTGATCAAATGTCTGGGTAAGACTTTATTTGACGGGTTGTGAATAAGACTTTTATGACACCGTCATAAACATGACATAACACCTGTCTTGAACACAACTAAGTCTTCATGAATATTTATGACTGCTGTCATAAAGTGTCATTCAGTAAATTGTGACACTTTTAATACAAAGTTAACATTATTCAAAATGTCTTCATTCTGACAACTTGATATTAATCAAGAAATCATGATCTGACATAAATTTGTTATAAAAAACTTTAAACTTTAGCTTTAATAAAATAAAGCAAAATATTTCTTTTTAAATATGAAGAGACTCAGGGAATTAGAACAGATGATCCAAAGATATCAAGATAATTGATAGAGGAAGATCAAGCAGAATTTGTGTGAAGACGTCAAAAACATGATAATATTAGCAGAGTCCTGCAGAGCAGAACCTTACTGAACTTGCAAATTTGAGATGTTCAGCCAATTCATTCCAGAAGATTTATTTACAGGCGATTTTTTAATTGCTTGATAGATCTCATGAGTTTTGATGGTTTCTACAATACTAACCTTTTCAACTGTGTTGAAGTTGTCTGTACACAGACAACTTGCTGTTGTGGTGTTGCCAAAAATCTATAATCAGATTCGCCCCAGAAGCGCCATCAACAGTACAAGGGAGAGAGCATTTACTAATATTACACAGAATACAAATTATTAATAGTTTTTTACCTCTTTCCAAAAGGATTTTGTATCCTTTTTTATGAGAATTTTCCCCATGAATCAGCCCTCATTGGTGCTCATTCTTGCCAATTAAACATAGTGCATATTTGTAATTTGCAATTGGCAACTTTTTATGTTCAAATACAGTATCCTCAATAGGTTTACTTGTGAGAGCCCAGGAAGTAGTGGCTTCACAGCGTTCACTATGAAGTCACAACTTCACTGTGAAGTCTCATTTGTCTCAAATACTGACACAGATATGTGTCTAATTTTAGTCTTTGGATTAATTTTACTATAAGATGGGCCAGCACCCATTAGTGCTTCAATAATGTCAGAATATTATCCAGGAATATTGGTTCTATGCTCGATATTAGGGCAGTTACAGTTTGTACATGTAGCTGCCTCTCTTGGTAATTTAATGGGACATAACCATTGATCAGTTTGGGTATAGTAACAAGCTATTTGTTCAGTAGTTAAAGAAGACCAGTCGATACGTATCTGATTTGGATTTCTGTTCACATTTACAGTTGTGTCCATGTGATCAAATCTAATTGACACCACTATGTGGATGTAATCAACAGAGGACACTTTGTCTAGAACCCCAGGTCAGTGCAGGAGTGAGTTAAGTGAAGATCTCAAAGTTGAGAAAAACCAGGAAGCACAGGTAACACGACACAGACTGGACAATAGCAGGGAGGACAAAACCACGACAAGGATCCGGTGGGAAGCAGGGAATACGAGTGAGGTTAAATACACAAGGGATAATCAGGGGAATAGCTGGGCTCAAACAGTGGGAGGATACGACAACACAAGGACTAAATTAATATAAGAACATACACAAAAATCCCAGTTCCAACACACTTGAAACCAACAGTTGAATCACCTCCTAAGTGCAGTCAAGTTCTCCAGAGTCCTGCTAATGACCTCATTATTTGACTCAGGTGTGTTGAAGATGCATCTAAAAGTTACAGGAGACCAGCTCTCAAGGCCTGGAGTTCCCCACCCCTAGGATAAGGTCTCCTTCAACATCAATGCTCTATTGAAAACATCATCTTTTAATTGTGTCTGTGTGTGGTTCTCCAGCAGTCCAGCAGCATGGAGAAAGACTCTCCAGAGAATCATAAAATCTGTCCAGAAGACTATCAGCTGTTCTGTTAAACGTGTTGTTTTGATTAGGCATCAGAATATGAGTGGCCTAAAACCCCCATCACCCTCAAAAGACTTACATATCAGACAATGGTTCCAAGAAGACACCGGTGTCCTCAGAACAGTTAAGAGGTTAAAATCCTAAACGTTACCTTGAATGACGGATTTACTCTATTTTACGCCACAGTCACCTGTAAACATAGGCTTTGAAATAAATCAGTTAACCGATAGTACTCACCAGTGTTGAAACCTCTCCCTTGTGCTGGCCAGGGTCGATGGTTCTTCCAGAGATTCCCCAGATACCAGTCACTCTGGTTTTCTACTAGACCGAGAACCTGCTGACCTGAACAAAGCACAAACAGCAGTTTTTCTGTAGAGACAGTCAAGGTAAATTAATTTCTTAGAAATTTAATGTTGCTATTTAATATTAGTATGTCTATTTTTGGCTGAAATTGTCTGAAACCACCACCCAATTTTCCAACAGTTTTGTGTTTAAGTTTCAAGGAGTCTCTGGCTGTAATAATGAAATGCTTTGAGAAAATGGTCATGCAGTTTCTAGATCCAGATTTCATGAAAAAAAATGTATTCCAAACTTTCAGAGCTTTACTCGGTAAACTCCTTCCTATATTTCTATACAACTTAAATAAATACCTCTTCCTGTAGTCTTATGGTTTACATTCGAAGTCTGTGTTGAGGCACGTTGAGGATTGTTGTGGCTTGTTTTGAGTGTCTTGTGTGGTGAGATTTGAACTGTTTGGAGTATTTTGAGGATTTGAGGTGTGAAGAGCAACCAGTGCGTCAAATGGAAAACAATAGCTAGAGCTGACAAGTCTGACATGCCTTCGGCACGCCTCCACATAGACTTTTAACATAAACCAGACACGCGACACGATAGATGTAGAGCAAGAGGTCAAGGGTCTGCATTTAAAGGGCACTCGCATAGCATGACTCTGGCCTCGTAGCGACTGTGGCAACTCCACCCACTCGCCACCATCGATGCTCTCATGCAGTTCCTGCACCCCACGCAAGGCAATATGAAGTGGAGTCGAATTATAATTTAATGGTCTTGGGCTCTTCAGAGGTTCAAAAAGCCAAATTGGAAGTTGCATGTATAACTTATCCCTCGCTTTATGTATGCGTAAAGCGAGGGATTAAAATTTGCCATTCGGCCACAACCACACAGTTCAGCCAGCAGCCAGCATTGACAGAATTCATCATCTTGTCATTTTATGAATGAGAAAGTAAAGTAAGTAAAGTAAGACATCCAGCAGAAAATACACGTGATTTCCTGTTGGAAGTGTTTGACGCTAAGATGATGTCTTCAATTGCCCATTGAATGTGATGAGGGCTGATCTGACATCAGACATAGAAAGTCTGATGCATCTCTAACTTTGTTTGTGGACATTATTGCACCTTGATGTTTCATAGCAACAAGGTGGCTAAGTGTTAGCCACCTTGTCGAAAAATTGCGCACGCATGTCTACTCACTGGATGTATGCTATTCTTATAGCATATGCTGACAGCATTTCAGTTTGTCCCGATATTTTCATTTATGATGTTTAATTTTTCTCGCACTTCGATTAACTGAAATGGTGCTATTTATAATCTTAGAGGGGAGGGGCAGGGCAAAGAGGATTGAGGGATTTCATTGGATAAGCCCAAAGTTCATCAATGAAATCAACCAATGGGCTTTCGTGGTCACTAAAAATGATAATTTAACAAAAAAAAAGTATATTAAATTTGACAGCATAAGACCACCAGATACAGACAGTAAATGTATAAACCAGACGGTCATTCCTCCTCTGGACAGAAGTACAAACAAAAAATCCAGTTTTTTTTTCTGTTCAAATTGTCAACTGCGGCGGGTGCGCTAATTTCCACCCCTGGAATCTTCCACCCAGGGATCCTTCCCATAGTTCTAAAAGTGGTCGTTTGGAGTAAAAAAAAGTTTTTAAAAAAAAAGCTCACCTGAGCTTTTTTTTTTTTTTTACTGTTTATACAGTTCTGGCTGGGTTGTTGGTTCATGAGCTTTTTTTGTGTGGTGACATCTGACATCTGTCGCACTTTTCCTGAGCTAAGGACTGCAGGTGAAACAGTTAAATCTAGTTGAATCATTTGCCAAAAAAGTAGAAATGAATTAAACATTGATGCTTCACCTTCTCCTGTGGAAGTCTCAGACACACCACCTGAACCTTGGAATCTTCATCCTCCACCTCCTGTGCTTTGCTTTATTTATAATTTGTAAAAAAAAAAAAAAAGGATCAGCTGTCTTAGGGCCATGCACACAATGCGCGTGTACCATATTTGGGTGGTTTAGGTATTTGCCGGTGTTCTGTTTATCTGTGCTTTCCGTAAATCCATCCTGTTTCGTCACATACTGCTTACTCAGCAGATTTCTTACAGATACATCCTACCTGTGGAAATATTGTTTCATGTGTTTTATTTCATCGACGATTACGGTAAGTTTGATTTAATTTATTCTGTGCCTGACTTTCATTAAGCTAATGAAAGTCAGGCTTCATTACTTCATGTTTCTGCTTTACATGACAGGAAGCTTGTAAATGGCTTCAGTTTTTTCTTTCTGCAGTCATTACTACTATAAGCAAGTCATTGTTTGGCAGTTGATCAGGACAAAATACTGTTTTGTGGGCTATTTTGTCCATACATTCAAAAAATATTGTGTACAGTGATAGTTTTGTGCATACGTACACTTCGATAATATCTTGCAGGGTCAATGTGCGTTTTTTTTTTTTTTTCTTACCCCCTATGGTGCGGAGCAGATGCTCCATCAACCTACCTTTAAAGTTGTGAAAGACAGCCCAGAGCTCAGCAATGTCAGTGGCAAAAGTGATATCTGTGTCAAGAACAATGACCCTGTGCAGATTCATGGGCAGCGTCTTGGTGAGCACCAGTTTCATTAGTCCGTAGATACCAGAGTAGTGTTTATTAGGTATCCATGACACTTCAGACTGAAACAACAGAGCAAAGACCATCACTTCCATAAGGTCCAAAGAGTACAGAGCTCAAACAAAAAACACAAATATAAAAGTGATAGTGCTCCATTGAGAATTTCTGAAGAAAGTAAGGAATTGCTTAAGTAAGAGGATGATTTTTTTTCTCACCTTAAGCTCATCTGCATCATAGAAGTTCACCCTGACAGCAGGGACCATCCAAGAATGAAACAAATAGGAGAGAATCTTCTTTGCAATAGAGTCTGTGATGAAGTGGAAATGAAGCGCATTCCGTCTGAAGACACAAAAATACAACAAAATGCTAATAGTCATTTTCTGCAGAAGAGTAAAAAACAAACCAGACAAAAAAAAGTCAAGAGTCTTAGATTTTAAAGTCTTAATAATATCCCAATCCCACATCTTCACACCTCATCACAGAGGGATTTGAGTCGCATCTATTTAAAGCAGTAGCTTGGTCTACAAAGGCTTGGAATCAGGCCAATCAGTATACCCAGCCAACCCTCCATACCTCTCCCTAGCCCAGAAGGGTGCCCTGGATCTCGGGTCTGACAGAGGTTGATATCTGAGATCTTTGATATCAGACTGTCCTCAAAACAAGTCATGACTCTTTAAGTTGTAGTAACTATATTGAGAAGCATAAATGTGAATCTTTTTTAGATTAAAAAGTGGAATTCATAGGGGCTTAAAGTAAATGAATGTTGACATACCTGTGGAAAAGAACAGATTTCACCAATGTTACAACATCTCGACTTGCGTTGTAACCTGCACATACGATGGCCACATGGATAGTCTGGGGAGAAAATAGAGAAAACTGTGAAAAAAACTGATTGGATTTATACACTGATTGGATTTATTCCGATATCACGTTCTTTCCCTTTAAACCTTTTGCCTCACATTCTTCCCTGTCTTTTCATCTGTGTCTATTTGAAATAAACCCAAAGCAATTTCAGTTAGGCTTTTTTTGGACCAGGACACTGCCTGGCCAAAAAAAAGTCGCCACCTGGATTTAACTAAGCAAATAGGTACCAGCCTTGATAATTGCTGCATAGATGATTATGTATCAGCTGGCAACAAGTTATTTAAAACTCAACAGGTGCAAAGGTTGCGGAAAAGATGTCAGTCTGTTTGAGAAGGGTCCAAAGCATTGGCATGGATCAAGCAAAGAAAATATCAAAGGAGAATGCAAAAACTTTTAAAATGTTAAGAACTGTCCAACACATTAAAAACTAGATTAGTGGGGATCCATCATCTTTGAGGAAGAAATGTGGCTAGAAGAAAATTCTCAATGATCGTGATTGGCAGTCACTTAAACGTTTGGGAAATTTTTTTTTTTTTTTTTTTAAAACCCAGTAGAACTCCGGGCTATGTTTAATAATGACAGTAAGGGCTTTCAGTTATTTGAAGGGAACTTAACGAATTGGGATTGGAACTGAACAGCTGTGTACCCTTAAGAAAACCATCAATCACTGAGGCTACCCAGAAAAAAGGCTTCAATTTGCTAGGGAGCATAAAGGTTTAACTTTGGAGCATGTGCTCTGATGAATCCAGATTCACCCTGTTCCAAAGTGATGGGTGCATTAGGGTAAGAAGAGAGGCCAGGGAAGTGATGAACCCATCATGCTAAGTATCTATTGTACAAGTCTGTGCGTTCAGTGCTATGATTTGGGCTTTCTGCATATGGTCAGGTCTATGTTCGGCAACAGTATGTGCTCAAAGAATGAGAACAACTAACTACCAGAATATATTGAATGACCATGTTACTCTTTTTTTTTCTTCCCTGATGGCCCGGGTGTATTACAAGATGACAATGCCAACATTTTTGGGATGTTCTGGAGAAGGATTTGTGCAGTAGTCAGACTGTACCATAATCAATCCAAGCTCTTGGTAAAACATTAATGCAGCACTGAATGGAAATAATGCTTGTGATATTGCAGAAGCAAGCGTTATTTATTAATATATTCATATATATATATATATATATATATATATATATATATATATATATATACACCGTTATAAACAATGACACAGCAAATTTATGCCATAATGAAAGCTAAAAGCGGTCCAACAAAATATTAGAGTTCGGCAAGTTTTTTTTTTTTTTTTTTTTTTTTTTTTTATAGCCAGGTACCCTCACCTTGACAAAAAAAAAAAAACGCCAGGCCATGTTAAAAAAAAAAAAAAGACAAAAAAACTCATACATGTGTTTTTTAACTTACAGAATCATGAAGGCAGTGATTTTGTGTTGGGGAAAACAGCCTGAATAGATAATCATTCCACAGTTTTCGTATTTTATTAAATAAATATAAAATGAATTTAGGATTTTTGTTCCACTTGTAGTTTGCCCTGGTCTGTCACAAAAAATTTTCCAATACACAGACATTTATGCAAACCTGAAAAGGTTCAACTCGTATGAAGAGAAAGGTTAACCACCCACTCAACACCTTAATGACCAACGATTGTTGGGCCAAGTACAATATAAATTATATCATTAAGTATGCAGATCACACAACAGTGGTAGGTCTCATCCAGGATGGTGAGAAGTACTGCAGAGAGGAGGTGAAACCTTTTGTAGAATAGTACAGCAACAACAACCTGTTTCTGAATGTGGGAAAAACCAAAGAACTGGTGATTGACTTCAGGAGGAAACGGTATGTGCACACTCTTTTCAAAATCCAGAACACTGCTGTGAAGATTGTCACACACCTAATGTTCCTCAGGGTCCACATAGCAGACACTCTCACCTGGTTGCTGCACACCAACTTCATATTCAAAAGGGCCCACCATTACCAGCACTACCTTATGGAGGCACTTAAGAGTGCACACTTCAGCCCATAAATCTTTTACAGAGGTACCATTGAGAGTGTGCTTACCAGCAGCAGCTTTCCAAGGCATGAGAGCAGCAGTGCCTGACACAGGAAGACACTGGGGAGAGTGATGAGGCCAGGTGAAAAAGTGATTGGGATCCCACTGCCACCCACTGTGGGTAGCAACACTACCTGATGAGGACAAGAATCCCTTTCACCAAGTCATGGACTGTTCTCTCTCCTACTCTGGCAGCAGATCCTGCAGCCAGTCATGCAGAACAGTAAGATTCTGCAACATTGTTTTGCACATATTATTCCTGACACATTTCTTGCACAAATTGCAAACATCATCATCATCCCCCTTTTTTTTTATTTAGGTTTTATTCTATATTATTCTTCTATTCTTCTACAGTTTCTGTTTGTGTCTTAGTATTCACTATAATTTCATTTTGCAGTGCATTTCTGATGTCATGTTGAATGTCAATAAAGATAATTTGACTCTGAATATATTTCTTAATGTCGTAATTTTATTCCTGCTTCAATAACCACTTGTGACTTAATGTAGACATGTTTAGAGTGATGGACCTGAGGCAAACCAAAGACTTACCTCACATTTATCCACTAACTGATGTTGTAAACAGTTGGAGTTGTTCCCCACAGCAGCATTCTTTTGTCCATCATTGTTACTGGTGCCTTCTTCTAAATGAGTTCGACTTTGGTTTCCTTTGCTTGTGAAGTTTGTATAGGAAGAAGACGAGTTCCTGAGAGGACGACTGAGCTCCTGGCGCAGGGCCTTGTTTTCCTCTTCCACCACTCGGATCCTCAGCTCCAAGGCCAGCCGTGCATTAGCATCAACCAGTGGTGGAGGTGACTGTGCTTCCAATGAAGATAGACGTAGGGGCTTCACTGTTGGATTATAGGATGGATCATTTTATTTTACAGGAGGCCCTTAAACTAAACAAGAATGACTTTACGAAAAAAGAGTCTTAGATAAGGGAAACAGTAAAGCTTTTGTAAACCAAAATCTTGACCATTTTTACTGATATACCAAAACACACTACGATAATAAAGCTTTTTTTGATGACCATTTAAAACAGTTGTCACTGCATAGATTTTAAACTCACATAAATGGAAGATGTCTTGTCAGATCATTTGGAAGAGTATTTACAATGTTTCAATCATTTCTTGCTCAATAAAGCTTGGTGAAACGTTCTTTCCTCCAGCAATAATAATGACAAACAGATTGTTCAATAGATTATTTTGAAAATATATAAAGAAAAAATATAAACATTAGCATTTAATGTAAAAGGGTAACTGGTAGCATGTGGAGTAGCGCCCCAAACTGTTCCAAAGAAAAGTATTGTAAAATGTGAATTACAGATGCTTTCTTAAAAATACAAAGAGCACTTTTAGTGCTGAAAAAGAGAGGCTTTCAGATAAACAGAACATTTGCAGAATAAACTTCAAATGAACAAAAAAGGATGCAGACAGCAGAGCTGAACAAAGAGGCCAGAGAAGAGAGATTTAGAGAGATTTGAAATAATTGCAAGAGCAATTATTGCTAAAAATAGATGAAACAAGAAGGAAACCTTTCCAGCCTGACATTTGTTTATTGTTTTTTCTTTTCTTTACTAGTTGACATAATGGACAAAGTAGATACAACTTAACTAGAAAATATCACAGTAACAACTTTAGGCTGCTTTGTACAATAGCGATACTTTTTGTACAATACAATAGCATGACCACACATCTTATTTGTAAAATTTTCATTCAATCGACACTCTTATCATTTATCCATTCTCTACACTTTCTTATCCTTGCAGGGATAAAAGGGGTATGGAAGAGGAAGGGCATAAATATTCACTCTTACCTTGAAAATTTCCAATTGACAGGTAAAGCCAGGTGAGTGTGGGGATGAAAAGCAAGACAAGAGAGGCTGCCAGGAACTTCCTTCGTCCACGAAATATTCCCAGCATCTTTTGAATTGAAGTCAGTGTTGAGAGGTAATTTGACCTCTGTGGAGCATTTTTGTCTCACAATTTTTCTCCAATTGTAACATTTTTACTGAAAGAAAACAAGTCAATGCGTTGAGGTGCCAGAACTATTTCCAGCTCAACAGAAACAAAACTGAAGTAATTATCTTTGGCTCTAAAGAGGAACGATCTAGAGTCTGTTCACCGCTTCAGTTATTACAGCTAGATACTAGCCTGATATCTGGGTGAAGTGATGGTCAGACCTGAAGCCACATAAAGACAACTATATAGTCAGCCTTCTGTCACCAGGAGAACATTACAAGAGCTTGCTGGAAGTGATGCCCCAGCAAGCTCTAGAAAAACTTATCCATGTGTTTAGTTGTATTAATTACTGCAACAGTGTCTCCTAAAAAAGTCAATTGGACAGCTCCAACTTATCCAGAACGCTTATGATTGCATTCTCACTAAAACTAGGAAGACAGAGCACATCCTCCCACTTCTAAAGTTCTTACACATGTTCTCAGATGATACATATCATTGTATCAACCTTCCAGACCCCTGAGATTTTCTTCTTGTGATCTACTCTGCATCCCCAGAACAGAACCAAATATGGAGAAGGAGCATTCAGTTTTTATGCTCCTCTCATCTGGAATTGCAAAACTGCTGAAACAGAGTTCCTTTAAATCAAGGTTAAAAACCCACCTGCTTAGAACTGCCATTGATGAATAACTGGAAAATATATATATTTGATTATAATTATTCTTGATGGCATTTGACAAAATGCAATATTTATGCATATTTCATAACTGATTACTCTGTTTTGTGTTGTTATTAAATGAAGATCATTGAACTGCTCTATCGCTGAAATGTGCTTTAGAAATAAACTTGACTCGAATTCCAAAAACTGGACAAATGTTATAAAAATGTATTCTGAAACAGAATAAGAAGTACTATATTAACCCCGACATTACAAAACTGGAATCTCATTAAAGCTATGAAAATTAACAGTAACAAAAAAAAATTGAGGATTTGAAAAAATTTCAACGAAAGGAATATATTTAAATTATATTTTAAGGCAACCTGTAGAAAAATTAAACTATTCTAACATATTCTGATAGGTGGGTGTCGGAATACTAACTTAGGTTCTGTTTTCATCCTCAACACAACACTCCTTTCTTCCTGATAAATATATTAGATTGTTGGACAAATAAAACCTGTTAAATTTTGTTTTGAAACCGCATCTTGCTACTGCTACATTTGCAATTAAGCCCATGATCCTGATATATTTTAAAAATATTGCATCGTTCTTTTATACGAGACAGTTTATTGTGACAAACTAACAGTTTTGTGAAAATGTTGATCATATTCCCGGTGTTTGAAATGCACCATCTGTGCCCGCCTCAGCAGCAAACTCACTTCTATGTGACACATTTGCGCAATGCTTACGTTTTCAAACTGCTATTTGTAGTGTAAGAGCTACTCGAATTACAAGCTCACCTGATGCAGAGGGTTGAACGGGTTGATTTTAGAAAAAAAACGGAAATCTAAAAGCCGTTATGCAGTTTCAGCACCGGATCTGTTTTCAAGCAGGCGACATGGTGGCTCCACTCTGTGCTGCTCCATGTATCAGTGTTTCCTAGGTTCGACAGCCTCAGGTTACCGGAACCAAAAGCTGGATCGGATAAAGAGCTAAGATAAGCTTCCGTCTGTGTCGCCGCTCGGCCCCATCATGCCTGGTTAAAGCAGCAGCAGGTTTGGAACACAGTGGCGAGAAACAGCGGCCTGTCTGGTCTGACCGCAGGGATCCTGCACCCCAATATTTATTCACAAATCACCCAATATTGTAGAATTATTGCTTGTGATCCTGTTTTCGGACTCATCACAACGCTCCTTTCTTCCTGGCAAGCAGTCAGCATCCAATCACGGCGTTGGAACCGCGGAGGGATTAGGGATAAAAAGGACTGGATCATTGTGGAGCGGAGTGTGGTCGGGTCAAGCTTACGTGGGGGAGGCGTCTTTAGGACCCCCAGTTATCGGAAGGTTATTCTTCTCCTTCTCTGTTTTGATGGTTGGCAAACGAAAAAAAACCGTAAAGTAGCATTCTTCTTCTTCTTTTCCTTTCGGCTTTTTCCCTTTAGGGGTCGCCACAGCGAGTCATCCGTCTCCATGTAACCCTGTCTTCCGCATCGTCTTCTCTCACACCAACTACCTTCACGTCCTCCTTCACTCCATCCAGAAATCTCCTCTTTGGTCCTCTCGTGTCTTTCCTGTCAGGTCCTGGATTCTACATCCTTCCACCGATGTATTCAGTCTCTCTCCTCTGAAATGAACTGTTCCTCTGATGTATTTATTTCTGATTTTATTCATCCTTGTCACTCCCAAAGAGAACCTCAACATCTTCATCACTGCTACATCCAGCGGTGCCTCCTGCCTCTTTGTCATTGCCACTGCCTCTAAACCAAACAGCATAGATGGGTTCTTCACAGGCCTGTCCAACAAATCAATCCTCCAGCTGCAGCTGATCCAGAAGCTGCTGCTCCTGTTCTCACTACAAGCAGGAAGATAGAGACATAACAGCAGTTTTAAAGTCCCTCCACTGGCTCCCTGTAGCTCAAGAATAGATTTTAAAATACTGTTGTTGGTTTACAAATCACTGAACGGTTTAGCACCACAATACATCAAAGATCTGCTGTTGTTGTATCAACCTTCCACTCTCAGGTTCTGGTTCTGGTTCTGGTTCTGGTTCTGCTCTGCTCTGCATCCCCAGAACCAGAACCAAGAGAGGAAAAGCAGCTTTCAGCATCTATGCACCAAAAATTTGGAACAAACTTCCAGAAAACTGTAAAACAGCAGAAACCCTGACTTCCTTTAAATCTTGACTAAAAACACACCTGTTTAGAGTTGTATTTGAAATGTAATCAATTCAAAATGTAGTGATGGAACTTGACTTAATGTATTGTTTATTCTGTTGCATGACTTTGTGTTTTTGTGTTTTATGATGTGAAGCACTTTGAATGCCTTGCTGCTGAAATGTGCTATACTAATAAAATTTGATTTGAATACTGTCTCTTGTACCTCTGCATTCTTACTGATACTCTTTTATCAGACATCACCACTGACATTTTTCTCCACCTGGTCCAACCTGTTTGGACATGTTTCTTCACTTCTTTTCCACACTTGCCATTAATCTGGACTATTGACCACTTACTTACTTGCTTGCTTACTGCCAGCCAGCCTGTTAGTTTATTCTTGTATTCCCCTTCCTCAATATTAACTTCATTTTGTTTCTTATGATCTCCTATCTTTAGGCTCAAAACCAGAAGCAAAGTCACCCTAAATTCTAATAGGCAATAATTGTATGGCGGTTATGTATGTGTATGTATGTTGTAAATACTACCATATTTATGTTTGTATTGTATATACATTGCATTTCTTACACTGCGTTGTTTCTGGAACTAATTATTTTTAACATTAATCTCATTGCACATGAGAATGGTGACAAATAAATAAATTCTTTTTTGTCATGCTCTTACCATATTCTGCTAAGTTTCCTCAATTTTAATTATTGTTTGAAAAGCTTTTGCCACATAGGCTTATTCCTTTGAATTCAGTTTCTTCTTTTATTTTGTTCTTGGTACATTGAGGTTTCTTTAGACATGTTGGCTTTTCTTGATTTGGTGTGTCCTCTATAGCAGTGGTCCCCAACCACCGAGCCGCGGACCGGTACCGGTTCGTGGACCAATTGGTACCGGGCCACGCAAGAAATAAATATTTCCGTTTTATGTAGTATTTGAGTCTGGAGGACCTTTTACTTTGAAAATCCTTTGACCGAATTCTCTCGGTTACGTCTTGCGCGCCGACTTTGAGCTACAAGCAGCTCAAGAATCAGATCAGATTCTTTGGAAAGTTTCTTTGCGAAGGGAGGCCCAAAAAAGAGACAGGAGAATACATTTATCCCGGTAGGTGATTCCCACATTCCAAGCTGCTCTGCATGATATGATGACCGGATGTTAATGAGGCAATGAAGTTTCAAACTGCTTCTCCACTACAGACCAAGTAGCTCCCTGAGCATCAGCAACACTTCAGGAGTCATTGTCTTTCATCACTCCCAGATGGGAGAAACAACCTCAGGGCTCCCATTAAAAACATTTGGTATCAGACATAAAATCAATTCAGCCGACAGAAAATAAAATAAAAACTCCTTTATCCGCACCGGCAGATCATCTGTCTGAGGCACTGAGCGAGAAATCCGTGCTTTGCACCCGGAAGTCACAGACATTACGTTATGGAGAGTTAAAATTTTCATGAAAGTAAAATGTGCGTTTTTATGGCACATCTGTATCTTATTTTGAAGGGATATGTAAACTTGACCATAACGACCAGAGTCAGAGTGCGTTAGCAGTGGTCGGAAAGAGATGAGAGGAGTAGAGCTTGTGAGTTTTAGGTCTGGTTCACACGACACGATTGAAGGATTATCGGCCGATTTTCCAAACTTCTGTGACCACAGAGCCGATAAAAGTCCCAACAGATTCGGTCGGTTCGTGTGTCCAGTCACACGAACCAATTCCACTCACAACATCCAGAAGAAATTCAGTGAAACCACCGATATACCATCCGCGAATTTAGAATAATCAAACACAGATGATGTAGAAGTAGTAGTGATAATTTGTGGACTCATTTTAAGCGATAACAAAAAGAAAAGGCGTTTGATAAAAGATGGCGGGAGCGGCCGCTCTATTTGCTGCTCTGTGATTTGGAGGTGAGTTTTTTAGTAGTTAACATTTTTAAATGAATAAACATAACGACATATAGTAAATGTATATAATAATGACCTTTACATATAGTAATGAACATTTCCACATCCACCGGACTCAGTGGTCATGCCACCTATTTGGGATTCCCTCAGGTCTTACGTCACCGCTCTTTCTGATTGGCTACCTGTCACATTCAACAAGCTGAGTTCTCGCTCCCAGTCGGGAAAAACCCCACAGGCTGCGAAAGAATGACCAAGACAATCAAACATGTCAAATATGTCCAATTTTATATGGGGCAAATTTAACGGACCACACCACCACCACACACTGCAGGACATTGTAAGATAAATCCACCTCCTCGCTGCTGAGGCATCATAGGGCCAGGCATCAGAATGAAGTCCCAGATATACACCTAGGATGAACTCAGATCATCCCAGATGATCAGATCAGCCATTCTATAAATTACTCAGTTGCTTTTTCTACAGCAGGAGAAGCTGTGTCAAAAAAGCATAACAGACTAAATGTCAAAATGTTGGAAAACGGTTTTTTTTTTTTAAATGAAAATTTGTGAGAAAAAAAAAAAGTCCACAAGCATTGTCATTCCAAACACGTCCACTTAAATTTTCACTTTATGGTATGTGTTCACATTATTTATTGACTATATCGAAGAATATCAAATATATTCGGAATTTAATTGAAGATATGACAAAATACAATGCATAATATACAATAAAATATTTTATAGACAGAGTCTGTCAACTACGCTGTCTGTAGGGATTTTTAATGTCCAGCAGGGGTCAGCATTCAGTGACACAGTATCAGATACAGTTTTGCAATGGGTCAATTACTCATCACTATTCAAGACAAAAGGGACACAAATCAAGTTGTACGTTCATGCATGTCTTTAATATATCAGTTTTTCATATTCACAACTAATACATAAAGCCTTCCCCCTATATTTACAACTTTAAATATTTTTTACACTACTATCTCATCAAAATGTCTTAGATTAGAGCATCAATGAATTTGTTACATTTAAATTCTCCATGCCTTCTAGCAAACTGACGGTATATTCTTTTTACAACTATTTACAGATGAAAAAATAGCTGTAAAGGTCACACTTGAAATTAACTAAAGGTGCAAGCTAGAAGGACAGTCGGGAGTTCTTTAAGAAAAACAACACAAGATATGGAAAAGACCAAACTGAAAGTGGGTCAGAGTCAATCTTTACTCCCAGAATGATGTATCCATTCATTTTCTCCCACTTATCTCATTTTGGGTGCTTGTATCTTGTTCTCTTGGTCATTACACAAAGCTTATGATAATAGATGAGGGTAGGAACGTAGATTGACATGTAATTTGAAAGCTTTGCCGATATCCATTATATTTGCAAAAAAAAAGTAACATGACAGAAATTAAAACAGCTCTTGCTTCCTCAGGTCTCATAGTATGTAAGCAGCTGTAGAAAATACAAACACTGAAGGATGCTTCCAAAACCTCGGGACAAGAACAAAAGCTATACTCGGACAAAGGTCAACTAGGAGCTCATAGTTTTACCGCAGTTATGATCTTAAATTGGGTCAAACACTTTACGAGGTAAAGAGCAAAACACACACGTTTGTGAAGTGTATACAAGATGTGATATATCTTTCTGTTTAGACTGTTCTAATTGGATGTGTGTATCTCAATTCAGCTCAACACAATTGTGCTTCACAGAGATTAGCTGCTCAGTGACACAGAAAGCTATTTTCACTTATTTGACTTCACTTTGACTGCAAAAGAAGGATGGTAATGGACAGTGATAAAAAAAGCCAATGTTTTGAGTTTAATTTTCCTCCACAATTTCAAAATGGTTATTTAAAAACCATACCTTCAGTCTTGAACTTAGAACTTGAACTTGTAGAAAAGCTTGGTCAGAAAAGTGATCTGAAGCATCTGAGGAGTAACAAAATAAAACTACACTTAGACAATAACCAGCCAATATGACAGTAATAACTTAGTCTTTATATTGTATGAAGAAACAAAAACTTGAATGAGATTCAGTAGCTTGAAGATCTAACCGACAGACACCCTACCCACTAAATTAAATATGCGCTACTGTAAACCAAGTCTGCCTGTATTTCCTGTAGCAGCAAATGACTGTGTCAAAAACTACTATTGAAAATAATAACATTCTGGCAGCATTCACTAGAAAGTAATTACTATTCTGGTTTTGACCAGTAATGTTTTTCTGATGTGCATGGATCTATGCAAGCACATTCATCCAATAACAGTTACCTGAAACATCCTGCTTCATATGAAGAAGTAACAATACTTTCTTAAAGTCTTCCCTCTTTCATTCTGATTCAAGATTCAGACCATCATAAGTATGTTTTTCTTATGATGGTTCAACTTGGCAACATTAAAATATGTAAACAGTTTAAGGATACTGACACCCTGCCCTAACTATCAACAGTTTTGTTTTTCATCAGAACATAATTTGGTCCTGAATGCCACTTCAAGCTAATGGCGCAGGTGGTAGGGAACTTAAAACCGTGATGAACATAGATAATCAGTCCCTCGTTCATTTTGATCAAAGACTTTGGGTCGGAATAGATGCTGATGCATCTAATTGTCAGGTGAAATATTGATACTGTGTTTTACATATTTGTTGTATGGACAGATACTCTGAAAAAAATAAGCTCATGTGCCTTAGTAGAAGGCAGATGAGCTACAGCTAGTTCTACACTACAATTAGTTCACTACCACAGAGCCTGCCATGAATGCTCAGGATAGTTAGCATAGCCAATGACAACAAAGAGAAGAAGCTTGAACAGGACAAATTTTTCCTCTTCATTCACTTTCATAAAGATCACTCATGTTTCTGAGGATCTTTGGGTTTAGTGAGAGAGCTCAGTAAGTCCTTGTCCTGCATAGCCAGAGAGCATGTCGTGTTTTCTGTCAGACAACAGTGCCCCTGTGGGCCCACATGACATTACCAAGGTATAGACCTGCATATCGGTTCCAAAGGCTCTGACTGTGTAGGAAGTAGATTTTCAGTTCTATATCTGCTTTGAATAATATGCATGATTTACTTCCACTGCTTCTATTCTTTCAAGATTTCCTAGCTTAAAATATATTTAGCTTCCACCATCAACCTTTCATAATGTTATTTCATGGAGGTCATCTACACCTGAAACATTCTCAGTCATATCCCACAGCTGGATGATGACAGACAAATTAAAAAGCTTTTTTGTATTTTTGAAAGTTGGTCAGACTCGTTAATCAGTGTTCTCTCTGAGGATGCTGTTCATGTTAGGGTGATTCAAACACTGATATGTGATTTTTGCAATGGGAATAAGTTGGAAATTTTTTTTCTAGTTATAGATCTCTAGTCAGAGAGTATCACATGATCCTTTTTATAAAAGATGTTGCTTTTTTAGCTTTGTTGCTCCATTTGCCCCTCAATTCTGTGGCTCAGACTGCTAGCTGTTCCATTTAGTATCTACACCAATCACAGTTCTGGACTCTGCTGGGTAGTTTGCAACGAAAGATAGCAGCACTGCGTAGACAAGAGCATATAGCATTAATCCTGTAGATGTTTTATAGTCCTGTGGTGGCTTAATGGAGTTTATTCCAATTCAGCCAGAAAAACTATAAACATTTGATGAGGGAACGAGAACCAAAGCTCAGAGGAAAGTAACAAAAAGAAAAGTGCAAGTAACGGGTAAGATGGATCAAGATCAAGGTTGAAAGCTTTTTGTGCTATGTTAGACTTCACTTTTTGAAACACCATTTCTGAGTGTGTGCAACTCAATATTCACCACACTTCTGTTTCTGTAGATGACTAAGTGGCACTTAAATCAAGATTCATCTGCTTTTCAGATTGTAACTCATTCTTCAGGTAAGAGGAAAAACAAAGGCCAATTGCTTAGTCGCTCTACAAAGTGCAAATACACAGGTCACAATGACTAAAACAAGCATTAAAAGAAAGACTGAACTATTGTGAGTATAAAGCTATCAAAAAACAAAGAAAAAACTATTATAAATATGTCAAAATCTGCAGGCCTGCCTGTATAGTAGAAGGAAAACAATAAAAACAAAATTCAAGGAACCAATATTAACGCCTTCAATCCTTCAACACACAATGACATGAATGATGGAGCATTGTATAGAGAAAATAAAAAAGAAGGTTAGAGACCTGGATTATTATGCAGATAACACTCTTAGCCATCAATCATAGGCAACAAAAAGCTGGGTCCGAAATTTAAAGAGTGTAAATTTCCACTGAATGAACTTTTTCATTCAGTGGAGGAAGGAAGAGATGGTGACTACCTGGGGAAACAATCTGGAAGCCCAAAGAGGCCATCAGCACTGTACACGAGACTTGCATTCAGTGTTCATTCATTCACTCTCTACATAAACCCTCCCGCTTTTAATTTGGGATACTATAACTTGGTGTACTGATACGACTTAACAAAATATTTGAATTTTCCTGCCTTTTTTTCCCTTCATCAATCTTACGAACATTCTCATTCAAAGTAAACAGGAGTCATCGAGAATGAATGAATGGAAAGTTTGAATCGAGGGATAGTGTGGAGGAGCTTCTGCAGTGTAGATACTTCAAAAATGTCTCATCCAGAATGATGAATGGTTCAGTTAGTTGGAGGGCTTCTGACTGCTTTGGGAAACGAGGCTAGATAATCCCAAAGTCGGATAAAAGGTAGAAGGAAATTATCTGCACGAGAACTTTGACTAATAGAATCTGCTGCGAGAAACTGACCAGCAAGTTTACAGAGGAGTTGGAAATTCTTTCAAAAATAACAAAAACTCTAGATTTGAGTTTCTGTTTCTTATCACTGGCATAGTCCAAACGTGAGGGCAAAACAGTATTTTTTCTGTTGCAGAATTAAGATCACAAAGAGTCAAAGAAACACCAGACAGCCTGTGGCACAATTCCGAGCAATTTTTCCTCTAAAATGGCTTTTCAGATGGACAGTGCTCTAAGCAAAAGGTAGCGATAATATGAAAGGGTGAGAAGTGAAAAACAATGTTCATGTTAACATCCTTCAAGAAAATCACACTGGTTTCATTTGGGGGACTAGTGGCAGACAAGAGGTGTCTTCATCTGGCACGGCTGTGCTGTCCATCAGTTCAGCTGCCAGAACAATTTCAGCTTTGCTTCAAAGTTACAAACTGATCTATGGAGTTCAGGGCTTTTCATCGAAAACCAATTTTGTCCAAAAATCTTGCATCTTGTTTTTCTTCAATCCCTTATCTGTCTGGTTTTGTTGTGAAAGAACCTTTAGTGGATGCATCTCCTTTATGGCAGGCCAAGGAAGAAAGTTGCACATTCTTCAAGACCGTTTTTTTTAATATTATTATTTTCCAGGAATAGATGAATCCATTGCAAGAGGACAAGACATTTGAAAGGTGATGAGAGATGGACTATTGTGCTGGCTGTAATTACTTGAATGCAGAAAATTCCCCTGAAAAGACAACAATAGCAATGTTATTACATGTATAACCCATGACATCCTCTGATGAAGTAAGGCACAAAGTAGGAAATGTATGGAGAAAGGATATTAAGTTATTGAAAAATAGAGCTATACTAAAGGTGATTTTTCTACTAGTAGAGGAGAGGTAGACACCTTGGGTTCATCTAAAAGTGTTCTAGAAATGAACCAGAATATTGATTTATCTTTAACTGCAATCTCACTGTTTACCATATATGTTAATGTATTAAGAGAATGACTAGAAGGAAGCACATTTAGAGAATAGTCAAGCCCTGGCACATCTTTGAAGTGTGTTTATTGATTTCATATGGGACTTTTTGCATAGTACGTGGGTATTAGGATGAACAATGTTGTATTGCACCAGCATGCTTTAATATCAATGTCTTTCAGTTTTCTTCACTTTTTAAGGATCAACAAACAATCTGGGGATGAAGGTGATGAAAAGTAGTCAAATATTTATAAGTTGATAAATATTTTTCAACTGTGCATGAATGACTCCAGCACAGTCCTTTTTGATAATAAAGGAGGCTGCCTTGTAGAATTCATTCATGAGTAGCTATCCACGGCTAAGTATTTTCACTGTATCATAATTTATATACTTATTTTCCAACTCCAAGCTGCATAAACTTGAATGCTTAATCGACTGGAGCCTATTATTTAATAAGCATTTGTGTAGTGAGATACTGTTTAAATACAATCTGTGTTATTTGTTTATTTATTGGTCTCCGCCATAGTGGATCCTATTCTTCCTAGGGTCTGCACCAGTTAAACTTCTTAACTCTCATAAATAAAGTTTTTATTTAAGTTCTGCTACTTTTCTTTGTATTTGTAAGTAAAGTTAGATCATATGCTGCCATAATATGATCAGTTGGACTGCAGTATTCAGTCCAACTGGCTGAATATCGCAGTAACATAAAAAATGCTACTTTATAACTTTTAGGAGATCAGTCAACAACAAGCATGCTGGGTGTTCTGCTGTCTGAAGATGGGTTCATGTTATTGTTCATGTTTAATACAAATTCCAAATGTTGGTGAACATATAGATACACCTGCAGTGATACAAAGTTGAGTTCTACAATTAGAATGTGATGATGTGAAATGAGCAGATAACTTTGCCTTTCAGTTTTTAAAGGAGAAAATATGTATTCATTATAACATAAAAATATTGAAATATAACTTGGACAATTTGAAATGTCTTTTTTTTTACTACATCATGATTCCCATGTTTGCTTGAAGTGCTATAAAGTTAGATTTATAGCACTAACATTTTCAGCTTAGTGTCAGTTAAGAGTTCTAGTTTGAAGAAAAATGTGTGTGAAGTTACCATAACCTCCGGCTTGAATAGGAGTTTTAGGTGAGGCGCAGGAGTACAGGCTGAAGTCTTCCGTCTGAAAGCCTGCTCGATTTAAGGAAGGTTCAGAGGCGCTGCGGTGGATTTTGGGTAATGAACGAGCCAGCAGTTCAATGGATGCCAAAATCTGAGAGATGGATGGAGGAACAGTTGTCAGAATCACCATCAACTATTTATCATAATTAATATTCAGTCGATCGCATGGCAACAGAGACATACCAGAAAAACAAACATAAGCACACACAGATACACACACCTAAGGGCAATTTGGAGAGACCAATTCGCCCAATAATCATATTTTTGGAAAGAGGGAAGGAGCTGGATTACCTGGAGACAACCCACACATACACAGGGAAAATATGCTAGCTCCAGGATTTTAACCACAAGATTTGTTTCTGCAAGGCAATAGTCCTACAAACTGTGCAAAATGTAAAACATAAAAAAATAACATAAGAAAGAGTAGACACTAATAATGGGTAAATGTAGCACCCACCTGGGGGAAGAGAGGTCGCTCTTCTCTCTTTTTCTTCAAGCAATCTGCCATTAGTCTCTTCATGGCCTTAGGACAGTTGCTGCGGACCTTGCTCAGGTCTGGAGAAAGGTAACCTCGACCCACCATGAAGATAATCTCCGGGAAAGAAAGGTTACAATAATGTTGAGTAAAAAGTAGGGGTGCACTGACTGCACTAATTCTTGTCAATCCCCAAATGTTTGAAAGACCCAACTCGCTTATTCTAATTTTAGTCAACACCAAGAATTTTTACTTGGCGTTGTAAAAATCCTTTGTGCTTATTAGTGCTTGTTAGTGGTACAAACTTCAAACTCAAGTCTCAGGTCAGGAAGTCTGATAAATAATTGATGGAGTTCTCTATGTTATATATGTGGGATAAAAAAAGTAACATCTAGCTGAATGAAGTGCAGCTTGAGTTCAGCAGTCCAACAGCTGCAGGGAAGAAACTGTTTCTCAGCTTGGTGGTTGTTGGAGTTCATTCATTTTGTCTCTGTTCTCCACCAAGTCCGTAAAGCAGTTTCAGAACCCAACCAGAAGCCCTCAGTGTAAATTACCTTGAGTGTTTTGATTTGGCTTTAATGCCGAAAAATGATCAATGACATATGTGTCATTTATATGGCTATAAATGTCATACAAATGGAACAGATACAGAGTAACATTCACCATCTGGCGTTGCGGCCACACTTAGCAAAACTTATGGATGTAACCAAGTGAGGCAAAGATTATAACGCAAGTTTAGCTTTTTATTCGTCTCTGCTATCTGTACCTTCTTTAAAGGGTAGTCTAATCAGTTTCAGTTTGTCTCAGACTGTTGGCAATCACACATAAACACGATTATGTAAACTGCAGTGTCTATGTGTAAACAGTTAAACGAGGCTAAAAGAGATGGAGGAAAAGATAGAATCTACAACATGGTCTTTCTCTGGATGCTCCTCAGCCTCCTGCCTGAAGAAAGGGGTTGAAATAGACTGTGCAGGATGGGTTAGGCAGCATTAAGGCTTTCTCTGTGTATGTGTTGTGTCTTATGAAATGGACCACAGAATTCTGAGCAACAAATAATCAATAATTTTGACCCGACCCAGACTGAATTTTGGGTCAGGCTACAGATCTAAATTTCAACAAAAAAATATGTCTTTTAATGAGTAATTTGATAAAATATTTGAATACGAAGCAATGTGTATTGCTCCATTTGTAATTTGCTAAAATTACAAATGGATGTGAGCGCATATACAAATTGCTAAAACTGTAGGCTTAAAATGAAGAGCCACCCTGTTCTAAATAAATTTGTGTCCAAAAGGTATTGTGTGAAATATAAGTAATTTGTTAACTACTTGGTATTAGTATTGGCAAGTACCTAAACTGAAGTACTCTTACTAGGTCAGAAAAAAAACTGGTATCGTGATGCCCCTACATAATGATGCATATTATCTGGAAGCCTTTACCTGGTCTCTGTTGTTAATGTTGGAATAGGGCAGAGCTCCTGACATGAGCTCATAGAGCACAATGCCAAAAGCATACACATCTGACTGGAAGCTGTAGGGATTCTTGTCCTGCAACCTGATCACTTCTGGAGCCTGAAAACACCGAGAAACATACACGGCATTTCATTCACTTTATTAGAGACTATGATTGAATTGAATGATAATTATAAGACACTGACCATCCAAAGTATTGACCCAGACAATTGCTCAAACTGGTGGGAGCCGCTCCAGCGAGATTTGACTGTGGCTAGACCAAAGTCGCCAATCTTCACAGTCAGATCCTCATGCAGGAAAATATCTTGGGAGGACATTAGGTTAAGGAATCCCTGGTTCTGAAATGCTTTAAAGCTTACATTCTTTCACTGTCTTTCTGTCTGAACACATCCACGTTAAAGCGGACGGAAACAAGGATACTGTTGCTCTTCAGGTCTCTGTGAATAATGGACTTGGCATGTAGGTAACTGAGAATAAGAAAAAAAGTAATAACACTGCTAAAGAAACGTGACAGTTTTTCTCTATGTTTAGGCGTTACTTACTCCATGCCCTGAGCAGTCTGCCGGGCGATGTCAATCAGCTTGATCATCTCAAATTTGGTTTCAATGATGTGAAGATGGTGGTACAGACTGGAGCCTTCACACCATTGGGTCACAATGGCCAGCTGGGGCTTGGTTGTGTAACCCATGAACAGCAAGATATTCACGTGACGCGTTTTTCTGATGGAAACCACACACTGTAGTTAAACTACAAATCAACTGCAGCTGTATACAAAACTACAGACTTTGATAAAAATGTTTCTGTCAACTCCAAAGTAATTAGCTAGCTTTTTCAATAATTGTTTACTTCTACTTTCTTCTAGTGACTCTGCCTCATCACAGGTGAAGTAAGTGACCCTGCTCGGGTTCCTTAGATAAACTTTTTTACCCATCTGAGGTAAAAAAGTTTGACTGGAGTGTTTAACAACAAGGATCAAATCTGAATGGATGTAAATAGCTTGGACTCTGTCCATAGACTTGAATGGACTTTTTTTTAGATAATATATGGAAAAGTTAAGGCCTGACCATCTGAAAGTTATTACCATTACTCTGACACAAAGCTAAACACCCTCACTTTTCTTCCAAAACTGTACTTCCACTATAACCCTTCTGTTGATGACTGAGCCATTATATTTATGCCAATGCAGTGAGACAGATGTGAGCGCATATATCTAAGTGAACCAATAATTCAAAATCCTAATTCAAATTCCCTAGGGGTTTAATTAATAAAGTATTCATTTAGCCTTTAACACATATGTACTTAAACTTAGATTTTCTCTTATGTCATTGTGCGTGCATGATTGATTGTTCGGTTTGTCTCTGTGTCGTCCTGTGATGGACTGGTGACCTGTGACACCAATTCTCACCCTTTAACTGCTGGAGATAGGCACCAACAACCCTCATGACAACATTAGGGATAAATGTGTAAGATAATGGATGGATTTAGGGATTTTATCTAGGGGCATTTTTTAAGTTTAACCTTCATCTCATTGAAGCACTTTAAACACTTTCATTAAGTTACCCATCTTATGTTACTGTGCTCAAATAGATGATTTATGAATCATTTAAGAATAAATATTGCCTTATTGATTTAAAAGCAATGTTCAATTTGATGCACTCGAAAATTGTGCGCACTTGAGCTGGTTCAAATGAGAGAAAAAAGTTAGACTTACTAGTGCAAAGGTCAGGGTGGATCCCTGTTATATATTTAGTACATTTAGTTGTACTACATGTACCGTAGTTTTAGAAGAAGTCTCTAAGCTGACAAAATGTAAAAAAAAAAAAAAAGTGAAGGGTTGTGAATACTTTCTGGGTGTATTGCTTGTACTGGACTGGATGTCATACAGGCATCCCAGAGGTGTGCCGAATGTCCACCAATCATAATCAGCCAATAACCTTGAAAAAGTGTATGATCAGTGATTGCCGATCACAGTCTCTTGTTGCCGATCACCAACCTGTATCTCACCTGTATTGATGCCATGGTTACCTAGACGCTTTCTGTGTGTTTGAGTTTCTGTGTCTCCAAGTTGTCCTGTATCCCCTTCATGGTTCCCAGGTGTGTCTCGTTTCCGTGATTACCCTCAGTGTATTTAACCCTCAGTGTATTTAACCCTCAGTGTATTTGCCCTCAGTGTATTTAACCTGAGCTGTCGATTCAGTCATTTGTCGTCGTGTGCTGTCTATTCTGTCCAACTGTAAACCCTGTCGCTACCAGTGCTGAGCCTTTGCTTTCCGCTCTGCTGTGCTGCCAGGATTTTGGACTGTTTGAAGCACCCAACCACAAGTACTACGGTGAGAAATGCTAGAGAAAGGTATACAATCATGGACCCAGATGGTTTAAAGGATCTAACACAAACTATTAAGGTCTATGTTTTGCCATTCACATGGTTCTGGCGTTGGAAAATTGAATTCCGCGCCTTCTGCATCTGGGGTTGGTGGAGTTATGGCAGGAGGCAGAGTGGGAACGCCAGACAGCTCTAATCCCCATGGCTGGCGATCCTCTGCCTCCTCGGCTGGACATCCCATTCTTTCGCTCCACCTACACCTCTCCGTTCCAGCACTGCCTCCGGTACCAGCTCCTGCGCTGATAGGGCCCGCGCCTCTTCAAGCTTCAGCGTCTCTGAGGCTGGTGTCACCTCCGCCTCCAGCTTCTGTGCCCACCACATCTCCAGTTACCTCCGCAGCGGTCTTTCACCCCTTGCCACAGCTACTGCCTCCACATATCCAGCCACAGTTCCCATGGCCATCAGGTTCCAGGTGGCCAGGCTGGCTCCTGGTTGACAGGCGGCGAGGCTGATGGCATGGCCCACATCCATAAGTGAGCATTCGGCCCCACCCACTAACTGGGTTATCGATCCCAGTTAGTGGGTGTCTTCCCTGTGTCTCTCTAGAGCCCAAGTTTCCTAGTGTCTCCTCCGAGTTTCCTAGTGCCTCCTCCGTGTTCCAAGTGTTCCCTCGACGCCCCCTTGTAGTCCCAGTGTTGGCTTGTCACCTTCTAGTTCCCCCACTAGTCCCCGTCTCCTAGTCATCATCCTGAATCCCCACCTCCTAGTGCAGGGGTGGGCAAACTTTTTGACTTGCGGGCCAGAATGGGTTCTAAAATTTGACAGAGGGGCCGAGCCAGGAGCATTTGGACATGCAATGTAATTTATTAAACCTGGGTATTGAAATGTATGGAAAACACACAATTGAAGGTGCAAATTTAAAGAAATCAACATTTAGTGGAAAAATCAATGGAATCACTTTCAACATTCAGAACATATTATAATGATGCTAACACTGCAGCTGTAGTCCTGTCAAACAGGATTTATTAGAAATAAGAATAGGAGCTGCTATTATTATGGCTGCAGCTCCTAACAAACTGGTTCACTGCCTGACAGCTTAACTGACAACGGAACTCTTACTGCTCCTCCCCCACATGACAGACCAACCAATCACGTGTGAATGGGAGTCAGCAGAGTCAGACAGGAAAAGTACATAACGCTACATGTAACAATAAGCAACACAATGTAACTTTTAACACATAACCATGTGGACCCCAGCAGAACTAAAACACAGAATCGTTACAATATTATCACCCAATGAAAGAAAGGGGTATTTTAAATGAGAGCGATGTGCGGCATGTTAATTAAGCTACTGTACCGCTGCCGCGTAAATGCTAAAGTTGCTATTTTTTCGTCAGACAGTAAAGAAACTCATATCTCAGTGGGAACAGTGTTGTTGTTCTCCCTTTTTTGCCAGTGCATCAAAGTCTGGAGTTAGTTTCGTTGTGGCAATTCTCAGAATCGATCTGAGGTGTTGGTCAGTTAACCGGATCTGTGACGGGATTTGTTGATTGATGTTCATGTCGCTGAAAGTTGCTCGCACACGTAGGTGCAGCCAAACAATACCAGCATCTTCTGTGCCGTCCTCCGTAGGTTTGGAAATGTGGCTTTGTTAAGAGAAGCATAAAAGTCATTCAGTTTAAGATATCTGAACTTCTCTTTTGAGACGGAGTCAGACTGGAGATCGATCAGCTCCAACTGCAACTCATCAATCTCATAAATCTTCGTCAATCAGTTCCACACGCCGAGTCACTGTCCTGCGTGACAAACTGACTTTTTCAAGCTTGCCTTTGCTTTCTGGACACAAGAGATCTGCTGTCTCTGCATTCTTTCAAAATTCGCCTTTGGAGAAAGGCTTGCTAGCCTTTGCTAACTTGAATGTCAGCAGAAAACTTGTCTTGGTACTTGACTCTTGAATCGCAGATTGTTGCTGAGTCTGTAAATTAGCTGCCAACCTCTGAGCAGTAGCCGCCCGTTCTTGTGTTGACAGCTTGCTAGCGTAATTAGCATGCTTTGTGGCAAAGTGACGGCTGATATTGCACTCTTTGAAAACTGCAACCGTTTCTTGGCATATCAGACATACAGGCGTTGATCGGACATCAGTAAATTGTCCTCTCCTTTTTAAACACTCGGCACTCAGCGTCCACTTTTCTTTTCTTTGGTCCACTCATTTTTACCGAAGGGGGAAACGGCAGCTGGAAAGTTACTCTCCAACAAAGATCAATGACTAGTGCGCCATCTATCGGGGAACGATGGTATTGCAAGGGAAAGGGAAATGAATGAGATTTTTACACATCCCTGGGTTTTTACTATAATTTGGACAAGTTTGGCGGGGCCGGATTAAAAAGACTAACTGGCCGTATATGGCCCGGGGGCCGTAGTTTGCCCATGTTTGTCCTAGTGCCTCTTCCGAGTCCCCCCCTCCAAGTGTTCCTCCCGAGTCCCCGCCTCCTAGTGCCTCTTCCAGCCTCCCAGCGGCCCCAATTCCATGCCTCCACCTCCTGGTGGCCCCAGAGACTCCTCGTCGCCGCCTCTTGGTGGCCTAGGAGCTTCATTGTCACCTCCGAGTGTCTGGCCCCCGTGCCAAAGTCGTCCGCCGGACCTTCCCCATGGGTTTCGCGTTCATGGACGCCCGCCAGACCTCCCACTACCTGCCTCCTGCGCCTCTGCCCACCCAGGTTGGGTAGTGTTTTCTGTTTTGAACTCTTGACCCTTCTTCCGATGCCCCTCCACCTACCCTGATTTATTTGTGGTTTTTTTGTGGACATTTTTTGGGGGCATCTGGTAGCCACCTTTGAGGGGTGGGATACTGTCAGGATTTGAGTTTTCTGTGTGTTTATTTTGAGTTTCTGTGTCTCAGAGTCTCCATGTTGTCCTGTCTCCTCTTGATTATTCCCAGGTGTGTCTCGTTTCTGTGACTGCCCTCTGTGTTTAACCCCACCTGTGTTCTTTGTTCCTCATCGGGTCCTTGTCTCAGGTATCGATAGTCGTTTGTTGTCGTGTGCTGTCTGTTCTGTCTAGTTGTAAACCCTGGTGCTGAGCCTTTGCTTTCTGCTATGCTGTGCCGCCAGGATTTTGGACTGTTTGGATCTGTATTGTACCTTCATTGTTCATTAAACCATCATTTTTCATCTCATCCTGCGTCTACAATGCCTGTCTCACCACCACTCACCACATTCAATGACAGCAGCATGTAATGCTCTTTTACCAGACATTATTTGATATAGACAGTGTTGTGAGATTTATTTGACTCATGTATAATTCAGGGTACAGAGAACCTTACTGTTAAATGTTGTTTAACTGGTTGAAGATTTTTCAGTTATTCTTTTGACTGATTACCTGCTGTATTGTGCCTGCAAATATGTTGCATGTGTGAAGTATTTTTCTTTAAAGAGAAAATCTTTTATTTGCATCATACAGTAGCATAGTAGAGATGTTTTTTCATGCAGCTGCAGAGGGTGTACAAAGTAATTGAACAAGATGTGTATGTTGAAGTTTCCCAGACGGGTTATCTGGGAACTTGCTGTTTTTACCGTGGTCTTCCCCGCATGGAGATAGAGTGTTTAGTTTTCGCATCCCGTAGACAGGATAGTGAATGAGCGTATAAGGTTTAACTGTTCCGTCTGTTTTCCTTTGTTTCCTTTGTTTGGTCCTTGAAGATTGAGTCTCCGCCTCTGTTAGCAGAGAGAGGTGAATAAAGCAACTATGCAACTCTGAGTTCGTTTAAGCAGAATGATTTTCGCCTAATGCATTGTATTTTTGCTCTCCATCTGCAGATGTATTAAAGATTGTTTTTCCTCCTTGACTTTTGTCTGGACCTCAGTCTCTGAATTATGTACTTCACACATGTTTACGTCAATTAAACATGGTGGGTGGGTCTGTGAATTTATTACCAGATAATTTTTTAATTTTGCCAGATCACATAGTAGCATATATAACTAACACAAAAAATAAACAGTCAATTCAGGCGATCAGCAAAGATTGGTGATGGGCAGAGAACGGCTTCATGGGTGATCGGTATTGGAATCGGCAGCAAAAAACCTGATCGGAGCATCCCTACTATGAGCAGATCAAGAATACAATCTTTAAAAAGCCTGACTAGCTATTTCCAAATTTGGTTGATACTGGTTGTTTCTTGTCTGAAAATTCACTAAAGCTGGAAAAGTTGAGCTAACTTTTAACAGCTTTTATGATGTGACCTGGTGGGTGGGTCTGTTAGTCAGCTGTCTCTCATGGAGGAGCAAAAAAGGGATTTTCAGACTTTGGTGGAGGTAGATAAGATTGGATTCTCATGTAAACATCAGCCAGTCACATATGTAGGGTGGTCCAGAGGTGCAAACCGCTTCAACAAATTTAAAAATGCAACATTAACAAAACGGAAAGGGTATGTCCCAATTGGAGGCCTGAGAAATCGCTGATTGGACAATAGGCATGAATACGTATACGCTGAGTCCTACTTACGTCCCGCCATCTTGAAAGTGGCAGTGGAGAAAACGTGCTGCATGGAATAGTTACAACGGTTTTGCAGTACAAAGTGGAGCCACTGCCTTCACAGGTTAATTCTAACCTTTCACAGGTAAGAATTACAGATAATAATAATGTAAATTTATGAGCAGAATTTCTTAACTTTGTGGCCAGTACTGTGCTTTTCTGTGGTGAAACAAACTTCTAAACAACCAATAAATGTTTCCTTTGTAATTACATTGACCCAATTAACTACTCTGATCATTTTCTTGGTTAAGCTAACTTTTTTTATACTGTGATGTTTTTCTAAAGAGGGAGAAGAAATGAGAAACCTGTAACGGGCACTTTTGCCATTTGTTTATTGTTGCCATAGTTATCTGATGTTTGCAAGACAAGTTGTTGTTTGTCTGTGGTCAAACATGGTTACTTTAACGTACGATAGTTGTCTGTAAGATGTTTCTTATAATTTATGTAGATTAAAATAATTTGTTTGATATAACAGCGAATCTGAAGTGGACTGAAAGTCCATTAATTCAGAGAGCAGCACGGAGACTGAACTGGGGGATTTCATCAGGACAGGTCCATAAAGATCAGAGCTGGAGCTGGTTTTCTTCAGACTTCTGTTTCACAGCTAATCTCCACAATGTCTGTGTTTAGACGCTAAGTCAATGCCCACATATGGTGAAGATGTGTTTTTTTTTCCTGAATGTGAAAGAATCAGGGATATAGTTTCTATTACACTGTCAGATAATTTTTATCACTCGCTTTATTTAACCTGTGGCAAGCCAGATGTCTCAGAAGGCCAAGTCACCGAACTGCTCCCAGCTTGACCAGCAGACTGAAGCCCTGCCTGTGTTTTGTGTTGCCTGTATAATATAAATAAATTTGAATTTCCCAAATACACATTTATTTATTGTACTGTACATTTTTTTCTTTCACTTGTTGAGTATTTTAAGTGAAATATCTGAATTTGAAGTACTAGTGTATTATGACAGTTTATGTAAAGAAAATTAAAATTATTTAGATTTTGTTCCCGCTGCTGTCTATGGCACAATTGACATATTACACTGTAATAAATATTTTTTAAAGTAAAAATATGTAGCTAGAGTTTGATAACTATTATCAAACTTTGTCTTTTCAATAAAATGCCTAACAATTTAAATGAAGTTACGTTTCTTTATTTGTACCTTTAAATAGCAAATGCACATTGAATTATGGAATTGTGTTAATATGTTAGTGAATACATCACTGTAAAGGTGTGTGTGTGTGTTCATCAATAAAGACGATCAGAATCAACTGTATCAAATGTAATGATTGTGCCCTCAAACAATTAAATAATCACATCAAAAAGTTTGAAACGTTGTCCTTAGTTTATTATTATTCCTATAAATAATAGTGTGTGAGAGATGGTGTCAGTGACCTTCAACAACTTAATATACTTTGCAGAATGGCACCTTACGAAGCTCGGTCCACTTATTTGTATTAGCTAGCTGGCAGATAAGCCACTTTCAATATGGTGAACACTATAACATATCACAACAAGTGGCCGACTCGCTCAAGTGATGACTTCCGGATCAAAACTACTGCAATCCAATCAACAATTTCTCAGGTCTCCAACTAGGACACACCCTTTCTGTTTTGTTAAGGTTGTTGTGTTTTTGAATTTGTAATTGTGCTCCATTAATGTTGTAGTAGTTTTGTAATTTGTAGTTGTGCTCCATTAATGTTGTAGTAGTTTTGTAATCTGTAGTTGTGCTCCATTAATGTTCTAGTAGTTTTGTAATTTGTAGTTGTGCTCCATTAATGTTCTAGTAGTTTTGTAATTTGTAGTTGTGCTCCATTAATGTTGTAGTAGTTTTGTAATTTGTAGTTGTGCTCCATTAATGTTGTAGTAGTTTTGTAATTTGTAGCCTACTGTGCGCAATTACACTTTATACTAGTAAGGCCAAAAAAAAGCCTGTTCCCCAGGATCACATGCGCCCCCCCAGGTATCGCACCGCGCCCCCAAAGGGGGCCCGCCCCACTATTTGAGAAGCACTGGTCTAACTGTTGATTTTGCATTTGAATGTGATGGCAGGTGAAGACAACCCGTCACCAAATATTGATCAAATAAATTTGATTAATAATGAGAAGCAGAAGTCACCTGAGGACGCCCACTTCATTCTTGAAGGCCTGAAGCTGCTGTGGAGTGGGAGCAGTGACATTCAGCATTTTCACAGCCACATCACCTGGGAGTAAAGGGAAGAGAAATCTTTCAAAACTAAAGACACTAGTTGCTATTTAATAAAGCAGAAATATAGGTCAATGCAGTTGGACCATAATACTATTATGTAAAAGGAATATGGAATTAATGTAAAAATGTACCTAGGTTTTTCTATTCATATTTCACTAAAATGTCATGTTGAAAATTATTTATACACTGTATAAATTAATGAAGAAAGTTATTTTCTAATTCTTGATCAGCTTTTTCAATATTTCCTCCGGTAATTTGTTGATTTATTGTTGATAATGTGTGCCAAGTGTTTGAGATTGGAAGGACTCCAACCATCACCCTAATCTTTGGCCCCATCCAAAAATTCTCTATTCATTTCATGCTTGCACTCTAGTAGAATAAGTGAACAAGATGTCTTGGAATTATTTTCATGAATATAAAAATTAGACAGATGTTCAGAACATTTCTCCTGCTGGTTGGACCGGGTGTTGTTTTGTTTGGTGTTTCTTTGCTACAAAAACTGAAGTGTCTATGCCAGAGTAGAGAACAGTTCCATACAGACCATAACCCAACCTTTCTACTTTGGCAAAGCAAAATGTTGTCTACTCTGATATTAACTAATGGCTACCGGTTTGTTCTAGCTTGTTAAGTGAGTTTTAAAAAGCAAACTTCAGCCAGAATCTTACCATGCCATTTTCCTTTAAAGACAGTTCCAAAGGATCCAGAGCCTATCCTCTGACCCAGAGTGATCTGACCTTCTGGAATCTCCCAGTCATCACTGGAGTCTCTTCTACCCAATGTTTTCTGTTCCACAGGACAAGGGGTTGACAAACAGCACACAGTACCGTGTTGTGCAACATTTAGATCTCTGATGGGCTCTCACCATTTTATTGCGATCTTCAGACGACGACGAAGACTTGCGTTCCCTTTGTTGGCATGGTGATTTCTGTGGTGCTTTGACATTGGTCAGTGAGCCAGGAAGAGATGCTGGAGGTGTGGCAGACAGCCCAGTGGTAGAACCTGGAGGAGAACAAGGAAAATGTAAAAAGGGTTGGAAAAAGGAATCAAATCTTCCGCATTCTGGATGAAGAACTGGAGAGAGCTCTGACTTTAGACTTTAAAGCCAGATTTTTTAAATTATGCTTAAAAGCATTTTCTTAATTCATTGTTATAATCCTTCTGATTTACAGAAGGTTTACACAACAACCAAGTAAATAAGTGCTTTAGAATTTATCCAGAAAAATTTATTTACTGGAAGCTAACTGCACTAAACATTTTCAAAGTTAGTAGAAGAACTAAAGAAAAAAATTGAACCACAACTGTAAATATGGATCATAACAGGGTAAAGTGAATACCGGTAATTTAATCACAGCTAACAGTGTGCATGACATAGATTTCTGATTCTTACCTGCATCTGACTTCTGCAAGCCCTGATCACGAATAAGATCCTGAGAAAAAAAAGAGAACTGTAAAAATGTGAAAAGGTGCAGAATATCTGTTACTGACAGGACACAAATTGACTGTCAAACAATGGACAATTATTGAAGCACTCTCATTATGACATAAATCTCATGTTAAAATAAGAAACTTGTTTTCACGAGTTATATCTTGTTACAATAAACTTTCTCTTTTTCACCAATTTTTTTTCATTAAAATATGGAAGTTTATCATTATAATGAGTTTAACATATTTTGTCTCTCGTAACAATAAACTTTCTTGTTTAAACGTGTTTTCTATGTCGTTAAAACGTGAGTGTTCTATTGTTACAACAATAAACATTATTGTTTTCATTAGTTTTGCATCTTGTTGAAACATAAAAGTTTTCCATTATAACACCTTGTTATATTATGAGACATTATAACAAAATATACTGCTTCTGATTTTATTTCCAAGCTCTTGCAGTTGAACTCTTCTGTACTTTAAGGTAGGAGGTTGTCTGAAGTTATTCAAAGTCCTTTGCTGTCCAAAGAACATGCAATCTCTTGTCTAAAGGCTTGTTGTTTATGTTTAAATCATGTGTTGCTCAATATTGCAGTACATACTTATCATTGGCAAAAAAGAAAAAAATGTGGGGTCAAAAAACAAAATGGAAGTGAATGTTGTCCAAAAAAAAACAACAAAAATCATAATCATAAAAAACAACCAACCAGTCAACTTGGAAAGATTTTAATTGCAGACACACAATCCAAAGCTCCAATCTGCCAGTAACTAAAATATGGTTTATTTTGTAATCTGTCAGTGATATTTCTGAGGTTTTACAAATATTTACTGAAGGGCAAGGGGCGCATAGCACATTGAACAAAATCTTAAAACACAGTACAACACATATCAACAACACATATTAATTAAGAATCTAATATTTAATCAAATTATACTGTATTGTTGTCATCATGTGGGGACAATGCAAAGCAAATTTTGTATATATTTTAACCAGCAGGTATAAAATTGCTGTTTCTGCAGCTGACAGATCTGGAGGTGTTATTAATTCTTCAAGTAGTTCAATATCTCATATCTATGCCTTTATTTTGAAGTGCTTCCTTTTATTTTGAAGAATGTTTGTTTGGTTTATTTTCTTTACGTTCGTCAGCTGATCTGTTTTGTGTTTACTGTTGAGATCGGTGACGCAGTCATTGATGACGTGAGTAGTGGTATTAGTCATGTGACATGAATAGGTAGATTCTAATAATCACTACTGACAGAGTTGATTAGCTTCTGGTATATTTCTATAGTTTGTTAATGTCTGTTTTAGTCTTAGTGTGTTTGATTTTATTAAAACTATCTAGCATTTAACCGTTGGTTTTGAGCTTTGATCAGATAGAGCTAGATTGATTCCAAGTTTTGCATCATTTAAATGTAAACAGCCCTTATCACAGAGCGAATTAAAACTGAAGTTTTTACTTGCTTGTGAATTGTTATATTTACATTTTTGCAATAGTAATTTCGAACCTTTATTTATTATTTTTATATTTTCGGAAACTGCTTCAATTTATTTGCCTTGTTGACATAATTCTACAGTAAACCTATTTAAACACCTGTTGACCACTGTGTTTTCTGACCAAAGCCCTGTGGTCAGTTAACAAAATCCATGAACAAAATCCTCTACAGGAGGGCTGTGTTGATCTGAGATTATAGTTGTTAAAGATATCATACGAGAGAAGGTCGCTGGTTATGAAGTACGTTGTAAACCTTAATAATATCTGACTATTTAACTTCCATAAATGCTCCCTAAATAAATTCTGGCAGAGGTCTACTGAAAGTCTAGGGCCCTAAAAATGCTTGAATTGTAACATAGACCAGGGATGTAAATATTTACCATTTGTTTAGTGAGAATGACAATACAATAAAATGTCATTTAATGGTTTCAGCAAAGATAAATTAAAAGATTAAATTGTACATTTAGGATTTAATTAGGAAGTCTACTTTGTAAAAGTGCAAAAAATTATCTTAATAGTTTGATTGTTGTGTTTGATAGCATCAAATAACAATTTGATGCTATCATCTTTTTGAGTTAGGTTTGTTCACAAATAGATCACAGTAAGTAACAGCCTATAATCATAGATTGTTTTTAAACTTGGTCAACTGATCTGGGCCTCCTCTGATGTTCTCAGTGAGAAGGGGTGGTGTTACGGCCCAAAGCTAGTCCTTTGGGGTATACCATCCTTGCTCCAGATATTCTCATTGGTGCTGATTGGAAGTGGAGGCAGCTGGCCAGTGTCTCCATGAATGACATCAGATCAGCTTAAAATGCACCACCTTTTTCTCATCAACCCAGCCCTTTTCTTTCTGTCTGTCCACTTCTCCTCTTTTTTCCCTTTCCTCTCCAACCAGCTATGATTTTTGTTAAATAAATTCTATTTTAAGTTATCCCACGCGTTGCTTCCTTTAATTTATTATGTCACCAGAGCCAGACCATAACAGTGGCTAAATCAGATTCTGAATGAGGTCACATATTGCCTTGGGCCAGCCCTGCATGAACAGCCAAGAGTAGCTCCGCTGCATGTCTCTGCTGGGTGCGAGATTTTATTAATGAGGCACTAGCAGGGACAGGCCTTCAGGTTTGGAAGTGCGTCGCAGTGACAGTTGTGATAGTGACAGTTTGTTTATATCAGAATATTTTATTCTATTCCACAGCGGTGGGGGACTGATTCAAGTTGCCTGTAGCAAAACCTAGCCTTTAGTTCAGCACTGGGGCAGCCTGATAAAATTTAAGTCAGCCAAACCATTTCTATGTTTGGGGACGAGGAGTTTTTTGTTTTTTTTTTGCTATCATGAGAATAATTACAAAAATAAAAAATTATCTTTCTAACTTCAACATCAGACCTATACTTTTATTCTCAAACAAGTGTATGTTGGAAAAAAAATATTCCTGCCCATAATCTAACAGGTAGAGGATGGAGTTTTGCACCCTTCTTCCAGGGCTTGGTGTCTTAACAACATGGAGGCAGAGGCACTGAGAATCCGTTCAGTCATTTTTAGACCATGGGCAGCCAGCCTAATTTATTATTGCTAAATTGCTTTTATTAGCTAAATACTATTGCTGAAGCCTGTATATGCCCCTCCAAATAAATACATAAAACAACAAATAAATAATTAAAAAATAAAAAGCAACTCAAAAAAGGGCATTTGGGACATTAAGGTTAATAGGGGCAGAGGCTCAAGCTTCCTCTGCTCCCGTCTGCTGCACGTGCCTGCTAAACAGTACTCATTACCTTGTGAAAGTTGGACATAGTTTATCACATTCAGCTTGTCCAGCAGACTCACATCAATGTTGACAGGCTCAATGGTGTTGATATGGACGTTGGGGGCGGAGGACGAACGATCTCGCTGACCAAACTGATTGCGGTGATCTTCCTCACTGGTCCGAAAACTATTTGGAATGGGGATGGACTTGGACGGGGACACTGTAGTGTGGTATATAGAGCTGAAGAAATGATGATGAGGAAAAAGATCAGCAGACTGGCATTAGGAGTACATTTGAAATTCTGACATTGCTCAAAAGTAAAGAGTGCTCTCATCAGGCAGGATATGATCATTGAAACACCAATAATATCCAATATAGCTGTTTGGAGAAAATTCCACAATTATATTTAGCAGATGGCAATAGAGTATCATGAAACTGTAACATTCCAATATTTACACTGTAAGTTTCAGACTATATGGGATCTAGAGGCAGCTGGTTAGAACAAATATTCAAGCGTCTCAGTTATGATAGGATTAATTTTGGGAGCAGTGTGAACTGAAGAAGTGCATACCCGGTGGAGTCCGATGGGGGGAGAGATGGACAGAGCTCAGACACGGGTGTAGTTCCCTCTGAGGAGACCTCTTCCTGGCTGAACGGATGATGCTCGAAGAACTTTGATACAAGCAGCAAGCTGCACAACACAAAAATAAAGACAAAATAATTTCTAAATTTGATTTAGACGATCTGAAGGTAAGTGAGCTCAAAAGCAGAGCCATATTGTCGTTCGGATTGACATTTACCGTTTACATAGGAGAACTAGCAGGAAAAGGGGAGCATATAGACCCACACACAGTTTGTAAATATAAGGCCACAACACCACCATGTGGTCAACATGATGGAAGTTTTGCAATATTGACACAAACAGTGCAGTTAATATTGTGTCATGACACAGATGTTTATGTGTAAAAAAATAACCATGAGAAAAAATATATTTATTATGAAATCCATTTTCAGACGATGTAAAAAGAAAGTTCACCCTCTTTAGCTTTTGTGCATAAAACATAAAATTAATATGGTTTTATACATGTTCTAAAATTATATGTACAGTGGCATAAAAAAGTATTTGCCCCTTGCTGATTTCCTAAACTTCTACAAGTTTGTCACACTTCAGTGCTTCAGAACATCAAACTAATTCAAATATTAGTCAGACAACATAAATGAGCCCTAACCCTAATACTGCATTCACTTTTAATACTGAATGCAGTATTGAACGAACATTTAAAAACGTTTAATAAAAAAATATTCAAAACCACGACAATGGAGACTAGCAATATTAAAGTAATTTATTGACGGTAAGATCATTCTCAGCTCTCAATGAGATATGTAAAGACAGATGGTATAAAGGCAGTGGAATAAGGTTTTCCAAAAATGCAAGTTTTTATTGAAAAAAATTAAAAAATAAAGAATTCATGTGAAGAACAAATGGAATCACTTCTTCCTAGTTTGATCACAATTTAAGGGAAAAATTAAGAAATGAAGCATTTATCAAGGCAGATGATAAACTAAGCCTTCAAAACTTAAAAATGCAGGTGGAATAGGAGGCAGTGTGAAGTACAGAGATGCTGTGCTACAAATAAAACCTCTGACAACTATAGATGCCAGATGCTGCAAATCTTTGCGTGGGAGTTGCACCGAGCAAAAAAAGGTGATCTGTGCTGACTGCAAGTTGTAAATTATTATATTAGGCTAATTATAAATATACTGCTCAAAAAAATAAAGGGAACACTCAAACAACACAATATAACTCCAAGTAAATCAAACTTCTGTGAAATCAAACTGTTCACTTAGAAAGCAACACTGATTGACAATCAATATCACCTGCTGTTGTGCAAATGGAATAGACAACAGGTGAAAATTATTTTCATATTTATTTCATTCATTCAGATCTAGGATGTGTTATTTGACTGTTCCCTTTATTTTTTTTTAGCAGTGTAGTTTAAATAGTTAGAATGATGTATTCTTGCCTGTGTTTTGAAATCAACACGCACATTACAGTGGCTGCTGACGCAACGTGGTGTCGACTGACGGTTAGAAAATGTTTTTGCACTGAGCGAGAACAGTAAGTCCAGCAGAGCCAACTAACATTAGTGAGAAGTAGGAATATGCAAAATAGCATGTAATTTATATCACAATATCTACTTTGATGGGTGGTGGTAACGATATATATTATAATATGTTTTTAGTATAGAAATGAAAAACAAAATCGGATACTAATTGAGTGAAATGTATATGTGAATGTGATAAAACTTTTATTTTGTCCAGTTTTCATGGATGTTATTTGCATTTAATGTTTGTGATAGTTAATTGTTTTTATGGTGTCATTGTCAGGTCTTCCTTAAAAAAAATCTAATGTTGAGGGAGACTTGACAATGAAAATAAAAAGATTGAAAAATATGTCTAGATAGAATCACTAACTTTAATGTATATCTGTGTTGAATCCTACTTTTTCTTTCGAATGTTGTGATTAGAACTTCTAGTCCACTGAAGTGCATGCTTCTTTTAAGGGGGAAAACTAAATTGCTTGTTTTACCGAGCAATTTGTAAAACAAATTGCTGTTGTTGCTGTGGAAATGTGATTTCGGAAAGTCAGACAAATACTCCCCACTTTCTGAATGTGACATTTGCCATGCTCCTTCCTGAGCATCGTGCCAAGACCACGGGAAGATTAAGAAAATTAGTCCATTGGACTTTGCGAGCTTCACTTTCTGTGTATTCCAGCAGAGGTTATACTGATCCCACATGTCCTTTATCCTCTCTTTTCTCCACTGTCTAACCATGGCATCTGCCGCACTCCTCTTGAGCGATGCACTAAGAAAGACTACTGCCGTTTTGGCACCAGCCTTTTTAACAAGCTCTTCCCTTGTGCTCTCTGCCACGCTGCTTCCCGTTTGCCCAGTTTTGATGCCAGTCAATTATGTAATCAACGAGCATTACCGTGGTTAGCCGGCAGAGTGCAGATCACTTTCATAGGCCAAATTTCTATCACTTCTACCATATACTGTATATATTGCACATTCCTCGTGAGAAGTGTATCAGGAATGATTAAAACACAAGCGTCGTGATCTGCTTAAGTAGAGAAAAAAAGTTCCAAGCTGGACAGCTGGATGAAGCCCTCATGTCCAGAACTTACTCTAGCTGGTCATAGTTGACACACATGAGAGGAACCTCTGTGCTGCAGCGCTGATGGAACTTGTAGCCACAGGTCTGACAGCGAAAACCCTGGAACAGCAGCTTTCTACAGAAATCACAGAAGGCCAATGTGAAGAAGGTCTTCCTCACCTGCCAAACACACATAAATACACAATCAGGAGCATGTGGAAGTTCAGTTCTAGCTCCACAGGGGCTAGCAGTGCAGAGTGTCTTTTAAACCAGGTGGCAGCACGGCACTTACAGTATCAGTTTTCGAACAGCAGTACACAGACTCCGTTAGGGACTAGTAATGACCCTGTCTCTGAGGGTTAGTGATTACAACTTTTGTTGAATCAGTTAAAAGTTAATCAGCAAGTATGCAAACCAAATTAAAAAAAAAAAACAATAAAAAGAAAGTTTTCCCTTGAAATAGTGCTGAAACAATAACTTGGATAAACGTGATGGCTCATTTATTTAAATAATCAACAAATTCAGGAATCATTTAATTGTTAACTGGAGTATACAGACTCAAAACATGTCATGTGCTGAAATAACACTGCAGTCAGAGCAGTAATTATTCCAAACTGTTTAAAAATATATACATTTGGTATTCAAGATAAAAAAACACCTTTGTTTGTTAATTTCTTTTACCCACAACTCTTCTCGTTGCAGTTTTAGCTTCATCTGCTTCAAATCTTGTAAAATACCTTCTATTAAGCATCTTTTTGCTATCCAGTTTGTACACTGTATTGACATTAAACCTACCAGAAAGGACTGAGCTTTTCACATATTCATATGAGGAATGTTTTACCTGCAGATGCATCCTTTGCTGCAAATGATTAAGAATTTACGAAAGGAATGCAGTTAATGCATTTTAGGCAATACAATGTCCATTGTCTAGTTCAAAAAAGAATAATTTTCGTCTATTAATGTATTTCTAACATTGTATGTAAAAGGCTTAAGAGGTGAAATGAAAAATCTGCTGAAAGTAAGTTCTCCCCTTATCTGATCAATCAACAGAGTAATCAATCCAATAATCGATTACTAAAATAATCACTAGTTGCAGCCTTGCTGTAAACTGAAACTTGTTTAACGTTTGTTACGTTTAATGGCTTTAATAGTCAAGTTTTAATGTAACACAAAATCCAGAGTTCAGTACACACTTCCCTTAAAGTCACAGTTTGTATGGATGGACGATAAAACTACTTATCAATAGTCAATGATGTTCCTTTCATCTTCTGCTGTTTATCCAGGGTCGTTTCAAGGGAGCAGCAGCCTAAGTAGGGAGGTCCAGACTTCTCTCTCTCCAGCTACTTGAGCCAGCCGAGAAACAGTCCCTACAGTATGTCCTTGGTCTTCCCCTGGCTCTCATCCTGGAGGGACATGTCCAGAATACCTCACCAGGGAGGCATCCTAACTACATGCTTGAGCCACCTCAACTGGCTCCTCTCAACGCGAAGGAGCAGCAGCTCTACTCTGAGACCCTCCTGAATAACTGAGCTCTCTAAGGAAGAGTCCAGATACCCTACGTAGAAAGCTCATTTTAACTGCTTGTGACCCCGTTCTTTTGGTCATGACCCAAAGCTCATAATCAGAAATTAGGGTAGGAATGTAAACCGACCAGTAAATTGAGAGCTTTGCTTTTTGATTGGCCTCTCTCTTCACCACAACAGACTGGTACAACACCCACTTCCCTGTAGATGCTGCGCCAAACTGTCTATTGATCTCCCATTTCATTTTTCCCTCATTTGTGAACAAGATCCCAAGATATTTAAACTCCTCCACTTGGGGCAGGACATCTTTCCTGAACCCGGAAAAGGCACGCAACCCTTTTCCTATTGAAAACCATGGCAGTGGATTTAGAGGCACTGATCCTCATTGTGGCCACTTCAAACCCGTCTGTGAACCACTCAGTCAAAGCTGTAGATCATGACTTGATGAAGCCAGTAGAACCTCATCATCCACAAAAAGTAGAGTTGTCAGGCCACCAAAACGGCCACCTCAACACCTTGGCTGCGCTTAACTTCTGTCCATAAAAGTAATGAACAGAATTGGTGACCACCGGCAGCCTTGGAAGGATCCAACTCTTACCAGAAAAAAAGCCCAACTTACTGCTAGCAATGTGGAGTCTGACAGTGGTCATACAGGGACCTATAACCAAGTATCACATGTCCCAGTACACAATACTCCTGGAGTACCCCTCACAAAGCTCCCTGAGGGTTATGGTCGAACTCCTTCTCCAAGTCCACAAAGAACATGTTGGGCAAATTCCTTTGGACCACTAGGTCCCTGGAGATTGCTCAAAATAAAGGGTGTAGAGCTCCATGACCAAGTTCCATGACCAAGATGAAAGCCACACTGCTCTTTCTGAATCAGAGGTTCAACTATCAACAGACCCTTCTCTACAGGACCCCTGAATAAAACTTCCCAGGAAGGCTAAAGAGTGTTACCCCTCTGGAGTTGGAGAACAAAAATGGTCCCTATTTGTGAATATGGGGACCACTACCCCAGCCTGTCAATCCAGGGGAACTGTCCGCGATGTCCATGCAAATTTGCAGAGTCGCATCAACCAACACAACCTTAAAACATTCAGAGGTACTCTGGGGAATCTCATCCACCCCCAGAGCCTTATCACTGAGGAACTTTTTGACCACTGTGGCCACTTCAAACTTGGCTGTGAACCACTCAGTAAAAGTGTTTCACAGCCTGCTTCCCCTTCCTGAGATATTGGATGGTATATGGGGGAATTTTTCTACCGTAATTTGCTAGAAGGAAAAAAACATACGCAGTACAACACCTTCATTCTATTGGCTGAGAGGTTGTCAGGCAACAGTGCATTTTTGTTTCTGAAGCATGCAGAGAATGTTTCATAAGAGAGCAGAGTTTTGCAAGAGCACGAGAAAAATGGTTTGTGTACACACGTTACAAGTTTTAAGAAGGACATTAACTCCTGCTTTCAAAACGAAAATATAAGCAAAAACATTAAAAGTTTTGAGAACAAAGTCATGGAATCCTGCTTTTAGACTGAAAATGAGTGCTCTCAAATTATGGCAGAAAAATTCCCCTAAAATGGTGGAGCAGAATTGTCTCGAAGCCATCCGAGCCACATGCTGCTTATACACATAAGCCACATTGCTGGCTGTCGAGAAACACAAAGTTCGAGTTTGGTCCACCATTCTTTCTTCACTATCGCTGAATGAGAAACCTTAATGTTCCCAAGTAGCAGAATTTAGTGATAGCTGAGAGTTTCTCTCTGTTTTTAAAGCTGCATAACAGAACATTGTATTGTGCAGTTAGTTCTTGACATAAAGATTCTGATGTGTTCAGATATAAAATAAGGCTCTAGTTAGCATTATTTAGACAGGAATACTTGTACCATGACACCCCTAATGTTTAGCATTTTCATTATAATAAATGCCTAATTGGAGACTTACAAAGTTATGTGTGGTAAGTGGCACATTCTCCAACACTTCCACGTGGAGCTCCTCTCCAGTCAGCCAGGAGATGTCTGTGTCCCAGCCAATAGGCTTCTTTTCTCTAAAACAGAAGTTGAGAGTACAACAGCTGCTGAAAAACAATGACTGCTTAACAGAAAGAAACTAAGCATCCTACTGCTTCAGTATTACTATTTACTTTCACTTCAAGCAATCATGTACTGGAAGACACAACTGATACAAGCAAACCAAATGTTGCTTGCATTAGTGGAATCAGGTTAGAGTTGTAATCCACTCTAACCTGTAATACTAGCTCCAAACACAAATCTGTATCTGATTTCAAATGTACACGTTTTTCATGGCTGCATGCAACACTGACAAAACCAACAACTGAACCCGTCTGCCTTCAGGTTTCTAGAAGTGCTTAGCTTTGCCACAGTTGAGACCAGAGTTCACTTCACACTGCCTTAGACCCTCTGCAGTGTTGTTGTTATCATGCTAAAATTATAAACTCATCACCAAAGACTGGAAGTAATGACATTTGATATTGTGTTTGACACTGCAACATTCTTTTTTGACTGCACAGGGTTACTTTTAATAAAGAGCAGAAACAAATTTGTGAAATTCCCCCCTCAATTAATGAAGTATATTCATTCAAGATCCACAGACTAAGTCATTAGAGCTCTACTTAAGTGTGAAAAAAGTTTATTTTAATTGCAGGACTATAGTTGGTGCTTAAATACTGTAAATAATTTCTTCCTATTGAATAGGAATGAATTACACATTTAATTAAATGTGCAATTAAATTTACACATTTAATTATGTGTGAATGAGGGCAGCCTGTGGCTTAGCTAGTTTTCTGGGAGAATACATCGGCCTTCATGACTGTCTGGTTTTCTTTTACATATTTTATCTAAAATTGAACATTTTCAAAAATAATTTGTTTGAGAAATGCCTCTTACAAATCATAGCCTGAGATCAAGCTATAATTTTGTACTCGACTCAATAATCACACTGCTGATGTTAGCATCCACACTTCAATGGTTGCCATTGACACAGTTAACAACATGCGCTCCAGAGCTCTTCTCACAACAATTGACATCAGTTTCCAATGCTGGAACTAAACTCAATCAGAACTAAAGGCAGGTTTGGGTTCTGACCAAAACCAAGTTGATAGGGACTGTAGCCATGTGCATGCTGTTTTTTGTCATCAAAGTCCAGTCTAGGGCCATTTTCCAGTCACATTTGTTGTCTCTCTTTACCTTGAGCAGTATTTCAGTGAGAATCTAATTGTGTCTTTCCAGCAGGCCATTGCTCCATGGACTGTATGCAGCAGTGATTTTAACCTCAATGTTAAAATGTTCAGCCATGTCTCTGATTTCTTCATTGTTAAATTTACCTCTATTATTAGTGAATAATTTGCGAGGTGAGCCATGAATGCTTATCCAGCAGTAAATAAAATGCTTCACTATCTCTTTGGGTCTTTTTGTGGTGATAATGCTCCCTTCTCTGAATCTTGTAAAATGGTCGACAGCATGTAGAAACCACAGACATTGCTCCAGCTCATATAGGTCCACAGCTACAGTCTCATTATATGTTGAAGCCATGGGTAAACCCACTGCAGGTTTAGACTTCACTCTACTGTACCAGATGCATACAGTTTTTTTACACTTTCTTTCAGGATTGTAATACTTTCATCATCAGTGTTGCCTGAGCAAGACAAGATATTTTGTAGTCTGTCAACCGAGTCATGTCCAAATTATTTATGCAGTGATAGCAGTACCATTTTTTTTCTTTTGTTGTCATGTTTTCTATCATACTGAGAATTTCATCTTCATCATTTGGTGTCTCACTTTATTCAAACTGGCTTTCATTATTGATCCTTTCCTTTCTTAAGTTTACACAATAATGTCCAGCAGATGTCAGCTCAAGTTTTATAGGTTGATCAAACATCATTGCTTTGTCTTTAATAATGTCCAAAACAACTCTCTTCAGTGATGTTTTGCACAAAATCTCCAAGCCATTTTTTACCACACAGTTCTTGTACAGGCAGTGTCAATCACAACATTGACACTGCCTGTACAAGTTTACAGCATGAAGATCTGCATGTCAGATGGGGATTTGTTTGAAAACAGAGTAATATTATCTATCAAATGTTGAAGCTATCAACTTTTGATAACTTCACATGTTCTTTTTTATCGGGGCAGTCTTTTGCCCAGTGATAAGTGCTCTGGCATATTGCACATTTCATTCTTGTCCCGTATTAGTCAAGTGGATTAGTCCCTGCAGGTGTTATGGGGATTGCTGTGAGTTTGAACTCCGTTTGTCTGTGTATTTGGTGAAAAAGGCCGAGTTGCCCTCTCGTGGCGGAAAGACATTATCGCCAAAGATTCTTTTCAAAGCTAATTTCTATTACCAAACGACACAGTGGAACAGGTGGTAAGAGCAAACTATTTGTCTTTAACGTTTAGTCCTGCGGTGTCTAAGCGCTTGAATGCCAACACTGCATCTGGTAGTTCCATTTTGAACCATGTTGTACAGTCATTCAAATTTGATAATGTAATCCAACATGGACACACCGCAACTGTCTCTTGATCCGATCAAACTCAGGCTAAGCTTCGTACTGTCGATCCTTTCTTTCTTTTAAAAATACAGAATCCAGATTGTTTAAAATAACAGTCATTCCTGTATCGTTGTTGAGATGTTCCTCTACGATTTCCAGCGCGCTTTCTCTTGATCTTCTTGATAGCGACAGGGCACCCCAGGGGTGGGCAATTATGGTCCTCGAGGACCGGTGTCCTGCAACTCTTAGATGTCTCCCTGGTCCAACACAGCCGATTCAAATAGCTGAATCACCTCCTAAAGGCAGTCAAGTTCTCCAGAGTTCTGCTAATGACCCCATTATTTGACTCAGGTGTGTTGAAGTAGAAACACATCTAAAATTTGCAGGAGACCAGCTCTCGAGGCCTGGAGTTGCCCACCCCTGGGGTAACCGCTAGGGCTTGCTTATTTTTGTTTAAGTCGGTAACAAGTCTCCATATTTCAATCTCATTTTTCAAACTTTCATAACATGTCTTCTCATCGAACAGAGAGGGAACTTTGTAATTTCCAGCAGCAGCCATACTCTGTTACCACTATTGACTCAATAATCACACTACTGATGTTAGCATCTACACTTCAATGGTCACCAATAACATGCGCTCTAGTGCTCCTCTGACTACAGAATGAAAAATAATAGTCTAGCACTGCCTCCCATTACCTCACATCCAACACATGCCCAGTAAGCTACTTACAACTTAACAGTACTTAGTCTGCAGCCCAGTATGTACACTAACGTACTAACAAAAGCAACCTAGTATCCAGGCTTGCAGACTAAATATTCAGTAAAAATGTAAGAAACTATATTTTCAAAAGGTTTTTTTTTAAAAAACCTATGGAGGGTTCAGGTTTTAATCGGTGAATCTAGACTTATTTTCCTTCTTGAAACATACATGTGATAAATTAAGATCACTTGAAATTTATTCTTGGATGTAGTCTTAAAGATCATACAGTGACATTTTTTTATGTCTACCAATGCAATTCAGCTAAGCATTTTAACAGAAAACTTACCCATCTTGTATTCTATAGACTGCACAGCACTCTGGAATGAGACCCCGCATCATCAGAGCTTTCTTCAGTGAGTCCCTCACAGTCATCCCACAGCGGGCTGGGACCTGAACACAAAACAGCAGCACTTATTGAACTGTCTCTAGGTAATAATCATGAGCTAAAGCAGCAGCAGAAACAATTTATTGTTGAAATTTTCAGGCTTGACTTTATCAGCTGCTTTCATGTCTAAAACTTTGACTCATCTTAGGAAGATGCACTCTGCATTTGGTCAATACAAAATATAATACAGAGCCACATTTGTACATGTATTAAACGTCCACCACTACAATTACTTGAACAAGCTAGGAAAGGTTTGTGAGTTAAACAAAACATGTTCATTACATTTATTACACAAAATTATTCTCAGATATTTAGGTATTACGCGATCATTTCTGCCTCTTTTGAGTGCACATAGGTATGCGCTGTTTTAGGGCTACTTCACGATTATGCAAATAAGCTGCTACTGGTCACACACCCAAAACTCAGTGTTTACATTGGCTCCTCAGATACATGAAAATGGCTACAACAGTGGTACAACTGCACAACCACTGGTCTTTGTACCTGAAGAAGACCTAGAAGCAGAAGTAGTCTACTGAACAACCATCAGCCACAACCATTCAATTATTGCATACTTCAGATCTGACACAAATTTGAATAAATTTTCCAAAAACATGGCTGAATGTTTTTGTTTGGTTGGTTTTTTTACACTTGCACTGTTTCTAGAATCAGTAAGTACTCATATGGAAATACATATCACGCAAAACATTAATGTACAATAGTGGACCTTTAATTATTGATTGAACTTGACTTTTTATTTGAGATAATTGCAGGGTCTGAAGTTAATTTAATAGCATTTTAATAGCAAAAAACACATTCCAACAAAATAAAATATTTGTCGTTTTTAATCTTAAGTTATTTAACCATGAGAAAAGTGCTATGCTAATCATTCAGCTTACTGTTTCAGGAACCCCTGATCATTGATGGAACCTCTTTAGAAATGTGGACTGCGGACGCTGACATAAGCGTTTGGGAAACTAGACCCTCCAAGTGGTGCTGCAACATGTTTAGATTTGAGACACCGTTTTAGGCTTCATAGCATTGTTAATAAGCTAACTCCACAATTCGAACAAAACAATAATATTTCCAGCAACTCATTACATTGTTTTTGAGGCAAAAATTAACCCTTGGTGGGCAATGAAAAACAAAGCCGTTCAGGGGTTGCGTTAATGGAGTATTTGACCTCTTTTTTTTTAATGACAGAAGAATTTGAAGCCCATCTGTCATTTGACAGGTTTTAATTAACCTGTCAAATGCACAGGTTAATCATAAATTATCATTTGAACCTGTCAAATGACAGGTTGATTACTGGCACACATGGGCAGACATTACGCAAGGAGTTCATCACAGAGACAACTACAATCAATTAATAAAAATATCCTTTCATCCTTTATCATCTCATGAACTCTGAACTAAATGTGTCTTGCTGACTGGGAACTGATAGCGTGTTGAAGAGCTATAGACAGGACGCTTTGGAGCATCTGGTTCAGAAGTGCATTCCAAATCTTTGGTTGAAATGGCACATTTAATGCCAGCCTCCACTATGTACTGGATGCTGAACAGAGAAAACCAAGTAGAATTAAATGTTTTGCTAATCTATTTGCAGTCTAAACAGAGGAGCCAGTGTGGTGGTTATAAAACTATTTTAGACAAATAAAAGGGAAAACGAGATCTAGTGATCTGCGATCGATTATTTTGGTCTTTCAAGTTCAGCGCTACAGACAGACACGGTAAAAGGTAGCCTAAATTCAATGAAGTTAAAAAAATTTATTTTTTGTTAATGTTACTTTTCTGGCTATTTTTGTTTATAATTCTTGAAAAGTTCAACCTTTTTAGATTGTAAGTTTTGAGAGTTTGTTAAGTGTTCAAGTCTCGATTGGTTTTGTCTGATCGAATGTAGGAAAACATAACGGTTCTGCTCCATTATAACACTGGACACGAAAATAGTAACATTGTGTCCATGTTTTCATTATTCCTCTTTACAAGGGCGTAACATTTTGGAGGCACCGCTGGGATTGAGTGAGGCAAAGTTTGACTTCTGCTAGGACCAGACGTCTCTAGCTCTCATTCAGTTCTCCTTTAACTTACTTACCCAGGCCGACAACATCTAAAGGACAACTGTGTAGCTGTCTGAGTTTCTGCAATCGAGGGCAAAAGTAATCTGAGGTTAACCTAAGGTGCCAGGAGTGCTGCAACCAAGGTTTAGCAGACAAATTACTATTACAACAGAACACTGATCAGCTACCACAACGAAGATGGGGTCAGCCGAGGTAGAGGCATTACAGCTGGAGATAATAGGACGCTGCCAGCAGAAAGCCTAACAGAACTGTGTGATTTTCTCACCATTGCTGGGTCAAAATTTGAACATGTGACAGGAAAGAATAGAACATCACTCATCTTAATGATTAGTAATCATCTACAGAGTGATGAGTTCCAAAAGTTAAAGGATTTGGGAATGTCAGAGCTTCTCTGCTTTAAAGACAAGATAACTGAGCTCCAATTTCAGGCTACAGCTATCCAAGTAAAGGAACTTAAAGTAGCACGACACGAACAGCAGAATGAATATGAGGTACTGGGCAGTATATAAACAGAAACCAGACCATCTCAGTCTCATGTACCATCCCAAATAAAACATGCTCATGAGGAGGATGTACATAAAGTTCCGATGTCCAGCCTTGGAATTCCAGCTTCAGTCCTACGTCAGACCCCTGCTGTATGGCACAAAAATTCAAAATATCTGGACAAATTGGAGACCCAGGACAAAAGGATCGCCTCACGTTTTCCAGTCTCGCCCAACAAATTGAGCATGGCCTCCAAAAAGGCTTTCCAGAGACTGAGATCGTTGATGCTGTCATAAGGGTAATTGTCCCAGGGATGCAATTACAGAGCTACCTAGAGGGAAAAAACAACCTTACACTGCCCACTCCTAGAAGAATACTGTGCTACCATTATCAGGAAAAAAGTCCAACAGAATTATATAAACAGCTGTCATCAGAAGCACAGGGCGTTAAGGAGACTCCTCAGAGTTTTCTCATCCTCACTACGACAGAAGATTCTGTTTGCATCACAAGAGTCAGAGTCAGGCTTACGTTATGATCCAGTGCTAGTGCAGAACATGTTTCTCTATACAGTTATGACTGGTTTGTTGAACAATAAGACATTCAGCCATCTCTAGAACAAGCTTGTGTTTCTGATTAACTTTTATTTGAAAAATTAAATATTGCATCTGCCTATGAAAGTGAGAGGCAGGACAAGAAAAAAATGCATGCACCACAGCGATCTGTGACTGTTTACTCTGCTCAGACTGACCACACCACCACTGAGAAGAAGAACAAAATAAGCCAGTCGAGTCACAGTAAGAGCCAAACAGATATTCTCTCAGAACTGCAGGAGATGAAAGCAAACATGACTCTGCTTAAAGATCTGAAAGCTGAAGTGTCTTCTATTAAAGAGTCTATGCAGCAGTCCTCTTATCTGCAGAGGCAGCACCCAAACCAGGTATCAGGACCAGATTGCAAACCAGCTCAATCAGCACCAGTTTACCACAACTCATCACAGACACACCAGCCTGCAGTACATCCTGGTTACCATCAAGCTACTCCAGTGCAATACAGCTACTTGCAACCCAGCCTGCAGTACATCCTGGTTACCATCAAGCTACTCCAGTGCAATACAGCTACTTGCAACCCCATTCAACACATCACAATTATTTACCACCACCCCAAGGACAACATGATCATCTCCCACCCAATCAAAGATATGGAAATCAACGCCCCCCTCTCCACCACTTCACTACAGTCTAGGAGGAGGTGCTACGCCTGCCAGCAGGAAAATTTGGAGGATTGCACTCACTGCTTCAGCTGTGGCAGCAGTGAACACTTCTCAGCTGGCTGCAGAATGAGGAGATCAGGCCAATTCAGAGGGAGTGCTTTAAATGAGCAAGGGTTACCCCAGCGGGGCAGGGAGTGACCGCGTCATCAGCAGTGCCCCAACTCTGTGCACACTGTGGTGCAAGTGGATTAAAGGTGAGACTGAGACAATGTTCATCTTGTAAGAGTGTGTTATACTGCTCCGAGGGATGTCAACATGAACACTGGGCTGAATATAAAAATCAATCCTCAACAACTTCCTGCAGTATTGTCCACGAAAGGAAAAGCAAGTTAAATTTGCCCCACTAGTAGGAAAAAAATATCTGGTTGACTGCTATATCCAAGGTCAGCAAATTAGAGCATTGTGGGACTCTGGCTCACAAGTGACTGTAGTCAGTGAACAATGGAAAGTGGAACACCTGCCACATGTGACTTTGAAAGACATTTCTGAGATCATTGAAAACAGTGATACTTTGAATCTCACAGCCAATGGTCATAACATGCTGTACTTGGGATGGATAGAAGTCACATTCAAACTAGCTGCAGATGGAGTCCCAGATGTTGTCCCTTGACTAGTAATTAAAGACAATAGTCTTGCTCGTCCTATTATTGGTTCAAATGTCATTGGCCTGATAGTGGATACTGAGCTGCAGCAAAGCAAAGACACCAATAAACAGCAGTTAATCAAAGCTGTCCAAGCAGCTTTTGCTGACTTTGAAATGGATGATGCTGAAGTGTTTGTGGCTAGAGTTGCTGCTGAACAGCAATTTTTGGAGTATGATGTCAAGACCACCAGAGGACAAGTACATGTCCCAAAAAATACATCAGTAAAAGCAGAGTGCCGTGTTATGATAACCCCTCTACAGGAGACCACTCTGATTTTCGAACCACGTGTCAATCCTCATAAAACTAGAGAAAGGTACAAAATCATCCATGATTGCGGATGTGCAAAACCCAACAGACCATGACATAACACTCTCTGGAAAGGCTGTTATTAGGACAGCACAGCCAGTCCAAGCAGTTTACCCGACAACAATCTTTGAACAGTCCTGCTCCATTTCCCCATTAACAGTAGTTAATGTGGAGATGAGAAAACAAAAAACCTCAGATTGTGACTGGGATCCCCCAGTTGATTTGGATCATCTCAGTCCCCCTGAAATAGATCTTATTAAACAGTTATTATTCTGTTTAACCAGAAGAGAGGAGTCAGATTCCTTTTCCTGTTTCACTTCAATTATATTGGGTGCATCGAGAACCTGCGACTGTCCATCTCACTGAAAGACACAGAACCCGTGGCTAAAACTTACCTCTCAGCTCCAAAACCATTATATCAAGAAATGAAGAGCTATCTACATGACCTGATCACACAAGGTTGGGTGCGCAAATCAAATTCCCCTTATTCTTCTCCAGTGGTGTGTGTTCAAAAAAAAGATAGCTCCCATCTGTGCAAGCTAATAACTGGTACAGTCTTGAACAATAAGACTGTACCAGACCAGCAAGCCCATTCCCACAGGACATTATGGATGGCCTGGTAAAGCTTACCATCCTTATCCTTATGGTAAGCTTTACCAGGCCATCCATAATGTTTTTTTATGGCAGAACACAGTCAGCCCCTCACTGCCTTTATGACCCCTTGGGGTTTATATGAATTGATTCGTATACCATTTGGTTTAATGAACGCACCAGCTGCTTTCCAGCGGTGCATGGAAGAATGTCTCGAGGGACTCAGGGATGATATTTGCATTCAGTACCTTGATGACATCCTTGTTTTCAGTAAGTCATTCAAAAGCCATGTTGAAAATGTCAGAACTGTGCTTAGAAGATTGAGAACGGATAGCATCAAGTTGAAGCCAGCAAAATGTGAAATGTTTCGGCATGAGGTTCACTATCTTGGGTGCGTTGTTTCATCAGAGGGGAGTAAAATCAACCCTGCTGATACCACCAATCCTCACCTTTCCTGATTTTAGTAAACCCTTTGAACTAACACAAATGCTTCCAAAAAGTAGCTTAAGTTTAATGTAGTTAAAAAAAATTTTTTTTTTTTGTTAATGTTGTTTTTCCGGCTGTTTGTTTATAATTCTTGAAAAGTTCAACCTTTTAGATTGTAATTTTTGAGAGTTTATGAATCGTTCGAGTCTCGATTGGTTTTGGCTGATCGAATGCAGGGGTTAGGGTTAGGTTAGGGTTAGGGTTCTGCTCCATTATAACACTGGACACAAAAATAGTAACATTGTGTCCGTGTTTTCATTATTCCCCTTTACAAATAAAGTTCTTACTCATAAGAGATGACTTTAAAACGATGTTTGTTTAATAAACAGAGAGTATTGTGGTGATTGTGATAACTTCAGTCTAAGAGCTACTATACTCACCTTCGCTTCCTGGTTAAGTGCGTACTGTGACTAGATTTGTTTTACTGTGTCAGCATAACCAGAATGTGTGTAATGTTCACACAATATGTAACAGAGTAATGTCTGAAACTGTTTTGAAATTTCATTATAACACTGGATACGACAGTAGTAACATTGTCTCAGTGTTTTCATTATTCCCCTTTACAGGGGCGTAACACCAGCAGTTTATCTTGAGGAAATAAATAAAAGTGAAGTTACTTAGGATGCAACATGTGTACTGCACTGCTGCACAACTAATATGAATGTGGCTCTGCCGCTGTGAAGAATTAAAGTTATCCCACCCTGAGGTTTTAAGAAATGGAGCTGGAAGACATTACCCTCCCGTGCCCAAAATGAGAGCGGCATTCAGATCTAAGATCTTATCCGTTTCGGGGAAGCGAAACTACACAAAAAAAATCCTCGTAAAAGTGAATGCCCAGACCGCAAACAGAGTAGAAGCCTTGCAGTGTTCAATTGATCGGTTTAGATGAGATAAGTCCAACAGACTGAAGAACTTGCTTAGATTTCTCTTTAGGTGCAGAAATTTGTGAGACACTTTGCTTTCAGACCTCAGCAGGTAAAGTGCTTGTAATTTAAGTGTAGTCGTTTAATTTAATGGGTAGCGCTGTTGCCTTGCAGCAAGAAACTTTTTCATTTTCTGACAAGACTTCCTCGTTTTGGTTTGTCTCAACTTTTTCATTTTCTGGTAATGAAAAAGTTCGATTCCCGGCCCGGGGTCTTTCTGCACGGAGTTTGCATGTTCTCCCTGTGCGTGCGTGGGTTCTCTCTGGGTTCTCCGGCTTCCTCCCACAGTCTAAAAACATGACTGTCAGGTTGATTGGCCTTCCCAAATTCTCCCTAGGTGTGAGTGTGTGTGTGCATGGTTGTTTGTCCTGTTTGTCTCTCTGTGTTGCCCTGCGACAGACTGGCGACCTGTCCAGGGTGACCCCCGCCTCTCGCCCGGAACGCAGCTGGAGAGGCACCAGCACCTCCCGACCCCGTTAGGGAGAAGGTTGCTCAGAAAATGGATGGTAAGTTATTGGGGGCACAGTTAGCGGTTTTGGTCACTATGGAGAAAAAAATAGATTTGTTCATCTGCTGTGATGGGCTCTGGAATAACGATGCAACAAGATGAATATTAACTAAACCGCATGAAAAATGTGTTTGAATAGCCTATCTTAATGTGATTATAATTTGACAGGTAAAAATAGTATGGATTATTTTAAATACTGCAACGTCTGTTGTCAATCATCACCTTTGTAGTTCACCCATTTTCCCCTCTGTGTGACATCTGGGTCCGTTTACCAGTTTCAGAACCTGACCAAAACCCCCATGTATCATTACCTCAAGAAATAATGAGATTTGGTGAAGTATAAAATAGGCTTTAATGCCGAAAAAGATCAAATGTTTCAAGTCATGCACGTCACACAAATGGAACAGATACATAGTGACGTTCACTGTCCAGCACTGGGCTAAATTACCCCTAAGTGTGACCTTTTTCGACCTGAAATGAAACTGTTAATCAGTTTCATTTTGTTTATGTGTGACTGTCATCAGGCTTATGTGATATGGCTATGTAAACATGCATCAATGTGCATCTGAGCACATACAAGAAATAGAGGAAAAACAAAGAATCACTTTGTCCATAACTTCACTGTTGTGTGTCAGATTTACCAGTGTATGAGAAATACAATACAAAGGTGCACATAAACAAAATGTGTTAAAATTTTAAATTGTTAAAATCTATGTAATTAACAAGTTAAAGTGCTGGTCCTAATATTTCAATATTAATCAAATGGGAATTAGCATTTCTCTAAACCCAGTGTATTTGCGGCAATTTTGTTTGATTATTGATAAAATAATCATTCTGAACAATGACCAGAACAACCAGTTTAACAATTACTTTTACAATATTTGTCCGAGAAGAAAGTAATGAAACTGCTAAAAGTCCTTCAATCCTAATTTATTCCTCCAATCAAGTATTGGTTTTGTGAAAAAAAGTATAAGGTATTTCACAATCTTGGTAAATTCAGGTTTGTGAATGCAAAATCCCTATTTCTAGCTCTTAAATCCATTGTTTGTGTAATTTCTCGGAGTGCAAAAAAGAAACATTTATTTTGACCCAGTGCTACATAGATATCTATGTTCTTTTGGGTTAGGTTTTCCAGTCAGTTAATTTTTCTCTATTCTCTGTAATGTTTTTCTTGTCTATGACGTCACAGGATTTGCACTTTCTTGTTTTACTTGTTTTTGTTTTGTTGCATGTAGGCAAGTCAAAATATTCAGTTCTAGCATGTATTAATACAAAATTCCTTATATCATCACCTGGCATCAGAGTTGGATGGGTTGATAGGGATGTACTGCATGTTTTAGATATAACTGTTTGGCATTTTTGTCTTGGGACTTGTCTTGGGGAAGCATTTGCATTCTGTGAAGTTCTAGACCCTCATATTATCTAGCTCCTTAATTATGTTGACGCCTTGTTTACTTCATTCATATTGTGGTAGAATTAATATTTTAATAGGCAAATGATATGCATGGACACTATACTTAAACTACACTAAGTAGTTCATATGGATGGAGAGGCTGTAGATACAGTAATAACTCTATTGCAATACATTCATTTCAACACAAGGTTCTGCAGGTTCATTCTACATTCTCCTACTCTGACTCCAACATGGAAGGTTGAATGAACAAGTCTTCTGTTGTTCACATCTTTAATCAACTTTGGAGTAAAAAGTTTATCTGCCAGTAGATAATTATATTATCAAACTACAAAAATAGTAGTGGAATTACTATTTTTGTAGTTTGATAAACTACAAAAATAGATAAAGGATGGGGGATGAAATGTCTCATTCACATTTAAAAGGACTACAGCAAAATGAGTTGCTCTAAAACGTGCCTCCGAACAGAGGTAAACGAGGCATTTGTGGAGCTGTAGTAACAAGGAATTTAGACCAAAGTATTGTAGTTCTATATAAACCATAAGTAAATGATTTACATGCAAAAAGGAAGGATTAAAAAAAAAAAAAAGATTTTAAAACTCTTCATCTCAACTTCCACAAAGCAGGTCATCAGACATACCACTGTTCTCTGTTTGTTTGGCAAGAACACACGAACAATAGGCTTCTGGGGGGAGCGTGGATTGGACCGCCCAGTATCGGTGGGTGTCTGCAGGACTGCTAATGAGTTGGGGACTGAGGGAAGGGCCTGAGCTCCACCTCCAACTCCATCACCTCCCATCTTGACCTCCAACAGGCTTGACATAGAGGAAGTGGTGCAGAAGAGGTCTGTGCCATTCCCCATGGCTTCCAGTAGCTGCTGCTCCCTCTGTTGCAGGGCATCCAGTTTACTGGTGTACTCTTCATATGCCTTAGACAACAAATTAAAAAAATAGCTAATTCTGGCACACTTATAGAATCTTCAATTAATGTGCATTGTCCCTGCCATATAAATTAAATAAAACGATACACACAATACTGACTGAATGACTTCAGAGCCTCCAGACATGTGTAAGAAGGCTCAGACATCTTCCATAGCACGGCATTCTTACCTCCAAATATATGGAGGGAGGATTGTGTTCGCCTCCAAATTTCTCCAGCAGAGCCTCTAAGTGTTCCTGTGTCAACTTTATCATCTGCTTGATGTTCCAGATCTGAGGAGAAAATACAAGAGCTGCAGAATTAAGTGCAAAATAATCCAAGCTTATTTTTATCAACATAATAATAACATTAATAATAATAAAAAAAAACATTTCTAAATAACAAATGTTACTGGCTTTTGGATCATGCATATCATGCTAACTTATTCAATTCACAGGCATCACAGATGTTCACTGGTCACAGCCAGGCACTAAAATCATATGGGCAAAAGATTAGCAAGTGCTAAAGCCGTCCAACCACTCCATTTTCATCTTCCTACGTCATTTTATGGCAGAATATTGAAAGCTGAACCAGTTCTAAGGGGAGCATCAGGGATAGGTGGTGAAAATAGAGAAGACATTATGGTGCACAAAATAAAATAAAAAAATAGAACAAACAAAATGGTTCCATATTAAATGTAATATGGAACTTATTACATTTAAACCTGGGTTCTCAGTCTTTTATTTTCTGGCAAATGTTGATGTTTTCAACCACAGTCTTGACAATGCCAAAAGGTGTCCTATTTAGAATGACCTTCAAATGATGTAAAATATCTGTGGATTAGCTCAGACAAGAATGTTGTATTCTAACGGAGTACACTCCCTGTTGATCTATGCAATGCTATGGTTCTGTGTGTGGCCAAACCTAAGTTTTGTCACAGAAAATGAATTTTTATATGTTTTTGGAAGGTGGGTGGGAGGGGAGTGCATTGAGCATTTTTTAACTATGCATACTTGATTTCTCCAGCTTCCAAACCAAATATATGGTTACTTCGGCTCTAATGTTTGAGAATGTTTTTTATCTTCCATCTCTTTGTCCTGTGATGGGCAAGTGGCCAGTGCCAAACTCATGAGAAAGCCCGTGTGTTATGTCATGGCATTTGTTTAAATATCAATGAAGTCTATCAAACTTGAATTTCAGATCATTTACCTGTTCTGTTCTCTATTGTCATTTCAACCACAGTGGTAAAAAATTAACAAGATCTATTACTTCTCGTAGGATTACGTCGACAACCATCTCTCAGCTCTCTACAGGAACTGGTAATATGTTACCTACCACCTGTGTCACACATCAGCAGCAATTTTGATTTTGATGATCTCATTACCCCATTTAATAACTTGTGCACAAACACTGTGAACTCTATAGCTCCTCTTACAACCATGAAGAAAAATTGATTTTCTGAGCTGTGGTTCAATTAAACCACCCGCGCTCTCAAGCGAGACTGCAGGCAAGGGGAGAGGTGGTGGAAAAAGGATACATTGCAGGTTTGTTTTGACATTCAGAAAAAATATTTACTTAATTATAAATCTACTTAATTATTTTTCAAATAAATCTGTAAAATCTGAAAAATCAAAATACTTGGTTGTTCTGGTTTTCTCAAACAAACATAGGTCTCAAGTTCTTTTTAAAGTGTTAGATAAAGTTATTAACCCTCAAAATGCACCTGCTTTTACAGCTTCTGTTGATCTTTGTATCAAATTCTTAACATTTTTCACAGGCAAAATCTCATTTAAGGGCTTTACTATTCTGCCCTTGTTGGATCCCCAGGAAACACCTCCAGGTGTTGCCAGATTTGAACAGTTTGAGCCAGTTTTTTTGTCCCATTTGTCCACTGTAGTTAAACATCTGCAGACAACAAATTGAACTGTCTCCCTGCTTGTTTATTTGAAGATATTTTTCCTGTCATTGGGCCATATGTCCTCAACTTGATAAATATCTCTGTTTCAACTGGATGTGTCCTGACTGCTTCTAAACATGCTGTGGAACCTCTACTTATTAAAAAAAACATACTTAGACGACAGTATTCTTGCTCATTTTTGACCTATTTCTCATCATATTTGAAAGACAGAGGAAGTTTTTCTGTTCATCTTGATCTCTGTTCCTCTCTGGCAGCACCCCTAAATTATAGAGTACCTCAAGGTTCAAGTTTCGGTCCCATTTTACCATACTTGATCCGAAGCGAAATCGGCTTTCAATGGCATAGTTGCAAGACGAAAATTGCGTCATCTTGTTCTACTTAGTACTAATTTCCTTCTTGACACCCCGCCCAGGTTGTGCAGCATAAAATAAACATAAAATTGGCTTCACCACATTAAAAATATTTTAACTGTATTTTTAGATTAGACATACACACTTCAACTAGAGAAAATGGAATATGAAATGTCTAAGTAAAACTAACTTAGTGATAGGTAGGATTGGATTTTTGATAAGTTAAAAAAATTCTTTTAATAAAGGAATTATAGATATCGAACATTTTTTCAAACTAGATGGCTTTTCTATTTCACATATCTTGATTTAACATTCTGACAAGTCAGAATGATGTTACTGATACCTTAAACAATTACTCTGTCTTGTGAAGATGACCCAGATTTATGAAGTACTTTGAAATCTGATCCATTGGTGGAACTTTTGTGCTTAAACATTTACTTGTGACAGCTTTTCGCACTGCTAAACTTAAGACATGAAATAAGCACAAGCACTGAGACCATGAGTCCAAGTCCACTGAATGCAAAAATCCCAGCAAAAACTCATCCCAGTTAAAAGAAATTTGCATGCCTAAGATTACTTCCATCTCTGTGTGAACGTGTGTCCAAATATGTTGAATCAATCAATGACCAAAAGAAATGAAAATGCTTTACTTACTAGAAGACGCCACAGATTCTCTAACAATGTTAAGTTTGAGCAGTAGTTATAAATTATCTACAAAAGACTTTCCAGTCAAAACATCTCCATGTATTTGAACAACTGATTTTCCACTGGTTTGCACATTGCTGAAACTATATACCATTAGCGGTTACAACATTTACTTCTCCCTCCAATTTTGTTTAATATAAGTTGTGTTTAGACTTTTAACCTCTTGGATAGCCTTATACAATCTTGAGATGTTTGCAAATCCTGAATCTGATTGGTGTACTTTAACGACAATATGTAGTAATTGGATACCCAATATAGCTTTGATGAATTAGTATTTGTAAACAATGTTTACCGAGTTAAAATATTTCAAAAGTGCAGACTCATTTGGCATCCCCAACATACTCCTTTCCTTAAGTTAAAAGATGTAGAAAGGGCTCCATTAAATTTTATTCTCGCTCTTGGGCTTTTAAAGAATTCTTGAATGACTGCGATAAATGATTGATGAAACCCAAATTGACCCAGAACTTTATATAAAACTTCCCATTTAACGTGGTCGAAAGTAGTTCTAGCATCAAGATTCGTAAGCACTACCTAAATGTTATTTTAATTTATATGATCTTTTATATAAAGTTCTATAAATGATATCTTGCATTTGTCTGTTTGATAAATCTAGTCTGATCTAAATCCATCATATCGGTGAGACTATTTTCAAATCTTTTGGAAAGGATGTGTGTAAATGTTTTCTAATCTTGGTTGTGGAACCTGATAGGACGAGAGTTCCCACAATCACACGTATTCTTTCTCCTTTTTGGCCATAAGGAAAATAGAGGGCTCATGCCATACAGTTAGGGCCAGAAATATTTGGACAGTAACACAATTTTCGTGAGTTGGGCTCTGCATGCCACCGCATTGGATTTGAAATGAAACCGCTACAACAGAATTCAAGTGCAGATTGTAACGTTTAATTTAAAGGGTTGAACAAAAATATGTGATAGAAAATGTAGGAATTGTACACATTTGTTTACAAACACTCCACATTTTAGGAGCTCAAAAGTAATTGGACATATAAACATAACCCAAACAAAAAAGTTTTTTCTCAATATTTTGTTGCGAATCCTTTGGAGGCAATCACTGCCTTAAGTCTGGAACCCATGGACATCACCAAACGCTGGGTTTCCTCCTTCTTAATGCTTTGTCAGGCCTTTACAGCCGCAGCCTTCAGGTCTTGCTTGTTAGTGGTCTTTCTGTCTGAAGTCTGGATTTGAGCAAGTGAAATGCATGCTCAATTGGGTTAAGATCTGGTGATTGACTTGGCTATTGCAGAATATTCCACCTTTTTGCTCTCATGAAACTCCTGGGTAGCTTTGGCTGTATGCTTGGGGTCATTATCCATCTGTACTGTGAAGCGCCGTCCGATCAACTTTGCAGCATTTGGCTGAATCTGGGCTGACAGTATATCCCGGTACACTTCAGAATTATCCGGCTACTCTTGTCTGCTGTTATGTCATCAATAAACACAAGTGACCCAGTGCCATTGAAAGCCATGCATGCCCATGCCATCACGTTGCCTCCACCATGTTTTACAGAGGATGTGGTGTGCCTTGGATCATGTGCCGTTCCCTTTCTTCTCCAAACTTTTTTCTTCCCATCATTCTGGTACAGGTTGATCTTTGTCTCATCTGTCCATAGAATACTTTTCCAGATGGCTGGCTTCTTGAGGTGTTTTGGGGCAAATTTAACTCTGGCCTGTCTATTTTTGGAATTGATGAATGGTTTGCATCTACATGTGAACCCTTTGTATTTGCTTTCATGGAGTCTTCTCTTTACTGTTGACTTAGAGACAGATACACCTACTTCTCTGAGAGTGTTCTGGACCTCAGTTGATGTTGTGAACGGGTTCTTCTTCACCAAAGAAAGTATGCGGCGATCATCCACCACCGTTGTCTTCCGTGGACGCCCAGGCCTTTTTGAGTTCCCAAGCTCACCAGTCAATTCCTTTTTCCTCAGAATGTACCAGACTGTTGATTTTGCTACTCCAAGCATGTCTGCTATCTCTCTGATGGATTTTTTCCTTTTTTTCAGCCTCAGGATGTTCTGCTTCACGTCAATTGAGAGCTCCTTTGACCGCATGTTGTCTGGTCACAGCAACAGCTTCCAAATGCAAAACCACACACCTGGAAACCCCAGACCTTTTAACTACTTACTTGATTACAGGTTAACGAGGGAAAGGCCTTTTGAGTTACTTGCAGCCTTTAGAGTCCATTGTCCAATTACTTTTGGTCCCTTGAAAAAGAGGAGGCTCTGCATTACAGAGCTATGATTCCTAAACCCTTTCTCCGATTTGGATGTGGAAACTCTCATATTGCAGCTGGGAGTGTGC